TCTAAGTGTTCGAGAGGATCATCATGTAGTGTCCACAGCCTCGAAGGCTCTCCTTGGACAAGGATGACGTGAGCAATCTCTAGATCTTCTCGCGAAGTCTAGAGATTAATGAAATGGGTCGTCAAGTTGTCCCCAGTGGCTGCCACCCGGCAGAGCAGAAAAATGGTGACTTTGCGGCTCTCCGGCGGCTGTCACCCGACGGAGAGGAGCTAGATGGAGGTGGGGCGCGTGTTAGGGAGCTTCATCCTTAGGTCCGCGCAGTAAGAGGAGGCTCTTCATCGCATCTGGTACACTCTCAGGAGGTGGCGACTCGTCTCCCGGCGGATCGTCCTCTTCTCAACGACGGCTTTCGTCGATCAATTAGAGATCATTTACTCGATGGATTCGTGATCCTTTTATCGTGAATCATTCAGCAATTTTAGCAGCAATACTCCGCGAATCGCGTTGACGAGATTTTCGCCGATGATCCAGCGATTCTCATTGCTTAATCCTTCACCGGCGATCTGCAAGAAAGTTGCAATAATCAGATAAAAATATATCAATTTTGACTCTAGGAGGATTCAAACCCGTGCCGATTGTCTGCCCCTTCTGAGGAAGGTGTGATGCGGGTTTAGTCCCACATCGGTTGTGCGCCGATTTTTCGGGCGAATATATAGTAATTTTAGCTTTCTAAGCAAAGTTCCTTCTCTCGCGTGTATGACCACTCCTTGCCCCACAGTTGGCTGGCCACCGGTGACGTGGAAGGGGAGTGGGCACACACGTGCCCTTATCGGTCCAAGCCGCTCGAGCCCTTGCTCGTGGCTACTCCCCGACTAAGCTTCCGACCCGCTTGCGGGCCCGGCTGACCGGCGGGTCCCCCTCATTTTGTCTTATTTTTATTTCTTTTTCTTTATTTATCTCAAAAGCAAGACTATAAAAATTATATAAATTCATGTAAAATCACATAATTACCTAAAAATTCACATTAATCAACTGAAAACCACTTTTCACACTTTAACACAAATATAAGTCTATTTATCATGAGTTAAGGCTAAAACTATATTATTTACTAATTATTAACTCATGATAATGAAGACTTATTAGGTGACAACCATCGGAGAGCCACAAAGTCGTCATTTTTCTACTCTATTGGATAACAATTGCGGGAGACGATTCGACAACCCATTTCATTGATCTCTAGACTTTCCAATGGAATCTAGAGATTACTCACATTGTCTTTGTCTAAGGAGAGCTTTCAAGAATATGGACACTACACGATGATCCTCCCGAATGCTTAGGACTCTAGTACATTACTGACGCATTGTCACCGTGACACAAGAACTCTGTTTTCTGGCTTTCAACTTAATTTTTACTTTATTTAGTAATATTTTTTTTGATTTAAATTTACCAAACTATACTTCATTCAATTACAATTCTTCTAATTTTTATAGATCTTAATTTGATCAATTAAATCGTATGTAATCGCTTACGTAAGAATCACTAGGTGGAACTCTATTTTCACCTAATTCGTATTTGTCAGGCATTGACGTCATCCTGACGTCTTCACCCTTATTTTCCTTTTTACAAATTTTAAATATTTTTTATTTTTATTTATTAATATAAAATTCATAAAAAATCATATTCTTTAAAGAAAATTCTGAAAAATTATCTAATATTATATTACGTCCCTATGATTGAGTAAAAATTATCACTATTTTTAGAAGTTTTATTAAATTGTAATTGATATATTTGTTCAGAAATACTTTTAAATATCTAAAATTTGGTATTTTCTAGTTTTATAAATTTTAAATTTGCATGATTTACTATACAACAACTAAATCACGTCAGTGAACTATCTAGGCATCATATGGTAGGCACAAGTTACCATAATGTAGTATGACATGATACACTATGCGACACTAAGTCATGTTGTAGCTTCATGAGGGTGTGTCATGTTGTCTCATATTCTTTTACAAAGTACTACAACACAAGTCCATAACATACAAGAGGACCTCTACGATCCCATTGATCATTTCTCTTGCAGCATACACAAGGAATTGGTCACACGAGATGTAGTGCATCTATATGTCATGGGATGAGAACATAGACTACCTTGCTAAGCATGTTGGAGGGCCACCTAGGACACAACATGGCATGTTGTCTTGTTGGAGGATATGTAACGCAACCACAAGACAATGAAATTAACAGCCTCTCACAAATGCTATCATAGGCTCTTTTCTTCGTCAGCAAATCCTAAATGATGTCATTACAACCAACTAAGTGAGAAGGGTAATGAAGGTTAATAGAGTATAATTAGACTAGGTGTGCCTAATGAAGGGAATTTTAGTCCCAAGTGGCCCACAGTAGTAACCAAGAAAGGAAGGTCAATTAGTTGTTTCTCATCTACATGAAAAATGGAGTAGGCTAACTCAAAAGTGGTGAAAGGGTTGGTAGACAAAATGTTAGACTCCCCCCTTTTGATATTCTTTAGGCCCATATAATTAGAAAATCAAGTTTTCTTATCATTTTTCTAATAGCTAAGTATAAATGCATATAGGCTAGCTCACTTTGCATTACTATAGCATCTGTACAATTTACACAGTGTGTCATGAAAAGTATAGTGTGAGTTCAAGTACTGAATTTCAAGGGTGCAATCATTGAATCACAATTAAGATAGCACAAGGTGTAGACACCATAGCATTCTCTATATTTTCATCTTCTCTTCACTTCTAGTGTCTCAAGTTAACTCATCTAATTGAAAAAAAATGATGTATACACCAAAAAACCTCCAAATGATCTAAAATTTACATGAGACTTTTTCTCTAAATTAGTAAAGCATAATCATAGCATTCTCTAGTCATAACAAGGTTTATATGATTGTGTGAAATATTTTTTTCTCATTATATATCTTTTGTCACATTAAAACAATATTTTTTGCCTCCACAAGCTAATAGAAACTATATAAAATTCCTATCCAAATTCAAAAGAAAAGAAGCTATCTACTCTTGGCCCCCTCTTGGCTCCTTTTTGGCTGTCACAAACCCAAAGCTATCTTTCCTCAATGTTGAAACATGCAAATTGTCTATAAGTCAACATCAAGTTGACTTTTTCTGCCACATTCTCAACTTTTTCATGTTGACTTTCATATGAGGTGAGTTTTAGACTCTACCTACAAATTTTTCATGTTGACATTTCATGTCTCTTATAGAAGAGGCAAGATCCACTTATAGAAAAGGTGGGAGCACGGGGCATGAAGAAGGGATTGCTACAATGTAGGGTAGAGGGTGAGGGTCTTGAAGAGATGTTCAGGAGTTAGCCCTCAAGATCCACTTGGTGCTCCAACTAACGTTCATCCTCCTCCCATATAAAATAGATAATAGATAGATCCTAGCACATTGCTAATTTGGGAGGTTCTAAAAAAGTGTGAGTAAACGAGAGCATGTTTGATTCGTTAGGGATCATGAGACACATTAAGGTAAAGTTAGGTTGACCACTATGACACATATCCCTTTGACCACTCTACTATTGAATGCTTGCATATAAGCAAGTTAGGCCACCACCATAAATGGCTAGTTATAGTTTTCTTGATCATATGCTAGCATCATAGACCGTAAATGATCTCACCGTTCAATAACAAGAGCAATAACAATCAAAAAGTCATGAGACTGAGTAATATGTCAATGTTTGCATGATGGTGTGGTAAACTTTTTTTGGCTATAATATTTGAATATAATGTTATTGCATGTGTTGAATAGTTACAATAAAAATTTGCATAAAGTTTTTTACCAAAGTAAGTATTCTAAATTATTCAGATAATTATATTTACACTATATTTATATTAAATAAAGTCATATTAAAAAAAATTAAGCTGACGTTAAAATTTTTAAACCTTCCCTATGAGGAGAATTAAAGCCAACAATTGAGTTATGATTTTTTTTATTAGATGGGCATAAAGTAAGTACTCTCTAAATTATTCAGATAATTATAGTTAAACTATATTTATATTTAAATAAATTTATGTTAAGAAATGAAGCTGGCATTAAAATTGTTAAAGTCTGCCCTGTGAGGAGAACTAAAGTCAACGATTGAGTTACGAAATTTTCATTCTTGATTATATGGGCATAAAGTAAGTACTCTCTAACTTATTCAGATAATTATAGCTAACTATATTTATATTTAAATAAATTTATGTTAAAAAATTAGGCTGAAATTAAAACTGTTAAAGCCTGCCCCGTGAGGAGAATTAAAGTCAACAATTGGGTTGTGAAATTTTTTATTTTTGATTATATGGACATTTTTCACTAATTTATAATTACTTGAATTAGATATCGTCAAGGCGACGACTTGCGACCGGCTCGAGTGTCGCCTCGGCTGTGGGGGTTGTCCGAATTCAACATGCTGTGGAAAGACGGATGTCGAAGTCCCGACAGGACGATGGGGCCTTTCTGCTTGCTGCTCTCCTAAACCGCCCGCCCCTCAGGTAGAAAGCCAACGGCGGTGAGCACCGAGGAAGCGAAGGCGGCGGGAGGGAGGACCGACGGGAGGACCCGCGTTCCTCCATCCAGCGATCGCGTACGCCAGCTCGCCCGAGCTTCATCTTGGGAATTTGTGTTTCTGTCCGAGCAGAATGGTGCCTTCATTAATTCCAGATGGATCTGGTGCTGCCGCAAACAGGTACCATACATATCTGTAACATTTTCACGGTTCAGAAGATGTTTTTGTTCGCATGTGACCCTTGCACTGTTGATCCACAACCGGCGGTTATGATTGCTTTCTCGAATTGTAGTTAATGGTCTCAATTTTATGAAGTCCACGCCAATTCTCATCTTATTAGCTGATTTCCTTTTTCGGGGTCTGCGGATCGTCTGCGTTGTTTAGTGGTGTTCACGAACTGTACGCCATTTTCTTTTCTCTTAATTAGTGTTTTAGGACCGATTTAAATGTCATTTGACGCATTCCCAAATGTTATCTTGTCCCATAGAACATGGAATGCTTCTATTGTCCATTAGCAAAAGCATTTTATGAATATAGATGAGACAGGAATAGGTTGTGTCAAAAATTCTTCTAGTTCCGCTAGTTCTGGTAGAAATGGAATCTACCTACCAGGCATGTAATCCAGGTGTTGAGTGTGTTTTTGTGTTTCTTCACAATTCAACCCTCTTTAAAATACAATTATGTTCCCTTTTTCTGGTTTCTATTTGGATTTTTTTTTAGTTTGAAGGATGTAAACGAAATTTTCAACTGGTGTTAAAATTACTTCAGTGAAGAAAAATTAATAATTTTTACCCATCAATATGATCTTAGAGTGCTGGTGGGTCTGTTATTTCAATCTTTGCGTGCATGGTTTATATACCTTGGTTGATGTCACAAGGAAATTGTAAAAATAAATCGCTTTTATCTTTGGTGATCAACTTTCCTTGTGTAGAACTGAAATCTTAATGGACCCATGCAGAGTTGAAATCATTTACCTATCTTATCTCAACTGACCGTCTTGACAACAGCACTTTAGAGATAATCTGTTTAGTACATAATGGTAGAGCCTATTCTTGAGACTCATTTGTGATATTCCAATAATAATTCCAGCATTAAGCGTTCCAAAATGTATTGCATTAAATGTGCCAGAAGCCATAAAGTATTGAGGAGCTACAAAAGGTACAGCAGTACCAGAAGGTTTCATAAATATTTCAGCAAGAAATGATGTATCAGGGATTTTAGTTATGAAGACTTTCAACGTGAAAGCAATAAATCACGGTGCAGTCAACCACTGATGTAAGCTTTGTCCGTTGGTAAAATCAAATTGAGTTTGAGTGGAAGTTCTTTCTCAAGGTCTAAATGGTTGTGTCAATGAAGTGGATTCACTATAGAGTGAGATAATTCTTGTTTCACTGAAGCAATAGAAACGGAGGCAGTTTTCTGTTTTTCTTTTCATGTGTGCTTGATGGTTTATTTCACTTGCTTCTGGCATTTCGAGTTACTTACTGTTCTATATGCTTGCACTTATCGATATTATTTGATCCACAAGAATCATGATGCTTCCAGAAATCATTTGATATTCCCTTTTTTGGAATGTCTTCTTATGAGCTCGAAGTCAAATTTCGAGTTTTTCTTTTGACTTTAACTTCGCCTATCAGAGCTGATTGGCTAAATTCTTAAATCTTTAATCGGCTTGTCCCTCATGTATTTTCCCAAAGATATTTCACTTTACTATGATCTTTTATTCTTTGGATCATTATAACTTAATATTATATTTTTAATTACTCGATTTGACGTTGTCATTTGTTAAAACTCTGACATGAAATGTTGACTTTTTTCCAGTGAAGAGAGGAGGATTAGGAAATGGAGAAAAATGATTGGTGTTGGTGGAAGTGACTGGAAGCATTATGTCAGACGAAAGCCCCTTGTAGTGAAAAGACGTATAAGGAAGGGAATCCCTGATTGCTTGAGGGGTCTCGTATGGCAGTTGATTTCTGGGAGTCGGGACTTGCTACTGATGAATCCAGGGGTTTATGAGGTATCACAAATTCTTAGTCCGAAGTTTTCTGTAGACATTAGGCGCAGCCCTGTGTTTGACGTTGTGTCGCAGCTTCGAAGAACTATTAGAGCAGATATCTACTAACCTGCGTGTTCTGTGTATCATCATCTTTATCCCACAAAGCGTTACAAAGACCTGTAGTGGATGTGAGACATCAGACCAATGATTGACATTGAATCTCATCACTCTAATGTTCTAGTTCCCGTCCATATCAGTAACCATATAAATAAGAGTCATACCATTTTGAAAAATACAAGGATAAATTCGTAGCCATGTGTCACCACTGTGTTATCTAACTGAGGGGAACAGCATTTCTATGGTTCTTTGACTAAGTTGTGTTGGAAAAGATTTATGTTTCATCAATATATAATGACAGTGAAGAAAAATCCTGAGTCTGTATTGGGAGAATTCTTTGACTTCAATATCTCTATGCACGTATTGACAAAGTCTTTCCTGTATCGTTGTTCCATTAGCACAACCTCTCACCACACCTTTGCATCCTGGGTTGGCATAGTATCCTTTCAAACTTTCTTAAATTGTTTCATTATCTCGCTCATGTTTTTTTTTACTTCTCCCTCATGTTTTTTTTTACTTCAATATGAAGTTCACCAATGTTTTCAAATGACAGTACAGCCTTGATGTTTCATTTGGCAGTAGTATCAAGGTATGCCTTAAGGTTCAGTTTTGAGACAGATTCATAGGATGGGGGTTGGTTTTTCAGGTTTTTTGGTCATGATATGAAGAAGAAGGTTTGACATTAATTGTCTCAAAAGTTTATCTTTGCAGGATGTTCAGTTCTGTTGAATGTCATCCTATTTTTGTCTTTGTTATTAGATTGTGAAGAAAATAAGTTTTCTCTAACAAACATCAATATCCATAGTATCCATTAATTGTTGCATTCTCTTCGAATTACTCATACTTCGTAAAATATATAATATAGATTTTTTTAGCTTGTTCCAAGGATAAAATTTCCATATTTCCTGATTGATTTGTGCACCCGGTGCAGCAACTTGTGATTTATGAGACATCAGCATCCGAGCTGGACATTATTCGAGATATATCACGCACCTTCCCAACACATGTCTTCTTTCAACAGAGACATGGACCAGGTCAAAGGTCCCTCTACAATGTTCTCAAGGCATATTCTGTATATGACAGAGATGTTGGATATGTTCAGGTCAATGTTAATCATGTTTAGACAGTTCAATAGAAAATTGCATGATAAACCTTTGAAATGCCATCTAATGAGCTGATTGAATTTCAGGGAATGGGTTTTCTGGCAGGTCTACTTCTTCTTTATATGAGTGAAGAAGATGCATTCTGGCTTTTGGTTGCTTTGTTGAAGGGTGCTGTTCATTCACCAATGGAGGGACTTTATCAGGTAACAGGTTATTTCGGCCCCACATAGAACATATATGTTCTTGTGAGTTTCCTGGAAGATTGTAAGATTATTTTTCTCAAATATATGAATGAGTAGTTTATGACCACTGGTCTGATTGAGAGCTTGAAATAGTCATCTTTTCAAAGATATTTGATTTTAAATTTCTTGTAATCCACAGTGGAGTTACTATGGGACTTTTGTGACATGAGGGAGAATGATTACTTTTAATGAATGCACCAAATATATACTTATAGAGGCCAAGAAGCGACAATCTGGTTTCCATTGTGCGTGGGATGAATAGCCTGAAAAGGTGAATCAAAGTACAACTAACTCGAGGCTACATTGGTCTTTTTAGCACTGCTGAAAAACAGGTTTTCGTTGAGATGTATTGTCCTCAACACATGAGAATTAAAGAAGGAGCGCATCATAGATGTTTGGAAAATTGTGTGTACGTATAATGGGACTGCTTAAGGTTATTATTTTGGTGTATTTTGGTGAATAGAATCAAATTAAAAGCTCATTTCAAGGAAGGTGATATATACCACCAACATGCCCGGAAATGAGGTTCATTTCTAGGTCAAACGTGTGATGCCTCACATATAAATTCTGATTTTACCAAGTGTTTCATGGGTTTTATGTGAAAACAAGGCTATTTCTATTTCCAAAGTTTGATTTACCAACTCTTCTGTGTGCTTTATAGGTGTGAACTCCTCAAGAATAGTCTTATTTCTACATGGATGTAAAAAACTCATCTGAGCAACGAGCTAGTGGCAGCCTTTTTCAAGAATAGTTCATGTAGGCTATTTCAATATTTTTGAGAAGCTGGATAGAATATTTATAGAGTCTCAAGGAAAAACTTTGTCTAAAGTAACGACTAATTGATTTAGAAAACGTAGGGCCCAATTAAAGTAACTACTAATTGATTCTTATTGGGCCTTGGAAAAGTTTCCTTTGTCCAGTGACAAAAAACTTTACTTGTGGAAGTGGGAGTGGACCCTTCAGGCAGACTGGGGCGCTGCCTCATGGCAGCCTACTGATGTAGTAGTCATTGGTTGTGTCGCATGATCTTGTACGTTATTGCACTAGAATTTTATTATTGTAGCCAGAGTCCGCTTCATTACAAACTAGCTAGGGATGTCACTCTCATGAAACTCCCCTGCACTGTAGAAACTAGGAGAAAATTGTGTGAAAATTGGGAAGCTAGATTGTAGGGTGGAAAGATATGACCCTCGCCAACAGTGTTGACTTGTTTTGCATAGGAGTGTATTTTCTCTGATTCATATGTAACCGTGTTCTCAATTCAAAAGATTATGGCAAAGTTAGAAGCAATTCGAACAGGATTCTTCTAGCATGATAGTTATAAAATGAATCTTACTTGGGATGACTTCAATTTGGGAAATTTGTAGGCATAGGAATTTGCATCATTACTATAGGAATTTGGATTCAATTTGCATATTCTATCATCACAGTTGAAGGATTCGTGCATCTTATGTCTTCTATTATATGGAACCCGTACTCTCCTCTAAAAGTAAAGATTTCAGGCAGTAGGACATAAATATGTGCCTTGCTATCCTTTTGCACTATGGATGAATCTCTTCCAGTTTTTCAGATGAGGAGAAATCCTTCCACTTTTTCTTCTTGGATGCCCTTTTTATTTTTTCAGTTTTAGTATATGATTCTAGATCAGTGACAATCCATTGGATCATGGAGTTGTATAGCATACAGTTTTCAGTTTTCAGTTTCCCTTTTATAATTAATCCATACAGTTTTCTATACACCTTCGAAGATAAAATTTGGCATAGCATCATGTCTTCACTTCGGGAGAATACTTTTTTAACGGATCATAATTGAAAAGCTGGTAATAATTCCTTGCTAGGTGCTTTTTTTTTTTCCAGATTTGAAGATCGTTTATAAATTGAGTCTTTTTTCTTATTCCATATGCTATCATTCTTTTATATTTAGCTATCCTATTTGTCTTATAGTTGATGAAAACTAGCTATGAATGCCATGCCTCCTGTTTCTCTGTCTCAGAGGTGCTTTTTTATGCTTGTGAAGTAGGTCGGCTTGCCCCTTGTACAAAAGTACCTTTCCCAGTTTGAGCAGCTAGTAAAAGAGAAATTTCCAAAGTTGGGAGAGCATTTCTCAGAAGAAATGGTCAATCCAAGCATGTATGCAAGCCAGTGGTTTATAACAGTTTTCTCCTATTCATTTCCTTTTCCCTTAGCTCTTCGGATCTGGGATGTCTTCCTCTACGAGGTTGGTGATAATGCTTTCTCCAAATATGTTTAAGAAGCGTTTTCTTTTACTATCCTGATCATTTCCGAGTTATTTGGATGGTGTAAATGGCATCTACTCACTATCTAATTACCTAGTTCTTGATAGTCGAACAGCTTAGTATCGTAAGAAATGAATTAGTTTTGTCTTCTTAACAAACTATTCTATAGATTATATATATATATATATATATATATAGATATCTCGTCATTGGGATAAGTTTGATTTGTTCAAGGTGGATTTCTTCCAACCACAATTAATATGCCAAAGCAAGGCTGAGAAGCATATAATGGTACAAGTGTTACATTGCCTCGCATTTAATCTCCAGCTAAATACCTACTTTACATACAAATAACTTAGTCTCACCAATTATGCATAAATTTTGCATTCTTATGAAACCATCTTGTAGAATATTGGCGTATTTTGTTATTGGGACATTTATCTCGAAACCATTTCATAAATAGCAGGCACTTATGTAGTCACCAGATTTTATTTTATTTTAGTTTATTTTATTTTAGTTTATTTTACTATTTTATTTTATTTTATTATTTTATTTTATTTCTCTATGTGGAACTACCCCAAGCCCATGTACAGTGCTAAGTGGTTCTAAGATTTTCTATGCTAGATATGTTTCTACATTGAGAAAGTGTCTTCTAGATCATGTGTCTCTGATATTTTCCTGCATTAAGAACGTTGTTCTGAGATCATCTTCTGTATTTCTGATCGATCCAGGGAGTGAAGGTTGTTTTCCAAGTTGGATTGGCTTTGCTGGGATACTGCCATGACGAATTGGTGAGGCCGTGAGGCTCTCCCAATCTTGCTTTCATCTCTGCAGAAGCAAAGCTTGGATTGTTCTAATCACTTGCAGCTTTTGGTCACCAGATAAAGCTACCCTTTGAGAAGCTCGTGCCTGCACTGAAGAACTTCCCTGAGGATGCGATGAATCCAGATGTGCTGCTGCCCATGGCCTTCTCAATCAAGGTTCGTGATCATCCTCCCACCCCCATGAATCCTTGCCTTTTTTGGAAAGTATGGATGGATTTTATTTTTTTGCTTCAATGGGTTGGGTGAGGTTGCAACCAGACCCACTTCAATGAGCTCCAGTGGCAGTAGAATATATGGGAGAGAGAAATTTTATGGTGGTTCCCGTTGACCTCTTGGCCCTTCGTTGGGTAATTTCCTGTAAGTGTTTGACCTAAAATCATGCAGATGAGCTCTCTCAAAGCAGGTAGTCAGAATCATATACAATTAAGTTGACTTTCTTGTGCTCAGACTGAGCTAATAAGGATAAATGAAATACAGTACTTAATAACGTTGACCCTAGTGAACAACAAGGTCGGCACTTCTCGTTCTTCTTCCATGGGTATGTGTTGACTTCTGTGTAGACTGATTTTCCTTTTTATTTTTCCGGGTGGGTTGACCTGAGGGTCAAGTCGATTGTACAGAGCTTGTTGATTTTGGCATGGGTCTACTTAAGAGTTGACTCTCTTGTGAAAATAGTGTCCTACTTTTGTACAAGAGTCCAGTAGAATGTCTACTCTAATGTATACTGAGGGTTGACAAAAGGGTTGACTTAACTATTATTGTTCACATTTTTATATGCAAAAGTCTTATTTCTGCATATACTGCACCATAAATTTGAATATCTATACTTTCATGTTTTGCCATTTGTGATTAGAAATAAAAATCCCCCTGCCTGAAACTCTCACCAACGATCAGTACATATCAGTGTAAAAGCTGAAATTTTGTCATCATCAAAATTGAATTATGGGTCTTTACAAAAGCTACAAGCACATGTCAGCTCTCTCTCTCTCTCTCTCTCTCTCTCTCTCTCTCTCTCTCTCTCTCTCTCTCTCTGTTTTCATAGAGCTTCCAGCTTGTAACTCATTGTCTAGACTGGTTGGGCCCGCATGGCCATTGACACCCTTAACTATTAGTGTCGTAAGAACAAAGAAGTATGAGAAACCAATTCCCAAATAAGAGTTACCTTCGTTGTTACAACCAACCACAAGTGATGCTGTGAAAATCTCATCTTTTGGATGAAAAAAAAATGGCATAAAACGCTTGTTCACATCTTGCTTCAACTTCCCACATCCCACATGTTTTTGCCCATATTTGGAAAAAAAAAAAAAATCATATCGAAAATTCGGGCCGATTTGCAGATATACAGCAAAAAATTCACTGTTTTTCTGTCCTCCTCCTCCTCATGCTAGGTATCTCGGCGTTTGCTGGAGCTTGAGGAGGAGCATAAGAAGAGAAACCAGGGAATGCTGCAACAGTCAACGTCTAGCGCCAAACAGAAGCGTTGACTTCCATCTGTGCCAGGATTTATGCTGATGGATACTTTGTCATATGGCTCACTATTTTTCTTTTTTCTTCCTCACCCTTTTCTTTATTTTCTCCATAAACGAATCCTTTAATTGATTCTTTACCAATTTAGGGTTTCTATGATTGTTTCTCACCCATTTATTTTGTTTTCTCTGTAAATGGATTTGACTTTTACCAAATTAGGGTTTCTTTTGACCCACCCATGTTCCATTCAAACATCTCCTCAAGTACATCACGTTGACTTTCACTCTTGATGCATTGTATTGCATGGCTGGAATCCTCCAATTTCTTGGTCACATTTTTTTATATATTATAATCTTTTCACATGATCATGGTGATTAATTTATTAATTTTCCTTTTAGGGCTTATCGTCAGGTGATGATTTCAAGATAATTCAACTCGCTTACTGAATATGTGGGCTAATGATTATCAAGTTATTTCCCCTAATCATCTAGCTAATGATTAAAATATAAGAATAAGAATTTCTATAATACCCTTTGTGTGAAAGCTTAAGGAGATATTTTGGTGCTTTAAAAACCCATTAAAAAATAAATCTATTATTATAATTTAGAATTCAGCTCCAAAAAAACCATGGCTTGAATCTCCCATTTTAGAAGATAATGTCGTTGGATTAATGTAAATTAGATATATATATATAGAGAGAGAGAGAGAGAGAGAGAGGGAGAGAGAGAGAGAGAGGAGAGAGGATTATTTATTAAAAATATGCCTTTTCTAAAAGACTGGACCCATTTATTAAGACGTAAAAATCAAAATCATTTTGCGCGGGAAGGTTGTGTGTTCGCGTGGCCTCATCTGAACCGTCGGTTATTAGGAAAATTATCGGGGCCGGTGTGAGGCGTCGGTTTGCGGGGAGCACTGGACACGTGTAATCATCCTGGGGGCCGAGGACGTTGTGAGTCCTATATAAAAGGTCCAAATGGCCGCAGGTTTTTTTTGGCGCGTTGAGTCGTCATCTTCCCTTTCTCGTGCCTCTCATCTATCTGGCTTGATCTACTTTCTGGAGTTCACGTCTTCTTGGAAAGCTGGAGGAAGGAGTAATCAGGTGTTCTTCCTCCCCTCTGCTGTCGATTCGAACAGATTCTTAGAAGTTTGTGATTCCATATTCTCCTGTGTGTATCTGTATCTGTTCTATTTGCTTTCAATCTGTTGCTCTGACTCTGCGATCCTGTGTTACGTTTTCCTTCGTGTTGTTATCACCAGGTTGATGTTTCTTTTGCGTTCGATTATCTGCAGACGTCTCTCTCTTTTTTTTCATGGTTTTTTTTTTCGCGTGAATTTCTGGCTTGCTTTTTTCGGCCTTGCCCCGTCGTCTAGGGTTTTTATTTGAGTTTTCTTGGTCGACGCAATCGATCGAAAAGATGTAAATTTTTCCATCGATCTTAATTCTCTTTTCTGGATTGCGATCTTCATTGTATGAGGTTCTCTTTCTGTTAATTTTTGTTGTTACGCTCTTGTGAAAAACATGCAGGAATTGCCATTCTGAAGCATTTATTTGCTTCAGGGCTTGAATCTACCATCTTGAAGGCCTTATTGCTCCCATCTGACCATAATGTGGCTTGATTGATATAAACTAGATAGATAGATAGATAGAAAAATATATATAGAGAGAGAGAGGATTACAAATTAAAAATATGCCTTTTTTAAAAACAATGAACCTATTTATTAATGCGTAAAAATCAGAATCAATTTGGTGATGCTCGTCGGAGTTTAGGAAGGTTCCGCGTATTTGCTCTTTTTATCCGAACCGTCGATTAATATTAAAAGTAGCGGAGATTGTCTAACCTGTCGGTTTGTGGGGACCACTATGACACGTGTAACAATTGCTTTGTGGCCAACGACGCTGCCCGACTCCTATGTAAAGGGTTCAACAGCCGCGGGATTTTGGCGCGTTGAGACCATCCTCTTCCCTTTCTCGTGCCTCCCATCTGGCTTGTTCTAATTTCTAGGGTTCCCGTCTTCTTGGAAAGGTAGAGGAAGGAACAATCAGGCGTTTTCCTGCCCCTGCTGTCGTTCAAAAAATTCTTACAAGGTGGTTTGTGACTCCCCTTATGTGTATCTTTGTCTGTTTTTATTGCCCTCAATCTCTTCTTCTGGTTCAGCGATTCTGTGTAACGTTTTCTTGGCGTGCCTTCTCCTTCGCGTTCTTATCTGCAGGTTGATATTTTGTTTGCCTTTCTTTATCTCCAGATCTCTCTCTCTTTTTTTCCGTAGTTTTTTTTTTGCGTGGATTCCTGGCTACGCTTTTTTCGGCCTTGGCCCGCCGTCTAGGGTTTTTATTTGAGTCTGCTTGGTCGGCGCACGGTGATCTAAATTCCCTTTTCTGCTTGGTCGCCGTCTAGGGTTCTCTCTCGGACAATTTTACGTTTTTCGCTCCTGTGGAAAACATGCAGGATTGCCTTTCTGGATCATCGTCTACTCTCTGCCTTTGCCTCCCGAGAACCTGATTTGCTTCTTCTTTGGTTTCCCGAACAGTGGTGTGGATGATCCTGTGCATCTGATATGCATTCTCAATTCTATATATCTGACATGGGTTCTTCGCTTGTTGCCATCTTGAGATTCTCTGATACGGCTCCCGTCCGGGTGTGCATTTCCTGATATCCTGGTGTTGTTCTGATCAACGCAGGCGGCCTTGAATCATTTCATGGAAGCTCTAGGCGACGACGATTCCAGCAGTAGTAGATTCCCATCTTACGAGGCTCCCATCGGCTACGGCATCGAAGACGTTCGACCTCACGGTGGGATCAGGAAGTTCCAGTCCGCTGCGTACTCCAATGTATACCCCCCGCCCCCTCGAGCTACATCTGTTCTTCCCGTTTCGATCTTCCTCCGTCGAAGAAGACTCACGCCTTCGATCCCTTTCTGTGCTTCTGAATCTGTGCAGTGCGCGAGGAAACCATCCTGACATCCCCCCTCGGGAATCTCGGTCGAGGAGCTTCAGTCTCTGACGACGACCCTGTTCTGCGGCCTACTTCCTGCTCCGGAGATGAGCTCCCCGATCGGATTCGAAGGCTTCGAGAAGAGATTGGAGATCACGTTCTTCGAGCCGGCGGCGCTCCTGGACCCCGCCGGACGCGGCCTCCGATCCCTCACCAGACCCCAGCTCGACGCCATCCTCGAACCAGCGGAGTGCCAGATCGTGGCGGCGCTGTCCAACGGGGCCGTCGACTCCTACGTCCTCTCCGAGTCCAGCCTCTTCGTCTTCCCCTACAAGATCATCATCAAGACCTGCGGCACCACGAAGCTCCTCCTCTCCGTCCCCGCCATCCTCCACCTCGCCGGAGACCTGCTCCGGCTGTCCGTGAAGGAGGTGAAGTACACCCGGGGGAGCTTCCTCGCCCCTGAGGCTCAGCTCTTCCCCCACCGCTCCTTCTCCGAGGAGGTCGCCGTCCTCGACGGCCACTTCGGCGAGCTCCTCCCCCACCGCCGCGCCTACGTCCTCGAGAGCGGCCCCTCCAAGAGCAAGTGGCACGTCTACTCCGCCTGCGCAGAGTCATCCATTAAGAAGCAGAAGAAGCCCATCTTCTCCCTGGAGCTTTGCATGACTGGACTGGATCGGCAGCTGGCCTCCGTCTTCTTCCCCAGCGAAGAGGGCATGACCGACGCCGCCGGCATCAGGAGCATCCTGCCGGGCGCGGAGATCTGCGACTTCGAGTTCGACCCCTGCGGCTACTCTATGAACGCCGTCGAGGGGGCGGCCATCTCCACCATTCACGTCACCCCGGAGGAAGGTTTCAGCTACGCGAGCTTCGAGGCCACGGGGTACGATCTGGAGGAGGTCGACATGGGCCCGCTGGTGGAGAGAGCGCTCAAGTGTTTCAGGCCGTCGGAGTTCTCCGTCGCCGTTCACTCCACTGTCCCCGGCGGCGACCTCCCGAGTTTCGCAGGGTACAATGCCGGAGGTAAGAGCTTCCAAGATCTCGGGAGGGCCGGTTCCCTGGTCTACCAGAGCTTCAGCGCCGTCGGTGGCGGCGCATGGCTGGCGGCGGAATCTGAGGAGCGACCTCACAAACAGCAGTAGTATGTCCCCCTCTTCCACCACTGTCTTCTTCTTCTGTCGTCTGTTTCTCCGTTTTCGAGTCTATGAAGTTATGTGTGAACATTTTATGAACGTTTTCTGTGTGAAACGGCTCTGGCGGTCCTCGCCGGCGCCGTCGTCGTCGCCGTCGCCGAAGAAGACGACTCTGCCTCGTCACGGAACGGGCCTCTTCCCCCTTTGTCTTCTTCTTCGCTCGTCTGTTTTCACTGTTTCGAGTCTATGAAGTTGTTTACGAGCATTTTATGAACATTTTCTGTGTGAAACGGCTCCGCCGGGCCTCACCGTCGCCGGCGAAGACGACTCTCCCTCGTCACAGAACGAGCCTTTTCTCCATAAAACCCCGTATTTTATATATTTCTACGAAACGCAAATTGGTTTTTTTAACTATTTATATACCATTTAAAAATAGTAAGCATAAAGCTGACTATCTTTGATGTGAGGTGAGATGGATAAGTGTAGATTTATCTGCAATATTATATTCTATTAATAAATTAAATGCCCATATTTTCTGAAAATATAAACGTACATAAAAAGTACATTATAAAACGAGCGCTGATGCGACTGCTTACCGACTTTCAAATGGGTTTAGTATCGGGTCTGGAAGACCCGAGCCCACTAGTGCCCGACCGGGGGAAGTTTGGCGGGAGCAATCCGTTTCCCGCCAAAAGACGTCCACGCCTCGCCATCTACTCTCTCTCTCTCTCAATACGAGTGTGCGCGCTTGCGGGAGCCAGTTCTGGTTGCAGGCATGGAGATGAACGAGGAGACCGTGGCCGCTCACAAGCGGGCCTTCCTGGATTTCCTGGATCAGGATGTATGGTCTTGTCTCCATCAGTCTTTCTCTCCGTGTCTCATTGCCGCCCTCTTCGGCGATTTTATGCTGATGGAGATCTGTTTCTTCGTGGTTCATGTAGATCGGTAAAGGGATCTACATGAAAGCCGTGAGGGACATGGTGCAGAATAAGCGCCGGAGATTGATCGTCGGCATAGACCATCTTCGTGACTTCAGCCTTGACCTCGCTCGGCGGTCTGATATGGATTTCTGTCCCTTCTCGCATAGTTTTTTTTTTTGCTCATCTGATTTATGACTCCCTTATTCGTTAAGAATTTTCTGTGGTATTTTCGTCCAGATTAATTAGGAACCCTGGAGAATACATGCATTCGTTCTCTGACGCACTGATGGAGGTCACGCGAAATGTGGACCCTAAGTATGTGAAAGAAGGGGAGCGCGTCCTTGTCGGCTTCACCGGACCATTTGGTTTCCACAGGGTCACTCCAAGGGATCTCATGTCGTCCTTCATTGGCACCATGGTCTGTGTCGAGGGCATTGTTACCAAATGTAAGCTTTTCACGTTCTCGTGATTGCCAGATGTTCGTTGCGTTCGATCTGAGCTATAAAACAACCAACAACGAATGTAGAGAAAATAGTGAAACTGGTTTACTATTTGGAGTAGTCCCCTTTTAGGTTGCTATAGAATGAAAGATAACAATAGTAACAGATCTGCAGGAAAATATTATGAACAATCCTGGAAATAAATGAACCACAATTACATCGCGTACTGTCTGTTCGTCAGGACGATAGGTTGACAATCGCCTGGCTCGATTGGCTCATTTTATCTTTGATAAAATATGATGCATGTTGCCTATCGTACAAACTTGACTGGATCTAATACATCAGGGTCTATGGATTTATCCATGAAAATGGCATGCATGCTTCAATGACTCAATTCGAGAAATCTCAGTATTATTTCATAGTTCTAGCAAAAGTTTTGCGATAACCATTTGAGAAGATGATGTTGTAGTGAAATGTGAAAGAATAGTGCATAGTATAATTTACGGCAAAAATGGACTTTTTTTCGTTTTCTGTGTTGTTGCATTTGGACATAACGTGCACGTAAATAATCTTTTATTTCTCTCTTTGCTGAAAGGCTCTCTTGTAAGGCCCAAGGTGGTGAAAAGTGTTCATTTTTGTCCAACAACTGGTCAATTCATGTCCAGAGAATACAGAGACATAACATCTACTGCGGGTTTGCCAACAGGATCTGTGTATCCTACAAGGGTAATTCATCCATTACTAGTGCAGATCAAGAAAATTGTGCTTACAGGAACCCATTATCTAATGTTTAAGATGTAAATTTTGTCAGGATGACAGTGGAAACCTGTTGGTCACTGAATATGGACTATGTGAATACAAGGACCATCAGACATTATCCATGCAAGAAGTGCCCGAGAATTCGGCCCCTGGACAGCTTCCAAGGACTGTAGATGTCATCGTAGAGGATGACTTGGTAGATTCATGTAAACCAGGAGACCGTGTCTCCATTGTGGGGATTTACAAGGCTTTTCCCGGGAAAGCAAAGGGAAGCGTGAATGGAGTATTCAGGTATCTCTAGTTAAACATTTTGCTTTATCCTCTGGTGTTTTTTTTTTTAACCAGCCTAACGGAACTAAATTGTATGATGTTTCATAGGACCGTGCTTATCGCCAATAATGTTTCTCTGCTCAACAAAGAGGCAAATGCACCCATCTATTTACTAGATGACCTCAAGAAAATGAAGGAAATAGGAAAGAGAAATGACACATTTGATTTACTGGCAAACTCACTTGCCCCTTCTATTTATGGCCATTTGTGGATTAAGAAAGCAGTGATTTTGTTGATGCTTGGTGGTGTTGAAAAGAACTTAAAGAATGGAACCCACCTGAGAGGGTGAATATCAGTGCTCGGTTGCCACTCTTGTTGTCTTTTTTTTCTACCTCAGAAACTTTATTATTCTCATGACTGATAGTCCGCCCTCTTCCTTGTAACATGCAGTGATGTAAATATGATGATGGTTGGCGATCCTTCAGTTGCCAAGTCGCAGCTATTGAGGGCAGTCATGAACATCGCACCATTGGCCATTTCAACCACTGGTCGTGGTTCGTCAGGTGTTGGGTTAACGGCTGCTGTTACTTCCGATCAGGAAACTGGTATTTTCTAGCATTGAAGATATCCATGACGTCCTCTCTTAGTCCTTTCTAGAAAGTCATATCGTGCTTGTTGCTTCAGGGGAGAGAAGGCTAGAAGCTGGTGCCATGGTTCTTGCTGATCGTGGGGTTGTTTGCATTGATGAGTTTGACAAGATGAATGACCAAGATAGAGTAGCAATACACGAAGTTATGGAGCAGCAGACTGTGACAATTGCGAAAGCAGGCATTCATGCGTCCTTAAATGCCAGATGTAGTGTCGTTGCCGCTGCAAATCCAATCTATGGCACTGTAAGTAGTGGTGAATCTGAGAACGATCCTTGACTTATGAGCCGTCAGTAGTACAGATGATTCATTTATTATTTTCACTCGAGTTGATGCGAATATTAGAGCAAACTTATATAACATCATTAAATAATTTTGATCTGACTATTATTTTCTGCAACAGTATGATCGCTCGCTTACTCCGACGAAGAACATTGGCCTTCCTGATTCATTGCTTTCCCGTTTTGACTTGCTCTTCATCGTCCTCGATCAAATGGATCCCGAAATAGATCGAAAGATTTCAGAGCATGTAACTCGCATGCATAGATACTGTCCTGATGGAGGTATGTGCCGCCCTTAAAATGTTATTATTGCATATCCTTGAACTGTGATGACAGAATTAGTCTAATCAAAAAGCTTGATTGGATAGGGATTGGCGTGCATGACAGAAGTTCAAGATATGCTGAAGAAGATGATGGTGATGCTGCTGCTGTCTTTGTCAAATATGACCGCGTGCTTCATGGTCAGGAAAGGAAGAGAGGGAAGAGGACAAAGATAGAGAAACTTACCATAAAGTTTCTTAAAAAATACATCCATTATGCCAAGAACAGAATCCAGCCAAAGCTAACAGATGAGGTACTTCCCAAGTCTAGGTGTCCTACGAGTTGAACACTTATCCAACATTTGCTCAAAAATCCTGTTTTTTTTTTTGTAAATCATTTATAGTTCTTCTAGTATCATCAACTATGATGATTAATAAATTCAAAGAAGCAACAAGATAGCGCTGACTAAATCTACATATTTGCATATGTTCAAGAGGGACAATTAATGGGGCAATTGCTGTTTCATATTGATTCTCAGAAACACTTAATTCTTTTTATTTTCCTCTCAGGCATCTGATCAAATAGCAACGGCCTATGCAGAATTGAGAAATGGCTCCACAAATTCAAAGGTCGGTGTATGATTTGGTCAACGCTTGAAGATGACTTCTTCTCGGGTCCTATGTTCTATCGATTTCCTGATTTTTATTTTTTAAAATAATTTCTTCGTCAGTCTGGTGGGGGCACACTTCCGATCACTGCGAGAACCCTAGAGACTGTGATCCGCCTGTCAGCTGCCCATGCCAAGCTTAAACTGAGAAATGAGGTGCTGCTTTTTTCTCTATTCGTCAACGCCCCCGTCCCCGTCTATTATATTAACCTATTTAGGGAAAAAAATATTTTGAAAAGATACAGTCGATGTAGTCTGATCTTCTTTATTTACTTGCAGGTTCTGAAGGATGACGTGGACGAAGCTTTGAGGGTCCTGAATTTCGCCATATATCACAAGGAGCTCACCGACCTGGAAGAGCGTGAGCAGAGGGAGAAGGAGCAGGAAATGAAGAACAAGTCCGAGAGCAACACCAGCAACGATCTGGCCGCCGATCCAGACACCGGTCGCGGCCCAAGGTATTCTCTTCACCTCCTTTGACTATTGAGTCAAAGATGTGGCATGTGGGTTGAATTGCTGCTTTTAGTAATCTATTTTCTCTCGACTCAGCGTGGCAGACGCAATGGAAGTGGACGATCCCGCCGCCGCCGCAGAACCTGAAGAAATCCCCGCCGATCGGTGTGTTCTCTTCCGGATAGCTGACTCTAACTCTGCACAATTCTCACTGCCCCACGTAATATTATTGTCTTGGATGTGATCCCAACCGTAGGATCGAGACCTTCGAGTCCATTCTGGGCCAGCATGTCCTGGCGAACCACGTTGACCAGATCTCCATAGCGGACATTGAGCAGCTTGTCAACCGGGAGGCGCCTGCGCCCTACACCAAGCGCCAGATATCATCCATCTTGGAGGTCAGCACCTTGGTTTTTATTTTTAGAAACTATGTGAAATATACTTTCTATAGTACACATAAAATCATGAAATAATATAGATGGGGTTTTACTCCACTTATTAATCCAGCCTTATGAACAAAACCATTTCATGAACCTATGTTTCATGGTTCCTAGGTTAGAACTATATTTGAAAATAATTGATAAAATCATGACGAGTCTACCCAGGTTTAGTGGCTATATTGCCGTAGATAAAAGACCCATCTTCGGCATAGGCTTAATATTTAGGAATATATTTAGGAAAATTAGTAGGATTATGTGATTAGAATGATGGGTCTTCTCAATTTATAAATTATTGCATGAACTATAGAGATGGGTCTGTTCCCCTGTAAATAATTCTGCAGAATCATGCCATTTATCTTAGTTTTTCCAAAGTTCCGGTGGCAACGCTCGATTTCATGTTATCTGCATATACAAAATCATGCACCATTTATCTGTGTATTTAAGACAATTAATATGATTATGTGACTAGAGTGATTACATAAAATCACTATATTATGCATAATCATGTCATTTATCTTAGTCTTTCCAAAGTTCACGGTCGCAATGCTCGATTTCATGATATCCGAGTATAGAAAAGCATGCTATTTTTCTGAGTCTTTCCAAAGTCTTATTAACTATGTTCAATTTCATGAAATCTTTCCCATTTTTGCCGGCCGCAGAGAATGCAGGAGGCCAACAGAATAATGGTGAGGAATGGGGTAGTCCGCATTATCTGATCAAACCCGTCGTGGAGAAAATCGGACCGTCCGTCGTCTGATATCATCCGGCATTCGCAACGGCGTGGATCTTCCTAGACCCCTTTTCTATTTCTGTCAGGCATCCGCACGTGGTATGTGATTTCTAATCTATTAATGGCATGGTTCTCGAAGCAACCAGCGTTGGTGAAAGAGAAGCTTCTTTTTGGGCCTGGGCATTAAAAGGTAATGGGCCGTACGATGTACGATATTTTTGGGCTCCAATGAGTCCGTTTTTTACCCGAATATGGTTCTGGGCCTATTTGGCCCACATCGGCCCGGTTGGGCTCAATCAGTCCGCATTATCTGATCTCCTGAGCCCACCCAATAACCCAATAATAAAACTGTGCGGCGGTCAGCGCAAAGAGAAATGGCGGAGTCATCCGGTCAGCGGAGACGTCGTGGTCACGTCACACCAACGTCTCTATCAAAGGACCTTCCGTCTGTGGGGTCCAAAGCTCCGATCCGATTTTCTCTGCTCAACGTATTTAGCCTCCGATTCCGATCCACGAATCCCGTAGCGAGCCGCACCGTGTGACGGATCCGATTTTCTCTTTGGGGGGGGGGCGAGGGGGAACCACACAGGATCCGTTACGGGGATTCGTTACGTGAAAATGTCAATAATTCGTCGAGTAAAAAATAATAATATATATCTTCTCCACTTCAATAATTATTTGTAGTTAATATAGTAAAACTTTTCCATTTTATATAGATACCCCCCACAAAGTATTGAATGTTTTAATATACGTCGAAGAATCATAATTCGACGGACAATCGAATCCATTAACTCTTTTTATTCATCTCTTATATCGCATTTCATTATGTTTTAAAAAAACCGGATAATCTTAGCGAAATATAAAATGGCCCTATGGCGGTAAAGATATGGATATAAATGAATAGTGATTATACCGTTGTGAATTCTTTTTATTTGATTTTGAAAATTTATAGGGGTTTATTGGGTTATATAACTTTATTAGGGGTTGTTCTCTTATTTATTTCTCTGGTTGTTACCCTTTTTAGAGCCCTCTCGAGGAGGTGGAACGGGGGAAAGAGAGAGGGAGGAGGGGGAGGGGAAGAGAAGAGGTGCCTATCGCCGTGCAGTTATCCTCCTCGGAGTCTAAGCGATCTGAACTCGCTGCCAACAGCTCCGGTGACGGGCGGCGGTCCCCACGGACCCCCAGAACGGTCGGCGAACGGGGAGAAGACGGATCAGGAAGAGACTTTTCCCCGTCTTCCGAATAAACCGGGTTCTCTACGTACCAACGCTGCTCCTGGTGAACAGGAGGGGGGCCTGACTTTCCTCGGTAGATTTTTCCTTCTCTTTTTGTCCGTATCTCGGTTTTTTTTTGATCTTGAGGTTGGAGAATTCGGACGTGTTTGGGTGGTTGTTCGTCTCTGTTCTTTTCTCGTGACTGAATTGACGTGGTCGTTTGGCGATTTTGAGTCTGGGCAGAAGTTCTAACCTTGGTTTCCTTTGGTTCTGTTTATGTTTTAATTTTTTAAAAGAATTAAAATCCTCTTAGTGCAGTCGTTGTCGATAGAGCAAGTGTTTGAAACCGTTGCAAAAGATTTCTCCTAAAAAATCATGTTGCTCGGTTAGCCTGTCGCTTATTTGCAGCCATCTTATGTTGTTATGATATTTTGGTAGTCTTTTTTAGTTAGAATTCTGTTCTTAATTGAAGGCACTGGATACTTTTCAATAAATGGCCCAAGATGGCTCTGTCATTGATTCCCCTCGGCGGAGACCAGGTCTCCTAAGAGATCAAGTCCAGCTGGTGAAAAGAAAGGACAGTGACCGCTATGAGATTGTTCCCATACAAGAATCACTGTCCTTCGAGAAAGGCTTCTTCATAGTAATCCGTGCGTGCCAACTGTTGGCTCAAAAGAATGATGGCATAATATTTGTTGGCGTCGCTGGTCCCTCTGGCGCTGGGAAGTCGGTGTTTACAGAGAAGGTCCTGAATTTCATGCCTAGCATTGTGGTCTTATCAATGGACAACTACAATGACGCTAGTCGAATAATTGATGGGAACTTTGATGGTAAGTTCTGTTTTTTTAATGAACTCATGTATATTTAAATTTTTTTAATTTTCTTATGATGCATTGGTCTCATGTGTTTTTTATGCAGCTACCCCATATTCATACCATAATGGGATCTATCACGTTTCCCAACAAATTGAACTACATTGCAATCTGTAAAATTTTCTGCTTGCTATTGTTACATGACAAAAATAAAGTACGTTGAAATTTCGGTCACTTTAATTCAGATTCGACCTGAGAAGAGTCATATTGATGCACGAAGTTGGCGTGCTACAGTTGATTCCATCCGTAATAACATGATGGCATTCAACAACTCTGACTGAAACCACAATCACCTGTTTAGGGAGAAAACCCTGATTAAGTTTTAGGACGCAGTAGTTTTGGTAAATACCCGAATAATATGGTTCTCCGGTCTCTACATCCAGATTCCTTCTTTTTTCATGATTTCCTAGGTTGCGTCTTGTTTGGGATGATTATATTTGAAATGCATGGCTAAGTAATTCATTAGTGTATTTTCCGAAGGTTGATCACAATTTATTGTTATATTCCTATTTCTGAGAAAGAAATTTGACTTCAAGGAAGTTGTTTCTAAGAGAACGGGAATCATTCTGGTTGCAAATGGAAGTTTTTTACTAATCCATAAGGACCTAGGTCTCCTTGATGGACCTATTTTGCGAACCAACTACCTATCATTATGTTACCAAGCCATTTTAAAAAAATTGATGAAAATCCCTTGTAGTTATATTTTCTTGAGGATAGGCTGTTTCCTAGTGAATATGAGACGGGTTGTTTCCTTGATATTCAAGCGAACGGTTACTTTATTAAATCATAGCTCAGCTCTTGGGCTTCTCCACATAAATCATTGCTGGTTTGAAATTTGAAGATATTATATGAGATTTTTCATGCTGACAGGTCTTGATGAAGCTGTTGTGAATGGTTAAACAATAGAGTAGTGTGAAAGATGCACTAAGGCACTGCAATGTCTAAACTATGAATCTCCAGAGGAGGCTTGGCCTTTTGGAGAAACTAGTATGATGGCTTTTGGAGGGCATAAATCTCCTTTAAGATGTTTTAATTGACTATGTACACGTTAAAACTACAAATGCTGATTCTGAGACGTCAAAAGTGCCACTTGTGACCACAGAGTGACAGAGCCTTCTTGTGAGTATTGGTTGTACGTTCACTATATTCCATGCCCACTTGAAGCGATTGAAAATTTGATTATTTTGAAGTTCCTTTCCTAGTGAAAACTTGTTTCGCTTTGCTTATTGACATCGTGTCGCATTTGCCCCAGAACAACATCAAGAACTCCTAGTTTAAGGGAAAGTAGCCCTTGCAATCAAAAGCCCCTTTGCTCAACTTCTTTATTTTTCATTTGAAGGTTCTTGTGCTTTTATTTCCTGAGAAAGAATAGCTGTTTGAGCCAGACAATTTTAGGTGTCTGTTTCGCTTTTTCTTGCTTGAGCAAAATTCTGGTAGATTTTGTTTTCAAATTAGTTTTAAACAGACAGTGTGCTGCGTATTTCACATTCACATGTGTTACTGTGAATGTTGATGGAATAGTGAGGTGGTGTGACAATTGAAGAGATAAATAAATGATCAGTTATAAAGTCTGGCTTCCGGGTTTTACATTGTTAGTGAGGCACGCTATTGTTGTAAACGAAGTTATCAAATTATGATTCGTGATTAGGGTGGTGGTTCTTGGGGAGAGAAGACATGTCACTGTTCAGGTTTTGCCAAGTAAATAGGATTTTTTCATCAAACCATCGTTTTTTATTCACATCTATCATTTCTTAGTAGTTCTCAGGTATAGTCCGAAGTATGTCCTTTGTGTGCCCTTCAAAAGGGTGTCACTGAGCTGACAGACCCGACTCCAGTTTGGCTAGGCTAATCAGAGGCAAAAATGTCTGGTCTAAATATACCTGAAATGCTGTAATCCAATATTGTGGCTTCAAATTAGACCCATGAAATAGCTATCTTATTCTGTTTTCTAAAATGTTTTGTTAAAAAACATCATCAAAGAGTATGCTCTTGATTGTGGAAGCAACATTTTCAATATAAAAACCACACACTGAATTGAATACGCTTTCTAACTCATATGACATTAGCGTAATGGCTCAGACCTGCGTAATGGCTGGACAGCCCAGGCCAATCTTTTGAAACCCTTCTCTTCAACAATTCCAACCCCTTGGCAAGATGTTGGACACTTAAATAATGTTCCAATTTTCGGGTTCAAAAAAATCATGTGAAAGTCATGTGATTGTCTATTTTTTGTGCTGTGTCTACCTTATTTCGCTTCTTTCTTTTAGCTGCTTTTTTTTATTGTGGTGGTAGTGGAAGAAAGTATTCACGGCTTTTGTCCTGTGAAGAAGTACTTGTCTCTTTTTAAAACATTTGTCTATAGAAATATATCAGGCATTATGTTAAAGTTATCATCATCTGGTTACTTGACATAAATGCCTTGCAAATTCGCAACAGATCCTCGGTTGACTGATTATGACACCTTGCTGGAAAATATCTACGGGCTTAAAGAAGGGAAGACTGTCCAGGTTCCAATATATGATTACAAGACAAGTTCCCGTATTGGTTATAGGTAATACTGTCTAGCCAAATATGAAACTAATAATGTTTTCCCTAGCTCTTGGCATTGTATATGTTCATGATTCAGCAACGAAAACATTTATGACTTCACATTTTATACGTTGTTTTCTCTGAAAACAGGACAATTGAAGTTCCTAGCTCACGAATTGTGATCATTGAAGGTATATACGCCCTTAGCGAGAAGTTGCGACCAATACTTGACCTCCGTGTTTCTGTGACTGGAGGTGTTCACTTTGATCTTGTGAAAAGGGTTCTTAGAGACATACAACGTGCTGGGCAAGAACCAGAAGAAATAATTCACCAGATCTCTGAAACAGTATGTTCGATTTCCTGTCTCTGTTTTCCCTCTAGATGTGTTTTCTGATCGTTGAGAATCCCAGTGTAACTTTCGCTGATAGCAGGTATTTAATGGTTAAATACCTGCTTGAGCTCTTTTTTATGCAAATATTTTCATTGTTGAACCGTTCATTTCTTAGTTGATATGATGCAATATGTTTGTACGCAGGTATATCCCATGTACAAGGCTTTTATTGAGCCTGATCTCCAAACAGCACATATAAAAATCATCAACAAGTTCAATCCTTTCTCAGGATTCCAGAATCCTACCTACATTCTAAAGGTTGTCTTCACTTTTCCTAATTATCTGAAACCTGAATTATTATCTTGAAAACCATTTCTCTTACTTTTGCGCTTTCGGTTCTTGCAGTCAGCAAGGACATTGACAGTGGATCAAATCAAGTCAGTCATTTCCGAGGATTACACAGAAACGACTGAAGAGACATATGATATATACCTCTTGCCACCTGGTGAAGATCCAGAAACTTGCCAATCTTATTTGAGGATGCGGAACAGGGATGGAAAATACAATCTTATGTTTGAGGTTGGTTGTCTTCATTATTAAGTCCAACCCTTTTCATTTTTTTGGCTTTTTATGATAATCTACTCCGAGTACCCGTAGAAGATAATTTATGGGTCGATTGCTGGATAAACTACAAAAAAAAATGTTTCCAAGTGTGGTATTGAAGATTTTTAACTTTACCACACCTCAAGACGGAAATCAATCCATCTAATAACTACTTTTAGGAATTTAAAATTAATATTTGACGGAAGTAATCTGACTCAGTATCCTAATTCCTATTAGCTGAGTAAATGCCCTGTTTACTACATTTACATGTCAGTAAAAATCATCAGTTTCTAAAGCATACTACCGCTACTTATGTTGGCTAATCTCGCCTTTTAGGGGCCATATATAGATTTAGATATGACACATGAATCTACTGTAACATCTCCTTGGCTCATAGGAGTTAAAAGGAAAAAACGATGTGAATTCTCCTGATGAGACAACACTGGTAAGATACTGAGGAAAGCATGTGGTCTGAAAGCGTTGGATAGTTCTATCTTTTTCAAAAAGTTTTTGTGTCTTATTACCTGATTCATCTTTGTGCCCAGTGACACCCACCCTTCAGATGATTCCATCATCATTTAGTGTACTTGAAAAGTGGATGAAACAGATGAAGCTTGTCGGTCATCATTAATACATTTAACTTGACCTTCATATCCCTGTTCATTCTCTATGGTCACCTCTACCATACTCAAGACAATGAAGCGCAGTTTCTTTTTCTTTTCATGTAAATAGCGTAGAGAGATTGTAGCAATATCAAAATTTTGAGCAGAAACATAATGTTACTATAGAGTTGTGGAGTTCATTTTCAGACCCATGTTATTAACCATCTTAACAAAACTTTCTGAATTTTATCCGTCTCAAAAAGAGATCCTTTCACCTCAAGTGAAGAATATCAATCTTCTTTGTCTCCCTGTAGCATTGTCACCCGTCAAGCATCTCTTCTGCATCACCGACTCTCACAATATAGCACTGAGGACTCATGATGATGACTGTGATTTTCTATTCATGCCCCTAGAGAAGATTTAAATCCTAAAGTCAAGCTGCATGGCCCTTGACGTTTATTAACTTGTTTATTTAGCATGTTCAGTCTTTGATTATTTTTATTTTTTTACACGACATATCAAAGTTATCTTGAATTTCAGGAGTGGGTCACAGACAGTCCATTCATCATTTCGCCAAGGATTACCTTCGAAGTTAGTGTGCGGCTTCTGGGTGGGCTGATGGCCCTGGGATACACGATTGCAGCAATCTTGAAAAGGAGCAGCCACGTATTCATCGATGATAAGGTTGTGGTCAAAATTGATTGGCTAGAGCAACTCAATCGGCACTATGTTCAGGTACTCTTCAGTCATCAAGCTCATGCGGTGTGTGCTTGCCACATATTATTATATTTCCTTCTCCACGCTCAGATCTCTGATGCATCTCGTCTTGAAGGTGCCTTGGGTGTTACATGTCACCGGTTCACATTGTAGGAACGCAATTTTATTCTAATTTCTGACGCAGGAAAATATTTTGGAGGCAATTCTAGATACATGAGATGCGACCAATGTATAAAGAGCCCAATTGTGAAAGGTAACATGAGGAAGTCAACGAAGGAAAAAAGAGGAAGCTCAGAGAAATGTAGTCAACCCATTTCGAAATTTTCTTAAAAAAATTGCATTATCCAATCTCTCATCGGTGATTCCAAAGTAGCTTCCAATCTCTCATTCATATTTGCTCTCAGGCGCGTAGTGAAGCTATGAACAGTGATCTTTCATTTGACTCACAAGGTTTCTGTGGGTAAATAAAATAAATATTCTTTAAAAGAAAAAAGTAATTTTTTTCCCTGATTGCGTTGACTTTTGATGTAAGGTACAAGGAAGAGACCGTCTGATGGTGCGGCACATTGCAGAGCGGCTGGGTTTAGAGGGTTCTTACATTCCTCGCACGTATATTGAACAGATTCAACTAGAGAAACTTGTGAATGATGTCATGGTATGCCACTCTCACCTTTTCGGAGCCAGTCAACTACTACTCTAGGTCGAATTCTAATCGAACATTGTTATTTTTAGACACTGCCGGATGATCTAAAGACGAAGCTGAGTATAGATGATGACGTGGCTTCTAGTCCCCGAGAAGCACTGTCTCGAGCCTCAGCAGACCGGATTGCTCTGAGAAATAGGCATCTCAAGACGTAGTGCCCGCTGACCTTCTTTATCCGTATTCATTAGAAAATGGGCTCTATTCTTTCAATCTCGTCCTAATATTTTGATCGAATTTCCCTACATACCATCAGTCAGTCTGATATATATAGATATATATATATATATATATATATATATATCAGTCCTTCCTTAGATGTATTTCTACTTTTGTGAATGGTGGAACTCATTTAAATATGTTGGGCTTTCCTTTTTGAGTGGCATGCCGCACACTTACTCCACCCAGGGAGACAAGCAACTCATGAAGCTCACCAGGCTCACCGTCACCGGCAGCAGATTTGACGGGAGAGGCCCTGACTCACCGGCTATTAACCAGGTAAGTCCCAGCTTCTTGGAGATGCATGGATCTATTATGTGGGGTAGCTTTCTTTTTATTTATAGAAATTAATGTGAGGCGCTCCTCTGTGTGTGTGTGTGTGTTGTGTTAGGGAGTGATCACTCAGTTATCAGAGCAGATATCGACGCTGAATGAGAGAATGGATGAGTTCACCACCCGGATTGAAGAACTGAACTCCAAGTTCAATGTGAGGAAGCCTTCGATGAGCCAGCAAAACCTGGTGCTCCAGGGAGATAACTGCAATGGGTCTGGGCCTACATCACTCTTCGTGTCTGGTTTGGGCAATGGAACCCTGATTCCCAATTCTTCGTCGTCCAACCAGCTCGTCAAAGAATCTCCCCTCATGGAAGAGGTATGCTCCAATTAACTAACTCCCTTCTCTCTGATTTCGGTTTACAAAGATGAAAAGGCTTCTCTCTCTCTCTCTCTCTCTCTCTCTCTCTCTCTCTCTCTCTCTCTCTCTCTCTCTCTCACTCACACATTCACTTGCTCGCTCACTCGCTCGCTTGCTCTATTTATGGAAAGCATAAATCTCCAATTACATGAGTACAGCTTCATTTTTCGCAAAGATCTTAAAATGGATGCAAATACAGGGATGTATATGAAAAAGCTTTAGCCATGAACTCTTCTCTCTCTCTCTCTCTCTCACACACACACACACACTCACTTACTCGCTCGCTCTATGCATCCATCTCTGTTTATAGAAAACATGAATCTCCAATTACATGAGTATAGCTTCTTCTTTTTTCACAAAGATTTTAAAATAGATGCAAATACAGGGATGCATATGAAAAAGCTTTAGCCATGGACACTTCTCTCTCTTTCTCTCTCTATCTCTTACACACACACACACACTTTTGCTTGCTGGCTCATTCTATTCGTCCATCTCTGTTTATAGAAAACATGAATATCCTACCAAGTACATGAGTATAGCTTCTTTTTTTCTCGCAAAGACTATCAAATGGATGCAAATACAGGGATGTATATGAAACTTAAAATCCTTTTTTTATTTTTTATTTTTTATTTTTTCTCCTAATCTGAGAAACTGCCTAGCAACTAGTAGTGTTCCTCACTTGGTCACACGGATCCAATACCTAGTTTACCCAATTCTGGTCATTCTTGTTCTCTAATAACTTACTTGATTTGGTATTTTTGCTGGTGGCAATCAGATAATGATAATTGTGCGTAGCCAACGCCAAGTCATGCATCAACTGGACAACCTCTCCAATCTCGTCCACGAGAACCTCGGCGAGCTGATCCGCCGAGGGATGGCCGAGAACCGGAGCCGATCCCGAGAGCTGGACTTGTTCGGTTATCCCCTATTTCTCTCTCTAGCAATCGGCGGCATCGGCGTTCTTCTATTCAAGAGCCTGTACAAAGACTGATGATCACTTGCCCCCACCCCCACCCTAAGAGCTACCATTAGCCACCAGCCGCACTCCGTTCAAGATCTCTCTCTAGGGATCTACCGGCTCGGTCTCCCCGGGTGATTGCAGTGGCAGCCCAACATACATATAAGGTGGAGGTCGAGATCAAAGGGAGGAGCAGAGCTCTGAAGGTTTTAAGGTGGGTGGGATGAGGGTGGTGGGCGAGGAGTTTTTGTACCCTAGAAAGAGACCTGTTGAAGCTTCCCAAATGAGAAATGTGGGGGCAAAAAAAGAGCGTCCCCATCACCCAATTTTTTCATTGAAATGTTTACCCCTTTCCCTTCCGTTTTCACTTAAAAGAACATATGTCATTAGTTTTATCAAGGTGGGTATCTTGTTATCTTTTCTCTCTCTTTTCTTCTTTCTCTCTCTCTCTCTCTCTCTCTCTCTCTCTCTCCATATCTATGCGCACACATATGGTAGGAGTAAGCCATATGGGTTCAATGTTTATCACAATGAGATCTTCATCATCCACTTTCCCCAGCCACAAGGTCGTAGGCTGAGTACACCATTAATGTCCCAAAGTCAAAGAGTTGACCGTTCAAAGAAATTATGTGCTTGCTCACATGAGGAAGGTTTAATGATAGAAAGTTCTAAAAGAGTAGGAAGACCATAAAGACCATGATTTCTTCACATGTTGGCTAGTTTATTTACATTACAAGAATGAAAAGGTGATTTTGTCATTTTTAGATTAATATGTACTCGAGATGGTATTTAACATCCCAAATTATTTGCTTGCGATTGTTCGGTTTTTAAGGTTTTATAGCTCTAATATTAGCAGAAAATGAGAAAATAATAACTTTACAATGAGAGCTTCTAAAATATTAGCAAGATGATTTTATAATGCTTAGAAAAAACCTATAATTTTATAATCTTTCCTCTTTTTTTTTTGTTTTTGGGAAAAGAGTCTACTCATGAGCAGACTCGATTAAATGAGTTTTAGGCTCATAATTAGTCAGGGTAAAATGATAATTTTTTATTTATAAGGTGGCATCTTGAACTCATAATAAAACTCATAATATTCCGATTATGTCTACAGAAAGGGCATAGCATTCTCATTTGTGAATCAGACACTATGTGATCAAGCGATAGAGGCAAAATATTGACAACTGAGGCTATAATTAGAATCACCACGGCAGCAAATAAACAAGAGATCCAGAGGTTTTGACACTCTTCGATTGGATGTTAATTCAAAAAAAAAAAAAAGCATTCCACTAAAGAAAATAACAAAAACTTTGGTCCCTGTTTATTAAACTTTGTAAAAACAAACACTTAATCAAGCCCATTGCCTGCACATGATAAAGCATCATCATAAAAGATAGAAAAATACAGATTTGATCTAGTGTCCATAAATATAGGAGAAGAAATTATTTGTTTGCATGGCATGAATAATTACAGAACCCACATCGAAGATACTTCTGATTTACATTTTTCAGAAGTATGTGGACATAGCAGATGTAATCTCTCAGTCAAAAGATCGCTAGATAAGAAACAGATCAAAAGTCAACTCAAGTAAAACTAAAATTGTAAGCTAAGAACAGCTCAAAACAGCATACTTTCGCAGCCTCAACACAACCGCATGACAAAAACATCCGCAACTTATAAAGGAAAGGAGACACCTCAACCTTCTTGGTCGCCTAGTCTGCATAAAAGATGTCAGGATCTTGCATGGCTTAGGATCACTGAGTGAGAACCCCACCATTTAATGTTCTCCGAGCTCGTTGCTTCTCATAATCCGGGTCATCGGTCGGCAATTCATGCCGGCAAACAGGGCATGTGTTTCGTATCCTCAGCCAGTGTAGGATGCACTCTTCATGGTAATGGTGCGAACAAGGTAACTCCTTTGCTTCCTCATCCAAGGACATCTCCTCTTTACAGACTGCACAGAGAGTATTATTTTTGGTGATATCCACTTGGGTCAGAACAATTGATGGAAGTTGCTCAATCACAGATTTGGCAGCGGGAGGGGTTCCTTTGATGTTGGAATTCTCAGCAAACTGCCCAAACAAGACCTCATACTCTGAAGTATAAACAAAGCCATCCTGATCTTCGTGCTCAACAGAAGCATTCCTTTCCAGGGTGTTCATAGCCAAGAGGACTTCCCACTCGATGTTCTGGACCGATTCATCCTGCTCCTCTGCGTCGAACTCCAGATCTGCGTTTGAATTATCCCTCTCGACGACCCGTCCATCAATCTCTTCCCACTCAAATTCTTCATTGGGATCCCTCCTGTCTTCATCGACGGGTAGGCAGTCCCAGCAGAGCGGGAGGCTCACATCATCGGTCACCACAGCCCCACCGTCAGAATTCGGACTCACGTCCGCAATTTCCTCTTCTTCACAAGAATTCGAATCCGATCCAGGACCTCCTATCCTCAGCCCCTCGTCATCCCGCAAAATCGATGACTCGCCGCGCCTGCCGCTAGATTCCGAGACCATGGTACTCCTACGGAAAAGTAACCCATCTTGATCCCAGTCAGATCCTTCCTCTCCGTCAAAATCTACAACACCGTGGTCGTCCCCGCCCTCCTCCGGTTTCTCTTCGCAAAACCGTGAACCTTGTCCCAGCTTCAGCTCCAGATAATCGGGCCTCATCTCTTCTACCTCGTCAAAAACGCCAAAATTCAACGGATCTCGAGCATCCGTAGAGGGATCCGGCGCCGCCCCGCCGTCTCCACCGGTATCACGCGGCAGTGAGCATCGATCGAACAGATCGAGGGCGAGCGCCACCCGTTCGTCCGAGTAATCGGCCTCGGAGTCGGAATCCGAGGGGATCTGCAATCCGAGGCGGCGGGGGGGGGAGAAGAAGATCGAGATCTGGGGGGATCTCAAAGATGAAGCAAAGTTCCCCCCGTCCCGAGATCGCATACCATTGTTCCGGCGATGGCAGTGGCGGCGGTGGATCTCGCCATCGAAAACGGACCCCGCCGCCGAGGTACGGTGCCAGAAGGAAGACATCCCCTCCAGATCGTCGATCTCCTCCGCCTCCTCGCCGTCTAGCGGAAGGAAGAGCTCCACTACCTCTACCATGGCGGGTGGCGAAGCTTCTCCTCGCCCCCAAAACACATGAAGCAGAGACGAGAGCGATAGAGAGAGAGAGAGAGAGGGTGGGGGCAGACCAAAAATAGTCATCAGCTCCCCCTTTTTTTTAAATGCGGCCACGCTATGCTACCCCACCCACCCACAGAATGACACGTGGCAAAACACGTCACGCCTCTGTTTGCTTGCCACGTGGATTAAATACGGACGCCGTCGGTTAATAACGGTAGAACATAAGAATTTCCAATACGGTCTCCCTAGCAGTTTTGGGCTGGGCCCATAAAACTGTAAATGGGCCTCAATTGACCTTATTGGGCCATTTATCTCCCTACCACCAGTATCCCCCCCCCCCCAAAAGATCACTCGAGGACAGGGAACGCGTGGAGGTGCCACGTGGTGCTACGATGACGTCATCCCCAAAAGATCTCTCGAGAACAGGGAACGCGTGGCTGGCGTAGGAGGGCTTCTACTTCGTTCTGCATCATGTTTAAGTACTTTTACAACTCATTGTTTTATTTGGGTTTTTATAGAATAATCTATTATTTTGCTCAAATAAAGGATTATTATAGCAAAGGTGGAGAAAAATCATTATTTATGTATATTTTCAAAATAAATAAAAACGCAAATTTAGTAAGTTATTGGGATTCGTTATTTATCCCCAATGATTAATTCCACCATGTTTTTATCTACAGGAATTTCAGTAAAATAATTTATGACTTGTACAAATAAAATTATTCCCACGTCCATAAATATAATATTATATCATATTAATTTAATATTTGGAACATAAATACTATTTTTTGAGATCAAAAATTAAGCGAATATGCATCAGCTAAATTATATTAAATTAAAAAAAAAACAGATTAAAAAAACTCGACAACAGCTAGTTCTACATTTTCGTCACTTGCATGAGCAACTAAAGACTCGTGATGAAAAATAAATATTTTTTAAAAACTGGTAGTCTGAAATGTATTCGTATTTATTATCTTAGTATATTATTATTATTATTATTAATATACATCAATAGGTTGCTAATATTCTTGGTCGGGCCCTCTTAACAACGTTGGTATGGATGCGTAACGGTTGACTTTAGGTAGCCGTCAACGTTCGATATTCTGTAGGTTTTCTAAGCGCTTTTAATTAGATAATTTATTTTTCTGGCCAATTCATTCGGTTTAAAATTGTAATCATGACACGTGTCGGGGTTGGACTGGTCAGAAGATTTGAAGCCAAACGGCTCTCTAGAAACTTCCTTCGAGGACGATATAGCATGATTCCCTCGGCGAAATGTGGCGAACCAACGGGAATCTGTATCTTTCCCTCTCTTGATCTCTTCTCTCCATCCACCACCCGATCGTCTCTCTCCCCGTCTGGCGTGAGGTAAAAGGCTTGAGCCGGCAGGTAATCTGTGAATCTCTGACATATTTGATCTTATTTTTGTTCGATTTCAAGTGAAAATTTCCTCCTCATTAAAACCGCTACGTCGGATTGGTCGATTTTGCATCCCATTTCTGAGCCAGCTTCGTCAATGCGCAAATTATGATTAGCTTCATCAGTGTGAACAGAACGTGCTGTCCTTAGATTATCTCAGACGATCCAGACATTGTTCTTCCCTTCTCCAGGTTTCTGCTTAGCTTTACTCTTTATAAATATGTGGAGTTTTTAATAATAATGCCATTATAATTATGAAGGCCTAACCTATTTTCTTCCGAACTAGATAATTAGTGATCCAATAATCGTCTCAGAGGTAATCATTTTTGTATCGGTTCGCATACTAGGAATTCCGTCTCTTATTTTTAGAGTCGCATGTTGGCAATCATTTCTGAGCTGTTGGCCGCAGGAACGTTTTGATTTCAGTCGATATATTTTTCTGCCTTGTCTACTCATACTATGCTCTCCACACTCACCATCAAGAGTATCAATCAATGAATCGTCTGAAGAATCTTGCCGTTGCTCGTTGGATCCTTTAGACACCTAATGGTTCCATTGACTGATACATCTTATCAGTGTATTTGATGGTTTATTGATAAAATATTCGAAACCATAAGAATGAGTAGTGAAAAAAATTGCACGATGAATTCACAGGCTTTGAAAGTGGAATCACCTGTTCAGCTTCTCTGCTTGCCATCCTCAAAGGATTGGAATTTATTCTACATTCTCAAATCCTATCAAATATTCAGGAAGGCATGTATCATCCATGACCTTTCAATATATACAGTTTTTAAAAATTCAGATTCCTATCTTGTCGTCATTGGTTATTGACTTAGATTCACGTCTGAATTATCTGAAGGTTTGATCTAAATTTATTGACCTCTCTGGGGCTGTTGCAAAGTGAAGTTTATTCACAAAATTTTAAGGATCTCGGTAAAAGTAGTAGAAAGTCGGAGAAAATAGAGAAAGCATTATTTTTCCCCTTTTTATCTTCCCCAAACTAAGAAAGTCAGAGAAAACTGCATTTCATTCCACACAATGTCCACGAATTCTTCAGCTAAATTAACTTAATGCTTAAGATTTAGATGTTAAACGATAGCAATGAAATGTATATCCAGTTCCATACCCATTGACTTTTACCCCCTCTCTGCACTGCTGCATTTTGATTCGTACTATGTTTAGAAGGAACCTAGTTCTGGGATTCTGAATATTCTTTTGCCAGATTTCTGAAAGATGGGCATTTAATCACCAAGACAAGAAGGCACATAGAACAGTAAAGAAAGTCAAGTAGCATCAATGGTTGATCTGAATATGAACGCATACTTATGATCAATCAGTAGGATACGTGGGGAATATATATATATATATATATATCATTTAATTCGTCAGATGATCTCAGGAAGATGCCAATTCTGATTATAGTCTGAGGAAGATAGAGGATCGTCACAGAACTAAAATCAATTCATGTGATATATAGGTAGCCAAATCAATAAAACTCTGATTCAGTTCATCTGCATCGTCAATCAAATTGCAGAAAGATGTCTGCCTATGAGACTGTCGCCTTCGGGAAGCTGAAGCTCAAGGGCAAATCCCTGGACGTCAAAGTCAACGGCATCAAGAAGAAGAAGAAGGACAAGAACCCTAATCATTATCATCACTATGATGAGGATCATCAGATCGATCATAACATCTCTGAGTTATCGTCAGACCCAGCTGACAGGTCGGACACTGGGCATGATCGGCGGCCTTCCTATCTGGATCATCTGACGCCGGCGGAGAGAAGATATTTGGAGCAGAAGGAGAAGATCGACAGGAGGAGGCTCGCAATGGCAGCGAGCAAGTCCCACCGGGATCGGATTCAGGAGTTCAATCAGTACCTGGCCAACCTGAGCGAACACTACGACATCCCCAAAGTGGGCCCTGGCTGACGACGTAGGATGTGTGTCTTCATTGGTGGGTTGGTTGACCCTGCTATAATTTTCTAAACTGCTAATCTGGGAAGTGGGTGAATCCTCCTTGAATCCTCTCTCTCTCTCTCTCTCTCTCTCTCTCTCTCTCTTAATTTTGAGGTTGCGGATTGGACCTACGTTCTCCCCATAGTGCCCAGTGCCACCTTCCCTTTAAGATTCAGGGTAATCTCAAAAAGTCAACTACATATTTTGTGGTTACATAAAGAAGTCAACCTTGGCTACCGAGGTGGTATCATTTGTTGTTGACTGAACAAAATCTCTCTCTCTCTCTCTCTCTCTCTCTCTCTCTCTCTCTCTCTCTATTTTGAGGTCATGGATTTGACCCACACTCTCCCCATAGGTGAATCTACATTTATATTCTCAACTGACACCTTCCCTTTGACCTAGGATTGAGGGTAATCTCAAAAAGTCAACTACATATTTTTGTGGTTGACTGAACAAAATTCAGCTCTCTTTGGCTGCGTTGAGGTGACATCATTTGTTGTTGACTGAGAAAAAGTACTCTCTCTCTCTCTCTTAATTTTGAGGTCTTGAAAGTATGCTCTCCCTATAGCTTATTCTATATTTCTATTATGAAGTGGCACTCTCCTTTTGACTTGGGATGCACTGGTAATCTAAAAGAGTCAACTCTATATTTTTAGTTGATTGACCAAAAGTCAACCACACCTGCTTTAGGCTACATTGAGATGGCATCATTTTTGTTGTTGATTGAACAAAAGTCAACTTGTCCAATGTGGGAAATATCTAAATTCTTCTACTAATAATCCCTCCCTCAATAACCTAATGTTATTATTGGAGGGTGTAGTCTAAGGGACGAACAACCATGATTTGACGATTATAATTGGGCATTGTAGATCTATGTCCATACCTTAAATTTGATATAAATCCCTAATTTTCGCCGTAATGAAAACACTTTTCTTTTATTATAAATATGCTCTGAAACTAGGAGAGAGAGAGAGAGAGAGAGAGAGAGAGAGAGAGAGAGAGAGAGAGAGAGAAGAGAGAGAAACCGAAGGCCCTCCTTCCCCAACAAATACTGAAAAGTCGGGAGACAGGTTCCCCCGTAACCCTATCTATCTCCGGCTCCTCGCAAAATCTCCCGGCGGCCGGTGGCAGGAGTAGCGGCGGAATCCAGCGGTGGCAAGCGGCAGCTCTCCCCTGGGAGGTGAATTTGATTTCTCTCTTCGGTTTTCCACTCTACTCTTCTCCGCCTTCTTCCTTGTTCATCGTCGGTCTTCGGTATAAAGGGCTGGATCGATCGATCTCCGGCCGCTGTTCTGTCGTCAGTTTTTGCCAGATTTCAAGGGGATCTGAAATCTGCAGTTAATACTGTCGGGATCGGCGTTGATTTTTGGAAGATATATGTGGTGGATGATTTCAGGAGGATGTCTGGTTACGAGAATGTTGTCGTTGGGAAGCTGAAGCTAAAGGGAAAAGCCCTGGATGTCAAAGGCGGCGGCGTCAAGAAGAAGAAGAAGCCCAAGCATCATCAGGACGAGGACTCTCACGTCATGCTGAATCGGACGGAATTATCATCTGATCCCGCTGAAGGCGCCCCCGATCCAAATGATGCGCAGTCGACGGAGGGACAACGAGGACCCTCGTATGTGGATACTCTCACACCGGTGGAGAAACGATACATAGAACAGAAGGAGAGAATCGATGTGAGGAGACTCGCTAAGACAGCGAATAAATCTCACCGGGACCGGATCGAGGACTTCAACCAGTATCTGGCGAACATGAGCGAGCACTATGACATCCCTAAAGTCGGTCCTGGCTGATTGTATCCTCAGTTCATGAGGCAGATCTATGCTGTGCCCGCTGCAGCTACTTCTGCGTCTCAAGCGACTGAGCAGGCGAGCGGCTACACTTCTTCTGCTGTAGGTTTGTCTGAGATGGGGAATCTACATATATCCAGTTTATTAGATCTCGTGGACATCCAGTTGAAAATATTCATGAAGATGTTGATGAGGTAGATGAACTGGGTACCCTCAGTTCATGAGTCAGATCTATGCTGTGCCTTCTGCAGCTTCTTCAGCATCTTAAGCGATTGAGCTGGCTGGCGGCCGCACTTCTTCTGCCGTAGGTTTGTTTGAGATGAGAAATCCAGTAGAAAATATTCATTAAGATGTTGATACCTGGATTAATGATCCATTCTTGTCGAAGTAGGATCCTACAGTGGATGTGAGTCGTTCTGACAAGCAACTGCCTTGTCCTAATGCTGTGACTTTCTTCTTATGGGTGTGATTCTTGAAGTCGGGATTTATGTTGATTTCCAAATTAAGCCTCTATTTCATGACTTCACCTATATGACTTGTGATCTTCTCTCTCAATCGTCTTCTTGAGTTTCCCATGGGCATAGTTCAATAGATCATGAATTTGTTTAGCAAAAACAATGCTGAATGCTGAGTTTGAACACCATGGTCTTCTTGATTCACTAACTTGTTCGCCCAAAGTCTAATACGATGTTCAGAACTTTCCACTTGGCACTCTTCTTTCTTCATCTGACTTCAATGGGTATATATGATTTGCGAAAATAAAGCCATCCATACATCCCACAAGCTACTCTTGCAGGATTCAATATGTGATCTCTTTTGAGGTTTTATTGTTCTTTATCAAATAAATTGATGCTTGTCATAAATATTGTCGATTCTCACTTGCAGCACATAGTGAGCCCCTTGTTCTTGATCTTGCATAGGCCTACTTAGCATTAATAGTGAATGAGAGAGAGAGAGAGAGAGAGAGAGAGAGAGAGAGAGAGAGAGAGAGAGAGAGAGAGAGATGGTAATAGAAGATGGAGAAAGTTATAATCATAATTAATAAATAATCATTTTGTCGACACAAGTTTCATTAAAAAAGAGCATGCATGAAATTTGAGTTTTTCTAATAATAAACAGCTAATAAAAAATCTCAATTTTTTTTGGCAACTTGGGTTACTAAAATTATGAATTTATGCACAGTTATCTCTTCAGTTGCCCTTGTTTTTCTCCACACTTCATCATTGTCTCCTTAGAACTCTTGCCGATCCTTTGTTACCGATCCAAAATTTATCTTGTCTATTATAAGTTAATATCAATCAAATGTGGCTCCATCTTTGGCCTTCAAATTTCTTTTGTCCAAAAACATGATTACTTTCAACTAGATCCTTAGGGCTGAGGTGATGAGTTTTCCTTTATTTACTTTTGTAAATTTGGCACAACTTGAATTGTATAGAGTTGAAGCCTTGTCTTTGAATCGACAAGAAGTGTGATTTTTGTGAAGATTCTTCATCCTGAATCCATATAGAAAAAAAAATTCAACCTTTGAATCTACAAGGATTTGATCTTGAGTCCACAAGATCTAAGCTGTTCTCTTCAATCCATATAGAGGAGCTGTTAGAATTTACTAATAGAGACAAAATTTTAAAAAATGGAAAAAAATTGGTAGCATTGATTTGAGACTATAAGTGGGAAGTTTTAAATAGGGCAAAAATCAATTTTGAAGCTCTTAAAAATAAGGGTTTTGTTGCCTAAAATTTAAATTTTGGCTCATTCAAATGAACTTGAAAAAACCTAAAGAAAAAAAAATGGAAAATTAAAATTGGATGCATTTTATAATGGGCCAATTTTTTTGTCTAAAAATGTAATTATTTTCAACTCGCTCTTCAAGGTTGAAGTGATGGATTTCCCTCTACTTACAATCTTGATTTCCTAATCATAATTATAAGAAGGATGTTTTCAATGCTATCACTAGTAATAATCTCATTAAATTTTGCAAAAAACATAATGATTTTTGCAAGGCAGAAGGTGAGCCCTCTTCATTGGCAACGAGTGCAGTGCATGAGAGGTAAAAATCGGTTCAATATCTTGTAAAAAATATGATAATATTAATAGAACCAATAAAATGAAAAAGAAAACGCCTAAAAATAGTAACTAGGGGTGGACTGTAATTTTTGAATCTATGACATTTCGCCACTTTGGGCTTTCCTCGAAAATCTTCCATTTATTGACCGAGATGCCGAAGAGAATCATACAATAGAGAAAAGATAAGAGCTTTTCTGAAAATTTCTCACCCACGGAAAATACACCGCATTATTTCGCCACAGAGTAAAAAATATATTTTTTTAACGAAAACCCAGTAAAATACTGGTCCCCGTCTCTAAACCTTCAAAAGTTTGGCAGAAAATATTTCCAAAGTCAGCGACCCCTGTCTCTGGCCGAGGGAAATTTTGAAAATAGTCAACCCCCGCAGTTGGGATCTCAATCTATCGATCTTCCTTCTTCTTGTTCCTCTCTCACTGATCCCTGAAATAATAGAACTTCCCCGGCGGCGGCAGCGGCGGCGGCGGAAACTGACTCAGTCGCCGGCGATGAACTCGTGCACTGCGCCGTCGATCACAATGGAGCTGCAACCGGGCACCTTCTTCACCTTCCTCTTCCTCATCTCGCACCGGATTCCGGCCACCTCCTGCCACCGGCCGGCGGCGGCGTACAGATTCGACACCAGCACGTAGGCGGCGTGGTCGTCTTCTCTGGCGAGCTCCAGCAGCCTCCTCCCCGCCCTCTCCCCCACCTCCAAGCTCGCCCTCCCCGTCCGCCGCCGGCGCCGCCGGAGGCACGCTCCGACGACCGTCTTCCACACGGTGGCGTCCGGCTCCATGGGCATCTCTCCGATGATCTCCTCCGCCCTCTGCAACTCCCCCGCTCGGCAGTACATATCCACCATGCACCCGTAATGCCCGAGGTCCGGTTCCACGCCGTACACGGCGGCCATCTTCTCGAACACGGCGGCGCCATGGCGGAGCAGCCCCCCGTGGCTGCACGCGCTCAGCACGCAGGCGAAGGTGACGGCGTCGGGCGGGACGACGCCACCGGTGGCCTCCATCCTGGAGAAGAGCTGCAGCGCCGCCGCGGCACGCCCGCCGGCGACGAGGCCAGCGAGCATGGCGTTCCACACGTCGGCGCCGCGGGACGGCGCCGCCGCCGCCTCGAAGGTGGCGGAAGCGGCTTCCAGGCAGCCAGATTTGGCGTACATGGTGATGAGCGCGGAGAGGAGGTGGTCGTCGAGCTCCATGCGGCGGCGGAGGATGTAACAGTGGACCCATTGGCCCTGCGGCAGCGCCCCCAGGTGGGCCACCGCGGAGAGGACGCCGATGAGGGTCACCCTGTCGGGGATTACTCCCCCGCCGGCGAGTTGCAGCTCCCGGAAGGTCTCCAGCGCCGCCGCGTGGTCGCCGGCGGCGACGAGGAAGCTTATCATGGTGTTCCAGGAGACGACGTCTTTGCAGGGGATTTCCTGGAACAGGCGGCGGAGGGAGGCTCCGTCACCGGCGCCGGCGAGGCCTCGGAGCATGGTGTTGCAGGCAACAGGATCCTTGTGGGGAGTTTCGTCGAACAGCTTGCGGGCGGCGGCGAAGTCGCCGGCGACGCAGTAGAGGTGGAGGAGCTTGTTGCGGAGGTGGACGGTGGAGTGGAGGCCTCGCCGGAGAATCTGGCCGTGGAGCTGCCCCCCGAGAACCGCCGGCGAGGGGAGCCGGGCGGCGGCCTTGAGGGCGATGGTGAAGGTGAAACTGTCTGGTTCGAAGGAGGGTTGGTTGTGGTGGAGGAGTATGAGCAGGAGGAGGGAGCGGAGGGGGTCCTGGTTGAGTAGGAGGGCTCTCATGGCGGAGTTGCAGGTGAACGTTGCGACGGCGGGGGGGAGGCGGAGGGAGAGGAGGAGGCGCTCGGCGCAGAGGGGGCTGTCGCCGTTGGCGTAGAGCTCCGCCAGGCGGACAGCGGCGCGGGGGTCAACGGTCTGGCCGGATTTGAGGATCAGGGCGTGGACTTGGCGGGCTTCGCGGAGGTTGGAGCATCGCCGAAGCAGGGGGAGATGATCCTCCGTCGCCGCCGCTGCCGCCGGCGCAGGGACGTTGAGGGTGTACGGTATCTTCACCGCAGTGGAGAACATCTGCGCCTCTCTCTCTCTCTCTCTCTCTCTCTCGATATTTATAGATATATATACATGTCTCTCTCTCTCTCTCTCTCTCTCTATGTATATCTATATATGGATGCATATGGCAACTATTAAGTTTTTCGCGGAAAGAAATCCGAGAGGAGACGGAGAGGGGGCTCTAGATAAACCCTAGTCTCCGGCTCCTCTCAGATTTTTCCCGGCGGCTGGCGGCGGAAGCAGCGGCGGCAGCATCCGGCGGTGGCAAGCGGCAGCTCTCCTCGCCTCAGAGAGAGGTAAGAAATTGTTCACGGCGGTGGCACCGTGATAGGAATTCCCGGCGGTCGATCGTCACGGCGGCAGCGCCGCCCCCCACCCCGACCACATCACATCTCTCGCGGGATCTCATTTCCTAGCCAAAGGCCCTCGCCGCGGCGGCGGTAGAAGGGAATTTCCACTTTTTTTCTGGCCTCTCGCCTCTGTGTGATGGTCTTGTTGGGGTGGAGGTCGCCGCTCGTCGGAATTTCTACCCATGTTTTTGGTTTACTCTCTGTCTCTCTCTGTCCCTGGGTGAGAAATTGTCAGACATGCTCTTCTCTTTTCTCTGTATTGTATGCTTTGCTTGGGCATCACCGCCAACGAATGGGAGATTTTCGAGGGAAGTCCAGAATTACTAAATGTTGAAGATTCAAAAATTACAACTACAAAGGCCAAAATAGGATGAAATACGAATAACTCAAAATGTAGCAGGTGCGAGGATGCCCGTTATTTTATCCACCCCATGTTACTATATTTCGGAGTTTTTTTTTCATTTTTTTGGTTCTATCGGCATTTACGACTAGATATTGAACTGATTTTTACCTCTTTAATGAGGCTTAGATTGTATTAGGGCGCACTTTTTTTTCTTAATTCAATTTTTACTCGGTTCTCCCCAGCTTTCATGACATCAACAGGTGTTAGATCAAGGATTTTGAATCCTGTACTCTTTTACGTTAATCAACACAATTTAGAGTCCTCTTCGTGTTAGAGAATATTTTATGAGTTGATAGAGGTAACATTTGTTATTGTCTAGGATTGAGGTTGTTATCGTGTACTGCACTCATTGCCAATGAAGAGGGCTCAACTTTGCCTCAAAAAAGCATTATTTGCAAAATTTAATGAGATTATCTATAGTGATAGCAGTGAAAATATTATTCTTCTAGTTATGATTAGTAAATTAGGATAGTAAGTAGAGGGAAAGTCATCACCTCAGCCTTGAAGATCTAGTTGAAAATAATCAGAATTATGGACAAAATTATTTTTGAAGGCCAAGGATGAAACACATTTGATTAATATAATCGTATTATAGAGAAGACAAATTTTGGATTGATTGACAAAAGGATCTACAAGAGGATTGGAACAAGGGAATTGAAGAGATGAGTGCATAGAGATTGACAATTTTAGTCGCCCAAGTTATCACTATTTTCGGGGGCTTTATTAGCTACTTTACTTTTATCGGGAAAGCTCAAAATTCATGCATAGAAGTGAGTTATTTTTCCTGGAAAGAAAGAAATTTGAGAGGAGACAGGGAGAGGGGTTCTCTCAGATTTTCCTGGCAGACAGCGGCAGCACCTCGGAGAGGGGCAAAGAATTCTTCTGCGGTGATTTTTCCAGTGGTTGATTTCACAAGAGCGCCGCCATACACCTCAACTTCCTCAAGGCTTTAGCTGTCATTGTGCTCCTCGGGAGTTTGCATTCTTTTTTGCAGATTGTCGTCCCCCTGCGTAAGTTGTGTATTATTTTTATGGAAATCTGATTGAGGGGAGGTAGGGAGTGGACGCTAGTTCTCATCTTTAGGGTTTGTATTTTAAAAAACAGAAAGTCCTTGTTTTTAGTGTCCACGCGCCTATGCATTTTTTGCTCCAGCACCACCCTTTCTCGTCATTGACATACATTTTTTTTTTTCCTACCCGCAGGTCTGTCGAGTAGGTTTTAATGGATCCCACTGCAGGAGGACCATCGATGCACCTGGTGCTATCGGCAGAGTCTGTTCCTCACTTTGTGGAAGGAGTCTCCCTCGTTCTTTCTCGTTGGACGGCACTCCAGATGGCTGTGGAGGATGGGTGGGGCGGCAAGGACTCTCGCCAGAAGTCACAAGAGCTTGAATCTGGTATTGTCTCCTGGTTCATCCAGTCCAAAGGTTAGCTTTTCTATCCATCTCCAAGGCCTGATTGAGCTACTTTCCAATTTTTTTAAAAGTTAACTGTTAATTTGCCCCACTTTCAGAGCCTCTCTACATCGATGACTTGGAGAGAATGCTCGAGGAGAGCATGGTCCTCTCTTTTAACACAGAGATTGATGACGGCAGTGTTGGAGAGGTACAACAAGGACTGCAACTCATGTAGAGGATCATGTCGTTTTTTGTGGTCTTCTTGTTCAATTTTTTTCTGCCCCCGATTTAGTAGCTCAGAGTGAGGAGCATAAGTACGCTCACCTACTATCACTTGATCTTACCCAGGTTGCTGAGCAGTTAATGATTATACATGAAGAATGCCTTGAAGGAAATTATGCATCAATTGAAAGGCTGAGGACGTCTAAGCCTGGAACACATGCTGTTTCTCAAAGTCTGAGGGTAATTATCCTAAACTCTTGGAGATATTTCATCACCATATAACTACCACATTGATTTTCCTACACTTTGCTTGACCAGTATCATACAACCTGGCCTCTGCAATCAATCAATCATTTGGCGTCACTATTGTTAGACCCAGATCATGATGCCTTTAAGTAGGGGAAATATTTTAAAACTCCCACACATGATGCCTCCTGTGCCAGCCACATGATTGATAAACATATTTGGAAGTGTGATAAGAAAATATCTAAGCGCCAGAGGCATCTCATCTAGTCTACATATCAGTCAAATGACATTTAATACTCTTCAGAGAAAGCCATTTAGCCCTTTTTACCCCATTTTTTCTTACCTTCTTCAGTTTTTGGAAACCTCAATAAAAGGAGAACTGAGCTAGTTTGTTCCGAACACTTTTTTTTTTTTGGACCTTTCCATTGGGTAATGCTTCTTTTAAATATTTTCTTACGTCATTGATATGAATGTGTGTGTAAGGATATGGGAAATTATTTTTTTCGACCTTTGAATATGTTGCCGCAATACTGTACAAGGTTTCTTATTGAAAATCATAGTTTCCAAAATAAGAAATAAAAAAATCTTCAATTAGTTGGGACTCTTCTTCTTATTTGTCTAATATTTCATCACGCAGATGATGGATGAGAATGAAGATGAGAGTTCTGACGACGAAGAAGCATCAGACATGATGATGGTTGATGACTTGAAGCTGAAGCCCGTCGTTGGGGGCGAGAAGAACCCTAAACAGGTTGTTGATGAGGACGGGTGGTCTGTCGTCCCTTCTAGGAAGAGCAAGGGTAAGAGGGCAGGCTGAAGTTCATGGCATTGTGCTATCGAGCTGATGAAATTTTGTTCTAGAATGGTCTGAATGCCTCAGTACTCGACAGAATTCAGCAGCCTCCATCGACGACAAAGCTGATGACTTGTATATTCAAACCATGCTTTCTTTGTCTGAAGATTAATGTCTTTTATAGGGGGGTCTAGAGTGGTATTTTCTTCGTAGTCAAGGAAGGATACTTACTTTGGCTCTCTCTCTCTCTCTCTCTATCTCTCTCTCCCTTCATTGTTTACAGTTGTTTATGGTGAAGGACCCTTTTGTACGCGTGGTACTTATTGAGGTTGGTCCACTTACTCTTCATACTTGTCAGTATTCTATGTATACAAGCGAAAGGTATACGCTCATAATTTGCGCACAGGGTAGAGAGAGTGCAGGTTCTTGCACAGCATATGGGTTTTAGGTGTAATCCTTCTGAAGGTTGGATAGAACCCATGTTAACAGGTTAACAAGAGAGAGGGAGAGGGAGAGGGAGAGAGAGAGAGGACTGGTATTTTATGTCATATTCTTCAGAATTCATAAAAAATGATCATGACGTATTCTATTCATATAATCGTGCCGTGTATGAATGGTCGACCTAAGTATCGTTTCGATCTTACTTTTTGCTACACATGAATAAGAGTGCTAACAGATCAGGTTATATGACGAAGAACCACTTGTACCATTTATGCATTTTATTACCACCCTTTATTTCTTTAATTTTTGAAACGTGTGCTTAGAAATTTTCTTCTGGTTATCTTACTCAAGACTAGCCATGATTCATCACAATAAATAAATTATACTTCATTTCCTAAATTAACCTAGTGATCTATGTAATTGGGTAGTCGAATTCAAGGAAATCTACCCCTCTCCCCCCATCTTTCTCACAGAACTAGTCACCCATACATGTCAACTAGTAAGAGTAGAACCCCACAAACCCTGTGGATATTCACTACGAAAAGTGCCTTTTGGTTCTCTCTCAACACTAGCCTTGATTCATCACAATAAATACATCATAATTAATTTCCTAAATTAATGTAGTCATCTATGTAATTAGGTAGTCGAATCCAAGGAAAAACACCCAAATCCACGCCTCTCTCTCTCTCTCTCTCTCTCTCTCTCTCTCTCTCTCTCTATCTTTCTCACACAACTAGTCTCCCAGACATGTCAACTAGTAAGAGTAGAATCCCACAAATCCCATGGATATTCACTGCAGTTGATTGCCACTTTTAACCCATATTTGCTTCCAACAGCATCATACTTCTCATAACTCACAGCAAAAATCAAGCAAAAAGGGAGCATTTCCCTAATTAGGGTACGCAGGGTTTAATACTCGAAAAACATTGAGAATAAATTGCCACGTTGGAAGCATTTGAGGTAACTTCTGGGTCTGAGGAGAAAGGCGTCTTGAAGGGAATTAAAATAGCCCTATACATGCTTCTACTCTTCATATCACCCATGAATCCTGCCTGGTAAGTAACTTCTTCCTTTCTCTCTCTAGCAATGGCTCTGCAGCATGAAAAACCCACTTTTTTTTTTTTTTTCTAATTGGGGAATACGAGTGGCATCTGTTCTTCCTCAGAAGAAGAAGAAGAAGATGACAGTTTTTATGACATCATTTTAATAATAATAATAACAATAATTTAGAAGAATATCAGCTTACATATTGCCCCCTCAGAGTGATTATGTTACAACAAGTACTGCCTGTGTGTGGCCTCGCCCATAACAGACGTGGAGGAAGACCTAAACCTTACGGGGACTCATGAAATAAATGAAATAAATGCAGGGCCAAAACTGTGATTAAACCAATGTAGAGATCATTGTTCGAAATTCTGTTTTCTCAACTCACCCCAAAATGTTGCTAAGCTTCTTGAGCTTTTGGCTTGTTCTTCGGCCGACCACATTGCTTTGCGTTCTTGCTCAGCAAGAGCTTCAGGCCGGCTTCGAGGGTGATCTTCTTAGGGTCTATGTTCTGATAAAATATATTAATCAGTCAGAAACAGGGGAGATCTTAGAGTCTGAATTAGTAAATCTATTCTTTTTATTTCCCGAAAGAGGGGTAACAAGCACAACGCATTCATTTAAGAACAAAAAAAAAAAAAAAAAAGCGTCAGTATGACTGGAAAAACCTGGTTCTGATCCCCCAAACGTGCCTAGTAACATGCACCGATTAAAGGAAAAAAAAAGAAACTGTCTAACTAAAAATCGATTTATAATTTTCCAAAATATGGTGGTACCATGCATTGATTTAAGAACAAAAAACGGAGGGTAAATAAAAATCTCTTTTTTATTTCCCAAGAGTGGGTAGGAGGAACAAAAATGAACTGTACCTTGTTTGATTTAAGAACAAAAAAAAAAAGGAGGGTATGAACTCAAAAGTTTCTTCTCATCTCAAAAAGATAGGTAATAGAATGCATTTATTCGAAAAGAGCAAGAAGGGAGGGTATGACTAGATATTCCTAGAATATATAATATTCAGACTAGATTATCAGCCAATATATGAAGAGAGAGAAGCACCCACCTTGGGAACTGGAGCAATGGTTCTCCGATGTCTGATAGAAAATCCAACCTTTGAGTGCTTCAACACGACGGGCTGCTTGTCGTCTGGATGCTCACCCTGCAGTGGATATTGTGGAGTTTATGAGACTCAGAAGCATTTGATTGATTAGAAGGGAGCTGGGAAATGGCATATTGTGATAAGGACAGCCATACCAGTGTCAACGGATACTGCAGCAACTCCATAGCATCCTGTACAGTCATTGACTCGACATCCTTGGCCTGAAAAAAATCAACACCCAAAAATAAGGACAATTTTTTGGTGATAGAATCCTTCAGATTAATAAGCATTACGGTTACATCAGAGCAGAGTTTCTGGGAGGAGAAGTTTTTCTTGAAGAAAAGAACTAACCAGTTTGTATAGATAAAGGCTTAAAAAAGAACAGGGTCTGTCAATCATATGATGCTAACGAGTTCCATAAAGCAGGCTATTAAAGTATCTCCTGGTAATTTATAAAATCATCGTAGCTTCCTCCTCTAAGTGGAAGAGAAAAAAAAAATGTATGGCAGGTTCACTTCTAGATATTACAAATCTGCTACTCTATAAGGAACAAGATTGTGAAGCTCCGTTTAACATGGTTTGTTGCTCAGAAAATCAACAACCCGGGGCCCCTGAGGGGTCAGGATAATTATAAATGTTGACGCACAAACCATATGCATGATGGAAATCATGCCAAGTAGGCTTCAACCGAAGAATTTCCATCTTGGTTACCAGCATTTTGAATGCTAGTAACCAAAATGAATTTCCATCTTAAGGGGGTTTTTAGAAATTAATGGATGACACAACAACAGAGGCTCAAGAGGTGGGAATCCTGTGAACCACTGTCAAGAGAAGACCGAAGACCGAAGACCGAAGCTTGTGGGCCATTTCTTGTTATTGTGAAGAATCCGTCATTTCAAACAGTGATGTCATCGTAAGATCCAAGCACCGCACTCAATCACTAAACCTGGGGCTAGTGGGACTGGTGCAGGTGATTGAAATTCAATTAAAATTCAACTTAGTCTTCATATTTACTCACAAATTGAGGGAGGTGAAGCCCTCGATGCCTCTGCAACACAGAATCCATAAGTAGTCATGATCCTGTTTTATTTTGTGAAGTTAAGATACTTGTTTTTAGTGTTAAAAAAGGTAAGGTGAGACGGGTAGGATCTAATGGGCTATGATTGCTATTGTAGTTTTAAATGTAAAAAAATATTATTAATGGCGTAAGAAACATCAGAAAAAATAAGCGAATTCTTTCTTTCCTACTAAACATTAGAAAACAATTATTCTATTTCTAGTAAAACTCGTGGCTAAAGAACAGAAAACAAAAAGAATCAATAATGTACTAGTCGTAAATGTGAAAGTTTCTCCTGACGTTGTGAGAATTAGTCGTAATACGATCATATATTGGCCAGAATTGAATCGGTCTTACCAATAAAATTTCCATTCATCCCAGATCAGGTCATAATTAGCAACCGATTCTAAAATATTTCTCATTTCCCTCAAAGAAAATGATCTAAAAACGAAAGACATGGCGCATCACGAAATAATATAAAAAGAGACAAAGTGAAAATATAAAAAACTTTCCAATCAAATTGTGCCCTAACATATGCAAATGCAAATCATTTATAAATCATCTGGTGGACAATTTTATTCACACTGACCTCAATAGAAGCCCTTTTTGGTGGACAACCTTTTCTGTCCTCCCCTAGTTGGACATAAAATCCATAGGGACCATTCTTCAAGAAAATCTGAAGGAGAAAAGCATACACAGGATATACTTAAGCCGACGAAAGTAAACCAAGGACTCGGATAATAATCAATCTTAGAGTTGCGTAAATAACCTTCTCGTTTGAGCTAGGACTGAGGCCTAACAATTTCGGCTGAAAGCACATCTCTGGCTTTTCAGATGGAACTACCTCTTCGTCTTCACTGAACACTGTCCCTGCAATGTACCTGCAAGTAAATTGTTAACTGATGATTGACAGAAATAGATGATCCGTTAACAGAGGGACATAGAAGATGAAACAGTTAGGTGAAAGCAAAAAAGCTAATCCAGGACTTAGAAGTTAAGACTTGGTCATACAGAAACTGGCAGACCTTTAACATAGAAGAACTTCGTGTCCTTTCACTACTCACTTGTACGTAGGTAATGATACTCTGTCAGTGTAGGAAACTTTCACCACTCCAAGGTCCCAACAAGCAGGAGATTTTATGAGATGCTGCAAGACAAATTTTCCATATTCCCTCACTCTAGTTTTGATTCTGAAACTAGTACCAACATAAGCCCAACATCGAGCCAACCCCTCTTTGTTTCATCCACCGACGTCAAAGTAAGGCCTCATCACTCAATCACCCCCATTTCTAAATTTTATGAAAATACACTCGTGGATGATGGAGATATTTCGCCTGGGAAGACCATGCAATAAGCAGAGAATATGAATCACAGGCACAAAATTACACTGAAGGGTTGAAGAAAATAACTCAGCACTTACTTGCATCTTGGGTGTTGATTACAGCCAATGAAATAGCCGGCACCAAATCTACTGACTTTAAGAACTAACGTCCCATCTGAACAGCTGTATTCATATTGAAAATCAGTTAAAAAGAAAAACAGTAGGATCTTTCTGACCTTCGTTTGACCAGACTGTTGATCAGATACTAGACAAGACTGCAGAAAGCAGAGTACACAAACTTAAGATGCATTAAGGATGAATTTCGAAATATCTTCTTCTAGAAATCATCAAACGAAGATGGAATATGAAGGATCTTATTTGCATTTCTTTGTCATGGCATTTTGTGCCCAAATAGAATCATAAGATATATTAAACCAATTGGCATGTGAGTTCCTCCAGGTGCCTTTGTGATTTTTTTGTACTCCAGAATAATGAGAAATGAGCAAAGGGATGCCCCACACTGCATATGAAAATAAGTCTACTTCGAATGCAACAGTATTATACATCACTCACAGTTACAACAACAAAGATTGATTGCCCCCCAGGGTACCCAAATCCAAACATTAATTGATGGGATGAGTGGGAACACAAGAAGGTGAATATGTTAGATCAAATATCATCCAGGGGCCACAGAGTGGGCCCAAAAAAGCCCACACCAGCAACGTAAAAGGCTGCTCAGTGTGGTTCTGAACACCTTGTGTGTCGGGGACATCTAGTTACCAATACTAGAAAAATCAACCAAAAGGAAAAAAAGAGGCTTCATGACAGGTGATTCCCAGCACCGAAATCCATACGTATCACGTAGCATAGCTATTTCAAGATTTAAATATTATTTTTTCGAGTTAATAGGGAGGGCTATTGTTACAAAGATGATTGAGATTTGAGAGAGACGATTCCATTAGAGAACTGTTTGAAATATATCCAGCAAAGCAAATGCCATAACCTTCTATGACATGAGCAGTCAACAGGGCATCAAACTAAAAGAATCTATTATAAAATCTCGGTCAAGAGTGACTGTTCGTCATAGAGGCCCCGGCGTGATGTAACTCTAATTACAGATTACATATCATGCCAGGAGAGTCTCTCCAGGAACGCTGAAAAACATTCACAAAAGCTAATCACGACTAACCTAGACATACTCAAAAGGAGGAAATACTGCCATTCGAAAGAGCAGTCCAATGACCCTCAACTGCAGTACAGAACAGTAACCACAACCAGCCACAGACACGCCATGTTCTGTGACTTCCTGTAAAAGGGGTGCTAAAAGTACCAGAGGGATGAAGAAACGAATAAATTGGATAAGAAACCCTGGTAAACATTTCTCATAATTTAAATATTTACTTTTTCATTAATCCTTTTGTATATAAAAGCAAATCTACTTTGCTGAAGTCATACAATTTATAATGCAGATGGATGAACCATCTAGGTGCGAGAATTCATCCATTTTCCAATGCTAAGCGTCTTCAATGCTAAAAGTCATTAATAATTTTCATAGAATCTAGTTACATTTGAAATTGAACAAACTAGGTTCCTTTTCAACATTTTCATACGATTCATGGGGAAAATGCCGTATTCTTATCACTTCAGATAAACTTTTAAGGATCTGATACTCATTATTTTCAGGTTTACCCAGGCCAACTCTTTCTTGCACCCTTTTTTTGTCACCCACCATCATTTCAAGCATAGAACGTGGTAAAAGAAGTGGAAGAAGAGGAAGAGAAAGAAGAATAGAGAAGCCCTCTCCATTACTGACAGCAGAAACGGAAGAAGCAGCTGCTTCTACCTCTAAACCGGATTTTTTTAAAAACTTTTTTCCCTCTTGAATGCTAGGGAATGACTACACCAGCAGACCAGAAAGAAGTAAGGATGGATAGTCGCTGCAACAGAGAAATGGGAGGAAAGACTCACCTCTGACATCAGCAAGCACCTTCTGACGCCACCCTCTGCTGAAGGTGTCCATCGTGGGAAGCTGCCTAGATGCAGGGTCTATGGGAAAATGCAAAGATCTGGCAGTTATGCCATGCTCTATTGAATATGTCCATAACGCAGTTTTTACAAACACAAATCTTCATTCCTACCTTTTTTTAAATTTTGAGATGGCATTTTTCCACAACAATGATTAACCTAACCAATTCGATACTGATCCGATGAGCTGAAGCTCAAAAAAGTATATTAGAAATTTTCTTCTGCAGGATCTAGTAAAATAAGATTTGAAGGTAAATATGCTTTGCTCTTCGTCACTGAAGTGGAATCTGGTTAGAAATGTCGTCAAAAAGGAGGAAATCAGGGAGGAGATGAAATTTTCTGGGGACAAAAGATGTTACTTCCCAGTGGGGGGTGGGGGGGGCGGGGACAACAGTAGGAATGAGTGTAACTCTTAGATAAACACTGTAAAGATTTGATAGCGGCTTCGCATCTGCATGTGCTCCACATGGTGGGCATAAATCAAAACTACAATAGTACGAGATACATTGTAATATAAAAATAAAGAACCTCGAGACAGTTAATGAAAACCATTACTGCAGAACTCAGATCTTGGAGTCAACATTTCAGCTGCTTTGAAGGAGTTAACCATGCTTCCGATTAGGCAAAAAATCCATCCAAATTTATTTCTTACGAGCATCAAACAAGAACTCTTCTCTGGTGATGAAAACAGCATCTCTTACAAATAAAGACTATCAACAAAAAAATCTGCTTCATAACTATGAGAAGGTATACAGCAATAAACGAAAAAAGTACCTGGGACACGCTCGACCTTTATCTGGAAGTGAAGCAAACAAGATATGTCCAAGTGTTTCCTCCAACATCTTCTCAACCTATGAAAAAGAATGAATAGAATCATATCGCATTGAATTAATGACAAAGAAAGAAGGGGTGCAGGAAGTCACCACAATCACAAAAAAGTGTACAAAAGGCAGTTCACCACGCAAAAGGATATGTCTACAAAAATACCAAAGAAAATTTTAAAGAACCCAAAAACAGGAGCTTCCTGCCTGCGCCACCCCCATCCCCGCAAAAAAACCTACCCAAATGCAGACTACATTTCAATCTGCCAAAACACAATCCCTAGACGCCTCAGTTACTTGCCAAACCTTTGCCGAATACCACAGAAGCCTGAAATTAATATAGCTATCTATCTATATATATATATATAATATCAACCATGCAGCTTTGCATTGAACATAATTAATTTCATGGAATTCTCCTTTGCCCACCATGCCATAACAATGAGTTTGATCCAACTATAAAGCCATGTGAATCTTCCAAACTGTTATTGTTGTATTACAACGAATGATAACCAAAAGTACAAGTTGCTCTAGTAAGTAGTCTGCATCCTGGCAACAGTGCGTCATTCATGATCACATTTGATCTCTAATGGTGCGCTTATGATATATCCAGTGTTAGAAGTGTGCAAAAATGATTTGGTACTAATTTGTTCTCGCTTCCAGTTGCTCAAGAGAAGGACATTATATTCCTGAATCAAATTTTCATTTTTTCGTTAGTCTAGATAGTCTTTTGAGGATTGCTCGCCACTACTATGCAATGTAGTTTTCTGCATATCAACTAGCCATGTGTGACCTTGCATGGATACTAATTAGATGTTTTCTTCAAGTACTTCTCATTACCCGTAAGGGGGTTGATGTCCTGCAAACAGCTGTGGCCAGAATTCACCATATCTTTAGATCAATGATTGGATAAACCAAACCAATGATTGATGGATTACGGTTAATGATAATTTTGACGTGGGTGTTCAAGGCATATCGTTTTTTCATGCATCGATTTTGTCACACCCATCATTTAACATAAAAACTGGTGGCTAATGCCACCCTCCATGTCAAAAACAGTTTAAAGCTAGTTTCTGGTAGAAATTTGGTTCAAGCGTAAGAAGAGACATAACGGTACAACTCCAACAGCATTAAAAGTAAACAAGGCTACATCTATGACATCTTTATGGACTGAAGTTTCTCATAGCCACAAAAAGTAAAGACCGTACTGACATTCTAAGAATATTCAGGCAAATATGTCAGAGGAAACCAATACCTGCCGAATATTAACATTACTAGCAAGTTGGCAGAACCTGCTAAATCGAGACCAATAATCTCTCAGAAGTCCCTTCCAGTCAGTTATGCCAGCCGAAACATTGTCAAGCTGTTAAATTGGTTAACCATGTATCCAACAAAGGATGTAAGAGATGAATCCAAAAATGGAGTAGATTAAGAAATCATAACACGAGGACTAAAGAAAGAAAAAATCATCAATGATGTTGACATCTTTGTGAAGATGTGTACAAATTCTAAATGATTATAAGCTAGGGATAGAACTATAAGATGGCTCAGTAATATCTATGTTAAGATTGTGAAATAAACTTGACACTTGTTCAGCTGCTAATCTTCAACTGATAATTCTGAAAACCTAATTCAATAACCGAACTTCAATCACACCTTTATCGCCAGAAAAAATGTAGATAGCAGATATTCAGTTCCTCACCAATCTCATAGCACAACATTTATCCTCATTTTAGGCTCACACCGCCTTAATAACAGAGACCTACGTCATAAGCAGCCACTTGGCTACCTTAAGGCTCATGCAGATACCCAGGGTGTTGTGTGGAATCTCAGACCCTCTTCTACCATTAATGTTCAAGAAGCAGCAGGAGAAATGGCATTCCCCTTAAAAGATCTCAAAAGAAGAAATCGACCGCAACCGACATTAAAAAATGGATCACAGATGTCCACGCTCAAGATATCAGTTCTGTCGTTCAATCAGTCTTGCTTCAGAGAAGTGCACCACATGGTCAAAGTTTGAAAGTTCTTTCTGCTTTTGTTGGCACAGGATGTGACATTGAGATCAATATAAATTTTCATACCATTTTGATCTTGTAGTGAGGGTTTTCAGCATTATGTGGAACGAAAAACAGGGAACAATGGCCTAATTTAGTAATTTAAGGACATCGGAACATCTTGGAAATGAATCATCCTTGATCTGTTGAAGACAAACTACTACAATGATCAATAGATTTCCAAAAGCAGTCAGCTTTAAGGCCTTCTTGAGTTTTTCAGTCTGACTAATGTGATAAACTTAACAAATCATGGCATAGTGAACTCGATCACAAATTGGAGCCTGAAATCGTACAATTCCCAAATATTTGGCACAGCCTCTGAGCGGCAAATTACCTTCATCTAGTCTCCTCATAGTTTAGCATCTGTGACCATCAAGGAAGAAATGCAACAAGAAAAAAATCACAAATTAAAAAAAATAGAAAATCATATGGGTTACCTCATTCTCCATATCAGCTGTGAAGCTGTAGTCTGCAACCTCAGAGAAATGGTGTGACAGAAATGCTGAAACCTATAGAAAACAAGTAGTGAAAATTGAGCTGAGCTATTTCTTCGAAATAGACAAATAGAAGAACTGTCAATCTCTATAATATATATGCATCTAAAATTGAAGACAATAGACGAATGCATATCAACAAATAGATACCATTAATTCGTAAACATAGACATAAAAATTAGATTGTTACAAAAAGATATCAGGTACCATTTGAAAGATTACCAATAAACCATTGAAGAAACCTACTCAGATATTATCTGCAGTGGAAGAAAAAATAAGGAACCGCCCGGAATTATTTCTAATGTTCAATCGAACTCGATTGTAAAAGGAAACAAGCTGAAACCGCAAGGGCTTTATTTTACTCGGAACACTCTCACCTTCAGGGATTTTTGTTTCAAAACAGAGTCAGATAAATAAGATATTTTTCATGCTTTCTAACATTGTGAGGACTGTAAATCTCATCATCTTTGATGACAAGAAAGACCAAACGAGCCATGACTCCCCGACAATGAAGGCAAATGCGATTTTTTCTTAAATTGGGTTGCTTTTCTTAAGTAATATGTTTAGAGCTTTTTAATGGATCCAATGACATTTCATTCATTTTCAGGCTTTATTCACTACCTTACTCGTTTATAATTTAAACTTTAGACGTTGAATAAAATGAACGTGGCATATAAGAGGTTGTTTGTGAACTTGCCAGATTCATTGCGTATTTGCAAGACTTGACAATCTAAATATCAAACTTCATATTTTTTCTTAATACTTCCGGACAGCCTTAGTTGAGATCAGACGCTGAGAATTTAGTAAGAACTGTTAACATATTTAACATGCGAAAATTGAGACTGATCAGGTTTTCAGAGTAAGAATGGCAACTTGCATTTTAAGAAGATTCTAGTAGTCCCTTGATACTAAAACATAACAAGTAACGCGTGCAAGAAAGCCTTTTCACCTTTGTTGTTGGAAACTCTTTTAGTTTTAGCTACTATGTGGTAACGGTATCCCCCTTCCTTATGAGTTTCCGTTGCCTTTAGAAATAAAATATAATATGCAACTATTTGGGGTAACACGAAAAAATCTTTCTTTTGTAAGGAAAAAATATTGTTGAACAATACAAGCTGATTATCTTCTACCAACTATTGTGCATTTTTTGCATCACTTCTAGGCAAATAAATTCAGGATTCACTAAGCTAAATAAATGTCCAAAATTAAGGGAAAACGTGCAGAAAATAAGTTATTTTATGAAAAGAGTAACAAATTAGAGCTCAGGAGTCAACCCATGAATTGGAAAGTCGACACCGTTATATATCAACAATTGAGACAGGTGTTGGCACTTGTGTGCAAAATAAACCAAGATTTCCTAAGCCTCAGCCCTTACAAAACGATAAAAAATAAAAATAAAAATTTAGGGAAATGAATATAGGAATCATGGAAATCTATATAACATTAAGTAAAGAATACCGAAAGAGCCTTTCTGTAATTTAGTTTTTTAAGCCTTACTAGGCACACATTTCATACCTCAGGCGACCTCTATAGAACAATAAGTTTCCTAGTCTAAGAATCATGAATATACGTATATAGATTTTTCTGTAAGATCCGATATCAAGTACGAAAAAAAAAAACAGGGTTTTACGGCGACTAAGGTGAACAAGGTGGTAAAAAATATAATAAATAATAGCAGTAATATATATGATATAAATATTCTGGCACAAGGTCTTCTCAATATTCTGTCACCAGTCTTCCCTGATTCCTGCGGTATAATACAAGGGTATTTTTCAGGAAGCCATCAATGGTGCAGAGCCTTGCAACTGTATCAGATGGATACTGGAACCGAATCCTTTAGCACAAAGTGAATATAATATAACTCTCTTCCCCGGGCGAATCAGTATAATTTTGTGCGCATCATTTTCTCCTAGTTCATTTTCATTGCTCTCAACTCATTAGGAACTAGGATTTTCCCTAACTATCAGCAGTCTTTCACCCAAGAGCTCTTTAAATTTTTATAACAATGCTGACGGATAAAAACTTCATATGAATTATACAGCAATAAAAAAACCACCAGATAAATCGGATATTATCATCTAGTTTGCCAAAGGAAAGTTACATTATCTGCCTATGCTAAGGCATTTGAAAAGGATAGAAGGATCTCTTCTCCAGATCTATGGAAAAAATTTCCAATGATATTTAGGATTCAACAATGTAAGGCCATGCTAAAACAAAACCGCAGAAGGATAACAAGGGTAAAGGCACAAATTGGATTTCAGAATTAAGCATGAAAAAGTTTAGATAAAGGATAGAGATGATAATAAAACATTTTTACAGTTGCTTTGGATTAACCCAATAGTTAAATGTTCGTTATATAAGCTCATACCATGCGGCCTCGAAATTCTGGAAGTAAAGCTCGATTTTTCATCGTTACATAGTTTCTATCCTGGGAGACCGAAGAAATACAGATTTCAGAAAAAAATATATGTTAAATTGCTGGAAATAATTGTTAGCTACATTGAATTATGAAACATATAACATGTCAAGTCATGATTTTGGCTAACAAATGGATATAATACAAATGATGATCTAAAAAATACAAATAATATATGGAGATTAAAATTATTTTTCAAACGTTATCAGTATTTCATCAACCTACTATATTTCTTTGCTTATGCAACTATATATCAAGAGAGACAGGACATAATACTCTTTAAATTCATATAATTTACAAATAGTTTAGTTAGAAAACAAGGATGGGCTAGGATTTCAAACTTACATTAATGTCAAAGGAGAAAAATGTTTCTACAATATAAGAAAATATTAATGCTCAGTACTATAAAGTAAATAACTGACTGAATTTCATAACAAAATGTCTAACGAAGTGAACAATTAGCTCACGCCTTCCCCTTTAATAAGTGAAACTAAGAATGAACACCAAAGAGAACAAAGTTATCAAAATTACCGTGAAAAATAATGGAAGAAAACTATATTCACAGGAACAAATCTTTCGGAAGTTGATTAATGCCTTGCCACTGATATAGAAACGAAGTGTATTTATGCAAAATCATACCAACGTTTTTTCATAGAATACCAGATGAGGTTCTATAAAGCTATACACAGCTTGCATTTAACACACAACAAAAAAAAAGGAAATACACAAAAACGATAACTACCCAAACTAAAGAAACACAAAATTCTTCAACCACCCCAATCATATGGAATCGTTGCATCTTAACATTTATATTAGTCGAGTACAATTTTTTACGGAACAACACAATATAGGAACACCCACATCGAGTCTTCCATCCCCTATGTGTTAAGATTTAGTCTCCAGGACACAAAGTATAATCATCGACCAAGAACCCCCACTCTAGGCTGTCAATACCACAATCTTCCTCTGCTGACCCTTCGATTGAATATTCCAAGTCATGATCTTCATTTAATCCGAATGCATTTCAGCTTCTTATCTGCCAGATCTCCAGTAGCCCAATTTTCGCACCTCAACTACTCCTCTTTCATGTTCTAATTTTGTGCATCCTCCTATTTTTGATATCCCCCTCTTTCCAAAGATCATTCCGAGGCATAAATCTCATTACCATTAGGGGTGAGAATCCAAACAGTAGCCATTCTTCTGCCAAGCCACACAGAGTTACACTTGTCCCTCAAATCATGTCCTGCCAAGGCAACCAGTCCTCTAGATCCAAACATCCCTTTTGGATGCCCGTATCGTATTTCACCTTACTAGAGACACACAAATTCGATGTCAATGGTGTGATTCTCAGTTTCATGTGATTGCCTTTCCCTCGCACAACAAAAAATCTGAAGCACATCATTGAGAAGATTAAAAAACTCGCTAGTGAGGATTTTCAGAGGTACTCAATCATTTCCGCAAATTTTCGATCCACCGAATTTCTTCAGATATCAACAACTAATATTAAATATTTGAATGATCCTTTCTCCACAACATGGCTTGACACACTGGAAAGCCGCTAAATATTCAATAAATAATTAAAAGTTACCATAGAATAAATATATCAGTAGAATTTTGGCATCCATTAAATGGACAACCGACCGAAATGGAGGATATAATTTGATCCCAAATAAAATAAAATAAAAAAGAAAAATGCTACATACCTGCAACACTTTTATGATGGGTGCATAAGTAGAAGGTCTTCCAATCCCAAGTTCTTCCAGCTTTTTTACCTTCAAGATGGACAAAAATAGGACTTTCACAACCAAAATAGGCACCCCCCCTATAATTAGTGATAAACAAAACACTAACCAATGAACCTTCAGAGTATCGTGCAGGAGGTTTAGTCTGGTGTTGTTCAAGTTCAACCTTCACAACCTCAACTGGATCATTCACCTAAAAAAATTAATGTATGTTAGATAGATAGGGAATCAAAACCTGGAATATGGACCTTTTTTAATAATGATTTTATAAAGACCAGCATGTTCCAGTACAAGCACAAGAATATAGTTTAGAAAATAATTACCTTCAGTGCCAAAAGACATTTAAAAGCTTCTTCGTGCTCAGTAACTCGATTCTCATCACCTCGGTAGAGAGCAACTTCACTGTCCTAAAATAATCATGGTAAATGTAATACTCGACGCCTATTAAATACCAAACAAAGTAGCATCCACAAAATTGTTTTAAAAAATTTCAAATTGGAATCATGTAAACAACACGATTAAAGATCATTTAAAAAAGCCATCAACCTACACAAATCTGAAAAAGGAAATTAAGGATTTTCAAGAACTAAGAGTATCATTTTTTTATAAGACCGGTACAGTGATTATGGTTTGCAATGAGCATAGTCCTATTTCCAAATAGAATAGTGGACACTTCAAAGAAGAATGTTGTCACCTAAGCAGAGTTGCACACACATTTGTGCACACCTACATGTTATAACCTTGCGGTTATATGCCTCCATATTGGCTTATGTGGCAGGGCAAGCCATCAGGCAAGGTTTAATGTTTTATCCATGGAAAATAATTATTAAAAAGGTTAGAAATAATATGAATTATATTTGTATGTGTGTTTACAACATACAACAAACAACACAATTAAATATTCATATTCCAAATATGGTATTTTTTCTGTCCAATTAAGTGACCCGGATCCCTTAGCTGCCTGGGCTACTTTCTCACAAGGACACTAGCTAGGCAATGCTTTGAAAACTCTGTACCACCCATAATCAAAATGAATCATTTTCAGGAGTTCAGAATTTTAAACTACATGCCACAAAATCAAGGCTTAATTGGAATATTTTCATGTTGTTTTTATGAATTGAGGCCTTATTTTAGAAACCATTTAAAATGGTATGGAATTACGATTCTCAATAATAAAAAAGTGAAAGTGGCCAGGCCAACACATACCAAAAGATGCTAACATCATCACCACCCATCACTAAGAACTAGTACAGCAACGATCATTGTTTTTAAACGACTATTATTAGACATTTAAGGTCAACGGTACACGCTAAGATACCAGAACCATAATAGACCACTGATACTCTTCTGAGGTGACCTATTTGTGTTGGACCAATCATGGCTAATCTGATTTCGTGAAAAGGGAGGACTGAACATTAAATTAAATCCTCCAAAACATTACCGGCCAGAAAGTGAACAATCTCATCTTCCACTAGCTGCTCAAAGTAAGATTAAGGAAATCTTAGATGCTATTAACGGAAGAATGAAGAGCCACAGATGCAATTCCTCAGATAAGGGAAAAGGAAAAAAAATTGACTAGATAAGTGTACCAGAAAACAAAAAGGAGAGAAAAAAACAGACTGCTGTAGACCAATGTTAACTACCACAGCCATACTTCACCTTCCCATGCCCCGCCCCACCTATCAATACACATTAATTTTGCTAGCCAATCGTTTTCACCAATTTGAAAGTTAAATTTCAAACTTGTGCTTTATTGGAAGTCACATTTTTGTGCTTGTTATGTATTATATTTCTCTCGCTTTCTCTGTCATAAGCTGCAGAACTCGGATTTCAGACTTCAGATTTCAGTGATATCAACAAGTATGAGTATGTATTGCAATTTATTTCACTCGTAATAACACTTCGTGCCAAAGTTAGATCGAGTTATCTAATTGAATGTTAAGGGAGTCAAAGAAAATCTTCCTGGAGAGAGGTTGGCGTCGATATATTATGAGAAAACCAATTTTTTTCCCCATGAAAGCATAATTATCAAGTTTAGACCCAAAAAAACCTGATAGACTGCTTGGAATCCCAGGAATCCAACTCTTGATGCAGATGACCGAAGAAGGATATCTCTTTCTGTATTTCCAAAGTCAACTTGAATCTACATGAGACAGCAGTAATCACATCAATGAAGAATTAAAGGTTCAGAACAACCCAATGACAACAGATTGTTAAACAATTAAGTATAGAACATAAATTGGCACACTGCCTGACAACGCCAATATAATGCTGGATGATAAGATGAAAACCCTATAAAGCAAGGTTACCATCTTCTGGATATAATGTGTAAGGAATTATAGGACTTTCTTCATGTGGTAAAGTGTGATTTGACCAAAACTATCATTCTGTAGGTTCAAACTGAGAAACAAGTGTTTGATTCAAACTGATTGTGACATCCCTAGTTTGACCATACCATTGGGAAAATTGAATCTTGGAAAATGTCGGTATTCAAAATCTCCAAGGAAAGGAGAATTGATGCATCATCATTTCTATAGCAGGTAAATAGGAATTTCTAGTGATACCTAACAAAAAAAAATAAAAATTGATGAACTGGCTTTAGATTTTTGTTCAGGTAACAACTGTAGAAAGGCTACAGGAGATTTTTATTTTGAAAGTGGATAGTAGCACATGGTCATCTAGCTCATATAAGAAAAGAAATTTCTTTACTTGGATCAATATTCATGTAAAGGAAGAAGAAAACAAATTGGATTTTAACAGGATACACCACTTAGGCATCACTGCTAAAAAAAGAAAAAAAACCACCACATTATCTCGCTACTATAATATAATGGCCCAACTGCTGAAAAACTGATGATAGGTACTAAAACAAATCAGAGCGTTATGGAAACGGGTAAATAGAGATAAGAACGGACCAGATCACTCGTAGATGTTTCCATTTGGCAAGCCATTGTCCGCATCCAAATAAGAGTGTACAACCTCAGAGAGTCTTCATCAATTATTCCAACCAGGGATGCTACATAAAAGGATACAGGTGAAGACATTACTGGTAGCATTTGAAGAAAGTAAACAGAGTGAATACTTTATATGCTAACATGATAGGGCATTATCTCATGTAAATGACTTGATATGATCATGTTCTCAGGTTCGCCCTAAAAATGATATGATCCTCCAACGCCCAGGCCAAGAAGAGCAAGGGGAAGCAAGGTAGGGAAGAGAGAGATCCAAGGAAAAATATTGGCAATAATACAAAGGGAGCTGACAAACAGGATTCCCTTGATTTTTTCCCAGTTAATAAGACACCAACTGAGAGAGACTGAATTTGGTAGGTGTATCCAAAAGTGACAAGTAAGAGGACAGATTGTCCATTAACCCAGAGTCAGCCCATGACCAGTTGCTAAAGGAATAGATAAAAATTGAAAAAATATAATGCACAAACAAAAAATAAAGACAGCATTCCATCCAAAATTATATCAGTATCTTACAGGGTAGCCTCCGTACGCTGGTTGGTCTGATAGCTTCATGGGCTTCTTGGGCGTTCTTCACCTTCTTAAAATAACTACGTATATTTTTTGCTGCAAATTTTTCACCATACCTACATGTTTCATGCATATGTTAGAATAACTATGCCAAAGACATTAGGAAATAACTAAATCAACATCATGGATAACTGAAACAGACAGAAAACTAAAAAAAGGATGCATCAGAACATCAGACTGGGTGTGATACCAAAAAAAGAAAAATAGTGACTTGTAGAGATGGTGGTTTCAACATACTTGACAGAGATAAGATACCTAGGGCAACAAGCTTAAGGTCCCAGAAAGGTAGACCAAAAGAGTCATGTAGAGAGCTTAAACATTCAATAAAGCTTTATTAGTTCAGAGGAATGATTCTTGGAAGGAACGTACAGAAAAAAGGACAAACCAATCAATACAGTGGATCCAACAGAAATGTTGGAATTTTGGAAAAAATACAACAAAATTCTTTCTTGAAGTGTTTACTCCGTAATTTTCTACTCATTCCACATCGTACATAAATATAATGGAGAAATGTCTTAGTTTCAAGTGTATGGTTCTTATGCTGTTTATATGTTTGACCTCTCTCCATTTTTTTCTGAACACCAATGTGCAATAAAGTAGTCTTAAACCTCAGAACCTTGGACAACTTCATGCAAAGGCAGGTCTGTGAACCCCAAAACAGGGGCCCCTCATGTGCTCTTTGTACCTGATCCCAAGATATCTGCGTCTATTCAAGCAATCAAAGCAAGTTCAATTATGTGCCAACTCAACCATGATTTCGAATTGACGTGGAAAATGCTATGAACACAAAGCTGATGGTGCACTTGGCATTTGACTGTAGCTCTCTTGAGGGCCTGGTTGCCGCTTCATTGGGATTCCCAAGCTTCTTGTTATTCGACTAAAAAATTCAATTCAATTGTGTTAATTGGATGACTAAGAATTTGGGAACCTAGTACAGTACCCAGTAACATCCATGGTACTTCAATGGTAAGTATATTCTATAAAATTGCAATGGGCCTATTTCAGATATTAGTACAAAAAATGCAAGAGCCTATCTTATATAGGGACAACTGTTGTAGGACCTCTATACATAACAATTTCAGATTCTTTTCAAGCCTACATGAGACCCTAATGTCACTATTGTACAAGTAGATCAGCAGTCAAAGTTCAGAAGAAATCTCGAGGCTGATGACATTCAACAACTTGAAGGCTTTCTGGGTTTGTTAGGAAAATGGTCCTCTCAAGGTTAGTACTAAACAAGTGCAACTGGAGATGGAAAAAAGAACAATGGATTTTCAGATCCGATGTGCAATATGAAGTCTACTACACAAACACTTAATAATGTGTTACGAACCTCTTGAGATTTGGGCGAATCTATGCCTTAATCTTACCTTAGACATGGCTCCACTCAGGAAATCAACTCATATTGTATAGAAGGACTAGATTGAACAATTGAAAATGGACATTGGAAAGACAATAGAGGTTTCGCAGACAGTGTGGTGAGTTCCTATGGTCGGATAAATCCTCAAGAACAGGAGAGCCTGAATTGGACCTCCCTAGAGACAGATCTCTCACTCCACTCTTTGTTTCCTTCTTCCCCTTTCTTATTTCGGCCTCTTCTATATTTATAAGCCCAGTACATTATTCTGTCGTGGTCCCCCCGCAATGTGGGGGTCCAAGTCATCTTGTGTAGATGACAGTTGGCTTCATAACATTACTCCCCCCCATGAGTTTTACCTTGTCCACAAGGTGAGATGTAGTAAAATGTCGAAGGAAAGCTGATGCTATCATCCATGACGATTCAAACTCTAGAAGATGTTTTCATGAAACTAATATCTCTATGCCTTGAAAAGTCAACTTGTGAGCTTTTGTTCCATCTGGAATTAATATCCATTCCTGATCTTCTGATAGTGTCGAGAGAATTGGTTGGCTTCTACTGTCTATTCTGAGTGTCTTCCTAAATTGGGATATATGGAACACCGGATGAATAATTGAATGATTTGGCATTTGGAGTTTATATGCCACTGGTCTAATTCTTTCCATAATAGAATACGGACCAAAATAGTGAGGGTTTAACTCCTCACTTGTGCCTTGTGCAAGTTGAATTTCAAAATCCTGAGGAGAGCATCTCATTCCAAGAGTAGTTGACCGATAGCATCAAGTGGTGAAAGAGATGTTCCATATTTGATAAGTTTTGACGGGTCCCTGTTATATACCACTCAAAAAGGAGTCATTTTAATAGAAGAATGATAGGAAGTATTGTAACTATATTCTATCCTATGAAGCCATAATTTTCACTACTTTGGTTTATAAATACCACATATCTCAAGTAATTTTCTAAGCATTTTTTACTACTTCAATTTGTCCATTTGTTTGAAGGTGGTAAGAAGAGCTGAATTTGAGTTCAGTCTCATAGTGTGTAGCTGATGCCAAAATACACTTAACAATATTTGTTCCCTGTTAGAGACCACTGTCTTTGGAAACCCATGGAGCCTTATGATTTCCTTGATGAATAATTGAGCGACCTCCTTGGCTGAGAATGGATGATGTAGGGCAATGAAATGATTATACTTAATCTATCTAGTGAGCCTTAGGAACTAACAGAGTTCCTTAAGATTTATAGGAATTGGCCAATTAGTCATGGTAAATATCTTCTCCTTATCAACTTCTACTCCTGCTGACACTTAGTGACTAAAATACTAGACATTAATATGAAGAAAATTTTCAGAGATAATAGAAAATACCTTCCTCATATAATGACAGATGTTCAACAATTGTGACGCTATACACAAGTATATCATAAAAAAAAACAATATGAATTGCCTCAATTGATGTTGAAATATTTGGTTCATAAGTGATTGAAAGGTTGCTAGTGCATTTGACAATCCAAAAGACATGACTTTAAATTCATAATGACTGTGATGAGTCTTGAATGTAGTCTTAGGTACAACTTCTTTTTTCATTCTGATCTGATAATATCTTGATTTTAAATCAAGTTTTGAAAAAGCTGATTTCTCCGAGAAGACCGAAAAAACCAAATTCAGCTCCTCCCCCCGAGGGGGACTTAGGGGGGTATTAAAAAAAATCTTAGGAAAAGAGATCATTTGGTGCATTAGGAAAATCTTAGGCTGATTTCTAAATCATTTGGTGCATTAGGGTCTTTATTTAAGTGAATATGATGCAATTCAACCATATATGTCTTACTACACTTAAGTTCCTTCTCTACTCTTTTTGGTGACATTAATTTTTGTAACACAAGGGTCTCTTTTGAAGATGTGAATTTTGTCTTCCATCATGAATCTACCATAAAGTTCTCAACCACTGTATGCCTAAGATCACATCCATGCCACTCAAATCTAGTGGTAAAAAATCTTGCACTGTCAAAACACCTTGCACATGGAGAGGAATAGTCTTAAAAGTTACTACACATGCCACTATGTTGCCACTGCCCATAACTATGATGTAGCCGTTTAACTTCTCTATTTGTAAGGATAAGTTATCAATTATTTTGGTGCACAAAAAATTGTGAGTTCCCCCACTGTCAAGGAGTATAGACACCTTAGTGTCATGAATTTTGCCCCATAGTTTCATAGTCCCTTGCTAAGTAATTCCCATGACTGAGTTTAAAGACACATGTGCAGTGAAGGCATTTTCATCTGTGTTGGATGTGGCCTGATCAAATAGTTCCCACCCTTCATTAGTGTTGTCATCTTCTGCACTGTTCTAGTCTTCATCCATAATAATAATATTCAACTCCTTTTTACAATGATGCCCTAGATCAAAATTTTCATTGTAGTAGTAACATAATCCCTTAACTCTTCTCTTCTAAAATTCATGATTCGTTAACTTGAGTATCTTGCGGTTACTCACATGTTTCTTGAATGTCATGGAATTTCCCTTTAATGTGCCTTTAGCTGAATCCTAATTATCTTTCCTGAAATTACCTCTATAATTTGTATTCTAGAATTCTCTTTTGTAATAATCATGTTGTGGTTGAGGTGGTTCATGCTTTGTAATCACCTATTTCCCAAAGAATTCATTTACACTTTCAAATTTCATGAAGATGAATCTCAACTTGGATTGACAAATTCATTGTTTCTCTGAGCCCCAAGGGCTTATGCATCGCCAATTCAGAGCTAATGTTTGGTTTCAAACCCCTCACATATGAATCTTTTAATACTTATGTATTTATATGAGGTAGAAAGGTTGCAATTCGTTCAAATTCGGCCATGTAATCTTTTACTGATGTGGCTTATCATAAGCTCATTAGTTGTTGCAGTGAACTCCCAATCTCAAACATCTTGAATCGTTTCCCCAATTAACTCCTGAAGTCATGCTAATCTCGAACTGGAAACCTATCTTCCATCCAGAGATGCCATTCTAGGGCTTCTCCCTCCATACTCAAAATAACTTGTTTGAGTCTATCATGTTCTGACATAGAGTTTAGGTGGAATATCTCTCAACACGCCCAATCCATCCCTCAAGGCCATCTCCTTGAAAACTAGTAAATCTATCTTATGATTTATCTATGTTTGGCCATCTTGTGAAGCTTGACTTGAATGAGTGGGTGCCATTATATGGTTGCCTCGATTCCTCTCTTGGATCATCATTTGGATGCGAACATAAGTACATATCCCTTGTGGATAATTTCTGGAAAATCTGGTTGAGGATTTCTCTTTGCTCGATTAGGGATTGTTCTTGTTTAGCATATCCTTGTTTCAAAGTTGTGACCTCTTCTTTTAACAAAGCCATCTAATGTGTCTTAGACCTGATGAGCATCTGCCGATCAAGATAGGTTTCAGTTTATACTAGATGATCGTTCTTCTTACTGTAGATCTGCCAATACCCTTCCAATGCTCTGACTCTATGGAAGTACGACAAAATCGTTGTAAGAATTACCTTCATTTCTTGAATTTGTTGTAGTCCGAACTTGAAAGGGATTTCTGCTTCAGCCTTGATAATTCAATCTCTTGTAATCTTGTGCCTGCAGTAATTGCTCCGAGCTCTCACAAAAGGACCATGATGTCTGCTCTGATACCAATGTTACGAACCTCTTGAGATTTGGGCAAATCTACGCCCTAATCTTACCTTAGATGTGGCTCCACTTAGGAAACCAACTCTTATGTTGTATAGAAGGACCAGATTGAACAATTGAAAATGAACATTCAAAAGACGATAGAGGTTCACAGACAATAGGGTGAGTTCCTGAGGTTGGATCAATCCTCAAGAACAAGAGTGCCCGAATCGGACCTCCCCAAGGACAGATCTCTCACTCCACTCTATATTTCGTTCCTTCCTTTTCTTATTTCGGCCTCTTCTATATTTACATGCCCCAGTACATTATTCTGTCGTGGTCCCCCCTCAACGTGGGGGTCCAGGTCATATTGTGTAGACGATGGTTGGTTTCATAACATAATGTCACATAGGAGAGTTACCAATAGCAAATGGTCATTCTTTTCTAAGAAATCATTCACATTATTGCCTATGTGGGGAGGTAGGGAGGGGAAACTTCTGGATTCGTGTTCCTTTCTTTCTTCCCTTTGGCAATCTGACAGTTTTTACATCTTAAACTGGGTACTTGTCATTACCAAGTCACATTTATGAAAAAACTTTAAGTTGGCGTCAATATTCAAGAAGAAGGGCAGATCATAGTATTTGATTTACAGCAACACACTGCTATTTAAATATGGAGAAATAGATGAATAGTTCAAAGGAAAAGTGATAGACTTTAAAATTTATCAGTGTTCTTTGCAATAAGATGAAGAAAAGATTAGGCTGGTGAGAAATTGAGAAACAATTTTCATTGTTTTTTTTCGAATTTTAGAGTTTGTGCAATCCCCATGTTGTGGTAGGATACAACTTAAAGATGAGAAGTTATTTTAATGTTGATGGATTAGACACATGTATAAATTTACTTTTCATTTACTGGTTGTGTAATATAATTCACTTTCACAACACAAAAAATTGAGGGTGATCAGTGCCTCATCCCTGGCGAAGCAGAACATTAACCCCCAATTATCATAAGAATTGATATATTGAGTTCAAAATCAGCTACTTCAGCAAATCACAGTCCAAAGACATTGAAGACTTCTAGTAAAGAACAAATCGATGGTCATTTATGATTATTAAAGCCCAGGAAAAGCACGTTGCATGTACTAACAAACTTGCGAGGTCTAAAAACAATGTGCTTACCTTTCTGTCACTAGAAAATGGATATCCTTTGCAGCTTCCTCAGAAACCTAGGAGAAAGTGGAGAAAGTGAGATTACAGCAGTCTGCTTCGAAAATGAGAACACCTCAATGTGCAACATGAAACGTCAAAATCATAAGCAGGTCTCAAGACCATTAATATGTGACAAGTTCAATAAAAAAGTCTTGAACTCAAATTCCACCAGAAAACACATAATATGCCAGAATCTTAACAAATTAGTATCCACGAAAATGTTGAAAAGGAATTGCAAATGATAAAATGTATTTATCCCATATTTCCCTCAAAACTATATGAAAGTATTCAACAAACTGAAATCATCATATTTCCGTCAACATATCATAAACTTAGATCACAACAGTTTAACTGGAGCAAATATGAGCATTATTCTCATTGAGATTTTACAATCAAATATATTTACACCCATTTCAAGCTAGGAGACAAGTATACTTCATAGGGACATTATTCTCATCGAGCCTTTACAATCAAATATGTCTATAGACATTCCAAGAGGTGAGATAAGTGTACTTCAAATGGTGAAAGAAGACACTTTCTAACTAAAATTAAAGTATACTAATTTATTAGAGGAATGAAAGTAAATAATATAGTTGATCCAGTTTTATGGTCCATTATGAAGGATATGGGTTTAAATTTATGGTTAAATAAGAGTAATTACTTGTGATAACAAAAAATGCAACTATTCAGTGACTTCTGGGCGCATGAATTCAGAGGTAAATACAATGATTTCAAAGGTATAGCAATTTTCTAAAGGACAGCAATCAATATAAACAACCAGAGCAATGTCTTCTGACAAGAACGAGATTAGATGATAACTCCTCATGAAAATAATGATAGTGGACTAGATAAATGAAGTTTTACTAAACGGAAACAAGAAGATTGGTTAGTATTTTGGTAAAGAAAGACGGAGATTTTTTTTACACAAAAAAATTTACATTATTACAAATAAAATGCATTGCCATGGCAATTTACGGAAAAGAAGCCCACTATGAGCTAAACTGGTGCTTACATGGAGACCATCAGTTCGCATGTATGTTATCAGACCCGTTGCCTCAGAATCTGAAAGCTTGACCCCTTCATACAATTTTTGAGCCAACTGCACAGAGGCACAGCAGGTCAATGCAAGCACGACAGGGCTCTGAGGAACAAACAAAGCCCAGATACGACATGACATGAAAAACGTCATTTATTGCATGTTTTAGAACTCAACATCGGAAAGCTGACTGTCTGGATAACAATCAAAATTCCCACCTTGGGAATCTAGTAGACGTGAAAAATCGTTGATTTCATTCTTCCTGGCCTTTTTTATGCATTTACCTCGGGACAACATCTTTACTATTCCAGCAACCTTCTGAAGAAAGGCATTTGTTTTTACTAATATCCCTCAACTAAACCAGCATTTTTCTATGAAACCAATATATAAAAAGAAACAAATCAAGCCTTGAACAGTCGAAAAGAAAAGAAAAAGAGGGACCCCACAGAGGACATCAGACAGTTTCATTCTAACGAGTGAAGTATTTGAAAAAAAATCAAAAGGAGGATCCAAATATGGTAATTATGAAGACGAGAACCCAGGTAATTTGGCAGAGGATAGAACTGGATTGGAATACGTACACATTTACCAGGAAAAAAAAGGTTATGTGAAGCTAGTTCGTGTTCTTCCACCTTGACATAGGTCAGTGTGTTGAACAAAGTCCAAGACAGCAATTCCAAATATCTTTTGTCAGTGAGCACTTTTATTTGATTTTTCGGGGATTTTTGGTGTCAAGGGTGCATGTCATTTTATCTTCATTTTTTGGCACATAGCATAGTTTAATTAATAAGTTGCATTTTTTCTTTTTTTCTTTTATTGTATTTTTTTCTTTATTACTTGAGAGTCGAACAGGACCAGACCGTTCCAATTCAACCCAACCCGGACCGGACTGGTACAGTTCAAACCCTGTTCGAGGTTTCCGTAATAAATACCAGAACCAAAGGTTAATCAAGGAGAAACACGTCTTATTTTCCACCTTTCCATTCAGAATTAGGCTTTTCGCCGCCTGTAACATAGTGATCAACACATTTCTTCATACCATTTCAGCACACACACAAAAAGGTAAGGAACAAAATCAACAAGCTCATCAGAGCAGACGGAAAATGGAACCCACATTATATCCAATAAATAGTCTGCCTCAAGAACTATTTGCCCACTTTTTGTCTTTCAATAAAGTTTCATAATTCCAAAACATAAACAACCTCAATTTAAGAAATTTTAGAAATAGATATACCTTATTCGCCTAAAAAAATTTGAAAAAGTTCCACAAAAGCGATAGTAAGAAAAACGATGGGCATTTCAACTTTACATGAGGATAATTTACCTTCATAGTATATGCAGCTGAAAACTGTAACTTGTTGGCAGCATCTTGTTGAAGAGATGATGTGATATAAGGCATTGGAGGATTTCTCTGGATTTTGCTTGTTTTTGACGCCACTACCATAAATTTGGACGAAGATATTCTCTTCTTAATTGCCTCTGCCTGATCATCCGAAGATATTGATAACTGATCCAGCTTTTTGGAGACAAAATGAGTTAACTGCGAGAGGATGGAAACACCTTTGGAAGAGGTAGAACTGGTAGCTCCAAATTCAACTCCAACACTCCAATACTCTTGGGATTTAAATTGATCAATTTCCATTTCCCTGTCACATATGAGAGCTAAAGCTGCAGATTGGACACGTCCAGCTGACTGACATCCGGGTAGTTTCCTCCACAGTAGTGGTGAGATACTAAACCCAATCAGATAGTCAAGTGCACGCCGAGCAAGATAGGCATTCACCAAGTGAGTGTCAATATTTCTGGGAGACTGCAATGCATTTTTAATTGCTGTCTCAGTTATTTCATGAAAAACAACCCGTGCCACATTAATATTTTCACTTAAGGCATCTTGTTGCATTAACATTTCGATAATATGCCAGGCAATTGCTTCTCCTTCACGGTCAGGATCTGATGCAAGAATTAGGTTGTCCACTCTGGAAAAGATTACGGACATTCAGACAATGAAATCCCAGGTACTGACGGAAGGCATGGAAACAAGAACAATTGAGATTTAGAGGGGAAAAGAGACCAGAACAACAAAAAAAAGTAAAAGTAGAGTGTTCAACCTCGCCAGGCTTCTTACATACATAATCGTGCTACATGAGCATATACATCTAGGGACTCTCATAAAGCAAGAGCAGCACACAGAGCGCTTTAGATTAGTAAGCTTACTTCCATCTTTCACTCTACTAATTTCTTGGTTTTTGAAAGTGGATAGTACCACCAATAGATACTTACAGAAATATCTATCACCATTTTGGCCAGGTATGGACAATAACTAAAAATATCCGAATCACAATTTTCTGAGGGCTAGATACATATGTGAATGCCTTAAAGAGGAAATTGTTCATGAAACAGATGCATTCAGCAGTAAAAATGTTATGCACCTCATCAAATCAATAATTGTCTGCATCGAAGAGGGATAAGCGAATTCATTTTTATGCTCCATGTGAAGAGAATACATTTCTGAATGTGGAAAAATAAATATCTATGATGAAGAGAATAAACAAGGAATAAAGTTGGCTGTGTAATAGGAAGGAAAATTTCAGAAACCATACAGACAAGGAAGAGGGTATACAGAATTCACTGCCGAAGGACATCATTGGACAGGAGAATCACATTCAAATCCACTATGACAAGAAGTTTTGGAAGCGGATAAATGAATGACAGGCATACTTCCATTATAATTAGAGTGTGACAGATGAACGAAATGATAAATGAACGATAAATGTGAAGTGAAATTCGAAAATGACAATAAAACCAGTGACCTATGTCTGGCATTGTCATTTATAGCTTGATTTGAACCTGAGGATTAAAAATTGGAAATTAACTGAAAATGAATGCGTCAGCCATGAGAATGTCCCAAATGCTGGGAGGATATTCAGCAACCACAGACGTAAAAGAGAAAAATACGATTGACTAGATGCGGTACTCATGTGCAATAGATACTAGAGACTATCAACGTGGAGGAACTGTAGAAACCGAAAATCAAATGATTTGCGCGATCCTGTGCATTTTAAGTAATGCAGTTATAATTTATAACGATTGAATGTCTTAAATATTAATTAAAATTTTACCGACCATATAAACAACAATGAAATGATATCCATTCAGCATACAATTCTTTAGTCTATGATCAAATAGATTGATGATGGACGATTTGATTTTTTGTGGGAACCATGGGACATTGAACAAATTATATTCAAAGGGCTATAGGGTTGAGGGAAAGAAAAGACCAGAGATTTCAATCTTACCCGCCTAGCGCTACCTTAATGCTCTTAAGATGGGTCCATGCAGAAGAAGGGACTTCCCAAACCATACTGAAGTCGTCATCAGGCCGTACTGATCCTGACCTCCCAGCAAGGTCCCTCACATGGCCATAACTAGGCAGCACTTCAAACATATTCCCCAGGTAATTCTGTATAATTTTTGCTTTTGTAGCAGATTCTACAATGACAACTGACTTACCAGAAGGTGGGTAAAGAGGTCTTATTTCCCTATTCCCCATCTTCAAACCTCCTCCAGATAACGGTTGTTTGCTAACTGTAGATACGGAATCTCCCGTTGATTTAGTTTTCCTTCTTCGCACAGTCTTTTTACCTTCAGTTTCTACTTCACCAGAAGATATACCATCTGCAGGAAGGGTCTGTACTTTCTTACGACTTTCCTGCTGGCTCCTCTCAACGGGAGACTTTGCTCTTGGAGTTTTTTCACTGTTTTTTGCTGCTGCTTGCCTTTTTTTAACGGCTTGGCTTAGTGGCTTTTCCGACTTTTCGGTATCAACTGTTTCTGCAGCTAATTTAGTAGCTTTTGTTGTCCTATTTTTTTTTGCAGGTGCATTAACCATGACATTTGACAGATCCATCTTCGCTGTCTCCACAGCCTTGACCTCTCCCCGGATGCCATTACAAGAAGACAGTATCTTTGTCTGTTTCTGGCGTTCTTGAAATATCTGAACTAAAGAACTTCTGATTGGACCATTTTCATGAGCCCCAACCACATGATCACTAACGTCCTTTGAGCTCACTCTCGCTTGAAACTTTGCTATGTTCTTGGATGAAAATAATCTACTGTTATTCCTTACCTTGTAAATACCAGAAGTATGGTCTTCCCTGAGCCGTATGGTATTAATACTTCTAATTCTCAATTGGGGACGAACACAAAGCAAGCCAACATCCCCATGTCCAGCATGAACACTCCCCATATTTCTGGCCATCTTAAGCTGAACTGGTTTTACTAATCTCAACCTGCTCCCTTGAAGTGAATGAACGATGCAGGAATCTGAAAAACTCTGAATAGACCTGCAATGATACTGTCACATGAAACACAAGTGAGACAAAAGAAAACACCTTTACGTGAAAGAAAGATAAGGTTTACTTGATAATATGTCTCAGTATTTGAGTATTCATCCTACACCGATTTATCCTTCATAAACCAAGAAGATAGAGACTTGCTTCACCAGTCTTCTTAATCTAAAGCATGATCATTCCCCAAAATGTCACCCTACCGTTCCCTTGTCCACGAATTCCCGCCGTTGATGAGAACCACATAAAATTGTTTATGGAAGAGCTCATGTTTGGTGTGATAATTTCCAATCTTTGTTTACTTCATCGTCCCGAAAGCCACATTCACGCCCAGTGAGAGGGATTACCATCACTGGAGGCGGCCGAGAAGACGCAAAGAAAGGACTCCCCTGCAAGTGACTCGTCCCCAGCAGCCTACGCAGCTGAACCGCCATGCGAGCTCACTCTTACTCGCCACAGAAGCAACAACTCCTTCCGGATTGAAAACAGAAAAGAAGCAATGTGTGAAACGAGAGAAATCAGCACCGCCAGCAGTGAAAGCAAAAGCATGGCAATGGCGCGTTCTCCCGCTCTCCAGCGGTTACCTGCGGACGGACGCGAGAAGTACTGGTGAGGCTTCGAGTCAGCATCTGTCATACCCGAAAAGCATAGCGCCGGATACGGACGTCGAGCAGGCATTCATATGCGGCGGAGAAGCGAGAAAAACCTCGCCCCCGCCATGGCTCCCCTAGGGCAATTTCCAAGAGCAACACCACGAGAGATGGGGAGGGCTTTGGAAGAAGGGAGGCGCCAGGGGAGAAGGTGGATAAACCCTGAGCCGAGAATTGGTTCGTTTCGATGTGTACAGTTCTGTGCGTCTCACAGACTTGAGTCCATTATGGGTTAAGCTTAGGCCCCCATCATTGGACGATATTCTTCGGTCAACGGTGCTTCTTGGGAATTCTCATCGTCGATATGCTTACATGGTGCACACTGCAACGTATCCACACATCTCGTATAGTAGGTACTTCTAAAAAAGCTTTTTCGAAAATACCAATGGAAAATTATTATTAAAAAGTTTATAAATATGGAATAATAATTAAATAAACCGAATAAAACATGTTTGTCGGTGATTTTTTATCAAAATGTTGTGATTTCTGTAAGACAACATAACCATAATTTATCTACCATATTTTATTGAACATGAGGAATCTATCGCATCTAGTAATAACCCATTAACTAGTTATATTACATAATATCATACAATTATATATATTTCAGCATTTTCTATGAGTTTTTTAGAGCCAATGGCCGCATAAATAAATGAGAAACTATGAATAAGTCACATGATTACTATAATAAGTAGACCATTTTTGTATTTAATAAGCAATTTGCTCGAATCATATATATTATAACTTTACAAGAGCCAATGAGGAATATGTTATGATTTTTTATGATAACCAGGTATTTTTTCATTAAAAGAACGGAAGATATTGATATTCTCCATATAATGAATTTGACCATCATTTTTTTGACATTATTAAATGGTATATTATGCAATAATTTGCCTCATGAGCCTAAGCTTTGTAGGGTTGTAACTAAAGCTCATAAGAGGCATGGTGAATTGGACCATTTATTAAATACTAATATGGAAATTTATATCACATAAAATCTCTCCTTTTTTTTCTCCTTGTGATAGCGTTAGACTCCATCGCTCAAGGAATTTTTCATGTTCCTGGGTATAATCTCCGATGCTTACAATTTTGCTGGGTTGGGATTTTTCAACAAAATCCCCCTATTACTCATGTATCAACAAATTAAGATTTAGATGGAACATGTCCTTGCAAAACTATTCCAGTTATCAAGTAGAGAGAGAAAGGGGCGAGAGGGAGAGGGAGGGGATAGAGAGAGAGGAGAGAGAGGAGAGAGAGAGAGAGAGAGAGAGAGGGAGAGAGATGGAGAGAGAGAGACACTTCCTCCTGAAAACCTAGTTTTACCATCTCTGCTAGCATCCAGTGAATTAAAGGTTTCTTCCAGCAGTAGTAACAGGCACTAGAGGACAGAGAGAGAGAGGGAGAGAGAGAGAGAGAGAGAGAAGAGAGAGAGAGAGAAGAGAGAGAGAGAGGGAAGAGACGGAGGGGTAGAGAGAGACGAAAGAGAGAGAGAGAGAGGGAGAGAGAGAGAGGGGGAGAGATAGATGCTTCCTCCTGAAAAGTTAGTTGTACCATCTCTGTAAGCATCCAGTGAAATTAACGTTTCTTCTAGCTGTAGTAACAAGGACTGGAGGCAAAATACTTCCCGTATACCAGGCCGCCAAGGCCAGAGATGAAGCAAGTGTTTTATGAGAGACAAGAGTTTTAGCCGGATCAAGGAAAATAAAATGACATGGATTCAAGCGAAGGTAAAGACAACCGATTCTACTCCATATAAGATGAACAACTTTGAAAAGACGTTTGTTTATGATACAGAGATTGCATATTGAAATAAATACAGGGATTTCCTTCCGCCCGCCATCCAACAATGTGTTCTTCAGCCAGCTGCCCCAAAGCTGCCTCAGAATCTTCCGAAGGCATTGCTCAATGAACAGATTCTACCACCATGAAAATCATGAAGGAAGAAGATGAGAGATCACAGCATGACAATGGTTCCATGTGAAACCCTCATAGATTTATGCCATGCTCGCATGCCTCATCTGTCTGCTTAATTCACGTGGCAACTGGGTGAGATTGATTGCTTACTCAGTAGATGGATGAATCAAATCTGGGTTCATAAAAGCAAATCTGACTGCTGCATAACTGCAGAGCACAGCCAGCTATCCATGACCATGCTTTCTTCTCAACGTCATACAGGAGCCCCCTCCCTTGGTTCCATGTGGTAAAGCATATCAAGTTATCCTGACCAAAACACTCAAATCTTTCAGCAGACAGCCTCAGCAGTGCCCTAAAATATTTCGGAGGCATCCTATTTATCTCTACCCACACTGTTCTGACGTGATCCAACTCCCAAATTCTCATGCTCTGCAAGGTACTGTACAGCCCAATCCTCCCCACCAAGAACAATCGCTTGTGAGAACCAGCAACCAAGTAACCATCCAACAGAGATCGAGGAAATTTGGCAGGTATGTGCTCCCAGCATCCGGTATCTATTCGATACATCATCATACCAAGCGGAGAAAGTGTCTCCAGGTACAACCGAGAGTCACAGAACGCCATCTTTGAAGAACAGACACTAACAGCAGGCATTATCTGATTGAGAGACCAGGAGTCAAGCTTTGAATCATAGACCTCTGTGGGTAGAGGTTCATAAACATCACTTGCAGCAATCACCTTGAACGATCTGTCCATCCTGTCAACAACCAGGATCAATTGACGTTGTTGATTATAGTGCATCATGGGCAATAATCTCCATTCCTGCGTAAGAGGATTGCAGACTATGATTCTAAAAAGAAGCCCATCAAATCCAGAAAGGCAAATGAGACCACCTGAGGAACCAACTAAGAAGAAGGCCCAGTGGGGCAAAAACCCAGAAGGTATCTTATACCATGTCTTCAGCGGCAAACTGAAAACAGAGCAATGGTGGGTCTGGGAATTCCTCCAGAGGGTGAGAAGGCAAGGACCATGGGATGGAACCTGAGAGTGGAACTTCAGAAAACTATTGTCATTAAGAATGGAGTTCCATCGTCTGCAAACGGACCGCATCCTAAATAGCAGGAATGGAGGAATTCGCGCAAGAACCTCGCTCAATAAATCGTCTGGCAGCTTTGCCCAAATGTCATGTTCCATGTGGACATCCGCTTGGATGATCTTGCTAAATGTTGTCACAGTCTCTTCGTCAAACCCTCTCGGCTTCGTCTTTATCACTTTCTGCCGCGAAGGGCTAGTGTTCTGCATACCATTCCTCGCCACAACTACAGTCTGTTTTAGACTACCATTTTCCAGAAATGTGTTGCTGTTTATCGTTATGGATCCTGTTTTTCCATCCCCAATCATCTTTTCCAGAGTCTCGTGCAAGTATAGCTGCAATGGAATATGAAATCAGAACAGAAGAACTCTTACGTAAATATACATGTATAGATCATTGATACGGATTGAACGTCTGAAAAGACATCTGAAAAGACTCATCTGCGACAGTAACCAAAGAAAAAACAACTCCATAATTATACATTATAAATAAATGAGCCAACAAGGCGAAGTAGATCCAACTAAACGCATGAAAAAATGAATAAAATGTATACACTACACTGATTGTAAGCTTATCGAGAGACCGGAACATTTTCTCATGGGAAGCTCATAATTTTTTCGTCCATTATGGAGGCGAACATTGCAGGAAAACAAAAGCAGGAGCTTCGACAAGTATTCCGATGGAAAGCTAAAAGTGCAAACCACTCATTGGACGGAAGATGAACCGGTTGAGAATCTCAAAAATGCGGATCTTAGCTCCACCAAAGTCCAAGCATGAACTCGGGGCACTACATTCCGCATCTACGCTGAAGAAAACCAAAAATCAGGAACTAAAAAAAAAGGAGGAAATCTCCGATGAAGAGGGTCGAGAAAACAAAAAAACCGCCAGAATCAGCATCCTATCAGTGCGTAAGAACAGGCATCAAACGGGAGAATCGACATAAAAACCCAGACCTCTCGCTCCACATGCGAAAAAACGTGAAGAACAAAAAGCCGAGAACTAATTCCCTCCGAACACATCCATCCAACGGAGTACCACATACCTTGTTGATGGCACTCTCGTCTCCACACTCCCTCCGAAAATACAAGATGAAGAAAAGGAAGTCACCCTTCTCCCCTTCGAGGATACGAGGGATGAGGTGCAGATGGCAGCGGGGAGACCCTTTCGATCAGATTCCTCCCGCCGGCAACCCTCGCCGGCAGTCGAAGCCTACACAAGATGGGAGAAATGGAGAGGAGGGGCGCCTAAAGTGGGGCCCCACGCCACGCCATCCTCACATCGGACGGTCCAGATCGCCTGAATATATGTACCCCCGCCCCCTTCCCCCTCCTATTGCTCGACGGCCAACCAACCCTTTTTAAATCTCGAACCCCAGTGCTTTAGGCACTGAACGCACGGTTGAGCATTTAGAATCTAATTCCAAAGCTTCAGTCCACGTATTAAACTTACCCTTGTCACTATTTTCTCTGACGCGTATGCGGCGCGATACTTAACAATGCCGTCCACGTGGATAATTTGGCCATGAAACAATCAAGTAAAATATTAACAAAATTAATTATTTTCGCCAATAGCCCAGCCCAGATTTCTCCTCACCATAGCTAGCAAAGATATCCAACTAGATGAGGACATCTAAACAGTCACCCAACTCATCTTTGACCAACATTGTTGACTTAGACACAACATGTTTGGACTTCATTGGGGTGTGTGCCAACGTTGTGGAATGTGGCTACCCCCTTTGACCTAATTTGGTTTGTAGAGAGGTTAAGGTGAAGCTATGTTTAGATGACACCTCCTCTTTGACCAATCATTGTTGACTTCAACACAACATGTTTGGACTTCATTGGGGTGTGCCAATGTTGTGGAATGTGGCAACCCCGCAACTCATTCCACAACATTGGGGACAACATGCTAGGGTCAAACTCTACTTAACCCCACAACTCATCTTTGACCGACATTATTTGACTTACACAACACACTTGGATTTCATTGGGATGTGCATTCATGTTGTGGGAGTTGACTACCCTAGTTTGACCTTAATTTTTTGTGTGTTCGACAAGCTAGGGTCAAACCATATTTAGCCCCCCAACTCATCTTTGACCCACATTGCCTTGATACCACTTTCGGGCTGCATTGGGGTGTGTGCTAGTGTCATTAAGTGGCTAACGCAACTTGATCAAACCATGTTTAGCCCCTCCCTAGCCCTCTTAAAGGTGGCCATGACATTTGACTTTATGTTTTGACTTGGGTTTTCTTGCATGCTTCAACTTAAATACATAATTGAAAAAGATAATCTTAAAATCTAGATCTGGTCATGTTTGTCACAAGGTTATCCCACTTTCATCAGCATATTGACTCACCAACATTGGGGCACATGTTTTACTAGACCATGCCTACATGTCAATAAGGCCAGCCCCAAAACCCAGAACCCATAGGCCATGCTTTTTAAGTCTTTTGTTAGAACTTATAATTTATCCAAATGAACGATTTGAACACTTATGGATTCTAATAGCTCATTGCAGAGTCGATCATATGCACCTTTCAATTCCTAGATGTGGATCTCGTACCTATGAATGGCATTTGTCTATGCTACACAAGGTTTATATCATCCCATCTTGTGATAATCATATGATACATGTTGTTATCTTAGTTTATAACTCTAATTTAAGAAATCATTATTTAGATTGAATTATATATATATATTAAATTCCACACTTGTAATCTAGAATATCCTGATTTGAAATTCCAATTATAAGTGAACCTCTAAAGATATTTCAAAAAACTGTCAACACTTGCATGAATTCGTCCTAAAATTTATTGAAGAGTTTAAAGATACCTATTAGCTTGGAGTAGACGGTTTGGGTCTGAAGGTCCCCTATATCGCGAGGAAGGTTTAGAGGGAGAGAGAGAGCAGCCATGAAGGACTCGCCGATGAATGAGAGAAGTGGGAGAGGAATATATAATAGCAGGTGTTGGAACAGACCCATCTAGTTGAATGTGGATGTCTGCATGGGGATGGGCGCTCAGAGAATAGATAAAGGAGGACGAGACCTAGGGTTTGTGCGGGTGAGGGACTGAGGCGCCACCGTGTTCGCACAGTTCTCCGTTCAACCTCATCTTCTTCTGGATCCATGCATGCTGTGGGGCAAGCTGGTTGGGGATAAAATAAGTAGAGGATGAGGACGAGGCGATGTGAAAGGAGGAAAGGAGAGCATATGGCTGCGGTGTGGGGTTGCTCCCTATTTAAGACCCTCTCAAGTTTTCCCTTCATCTCTCTCTCTCTCTCTCTCTCTCTCTCTCTCTCTCTCTCTCTCTCTCTCGCTCTCTCTTTGTAAAGAGAAGTAGCGCTTCTCTCCCTCGTTCTCCACCTGTCTCTAAACGGAGGATACTGCGGCCACTTTTCTCCTTCTATGTCTGTGTTGGTGAGTGAGAAACATACGTTGCCCTTCAGCCCACCTCTCTTTCTTTCTCTCTCTACGTTAGGGAAGGCCATCGGGAGACAATCATGGGGGCTGTGAGCTTCACTGGCTTGTCACTCATCCTTTTGTTCTCCTACGTTCATCCAGGGGGCTCTACTGCGCGCTCCCGTGCAGGTATCTTCCCTCCCTTTCTTCCTACGAGTTTACCGTTGAAAGATTTCCTCTTCTCCTCTCTTCCATAACCTCTCTCTACATACATGTTTCTAGTTGTGGAGCTTGGAAGGCAGGCAAACGCTGATTGGGCCCTCCATAGTCGTCCCGTAAGAATTTCTCTTCATCCTTTTCTATTTTATCATCTTCTTCTGGTTTTATGCGATGACGATCGTCGTCATATTCCTCTTTATCATCTATTACTTTCGTCTCCTACCCTCTTTTCTGCATCTTCTTCTTCGCCTCTAACCATCATCGAGCTCAGCTTCTCCTACTCAACACATTTCCCCATCTTCTTCTTCACCTCAAATCATCATCATCATCATCATCATCATCTTCTTCTTCTAAGGGCCCTCAGTCGTCTCCAGGAACTCCGCCGCCATGACAAAGGCGAAGTGCCGAGGGGAAGGCGGAGGGCCGCCGAGAAGAAAGGAGCGAGGAAACCAGGTGCTAGCTCTTCTTCTGGAAACTCTCACCTCTTGAGGGGCTCTCCCTTCCTCCCCCCATCTCTTGGATTCCATCCCCCTATGCTCAGATTACCGTCCCAAGAACAACTGTGGAGAGAGAGAGAGAGAGAGAGAGAGAGAGAGAGAGAGAGAGAGAGAGAGAGAGAGAGAGAGAGAAGAGAGAGGGAGGGAAGGGGAGGAGCACGAGAAGGGTAAAATATTTCTGCTGCAGGGACGACTATACAAGAGAGAGTTTGCGCTCCATAAAAGCTCTGGGTCGTTTCTTTTTTTCTTGTTCTTACATGTCAGAGAGAGGAGAGAGAAGCAGGCAACTAAGGCCTTCAAGAGAGGTTATTTTATCGAGAGAGTGCACCCTAGGAAGAACAGGGGGTTCCTCCGGTTTCAAGCTCTTTTTTTCACTTCCCTTTCATCTATCTGAGAGAGAGAGAGAGAGAGAGAGAGAGAGAGAGAGAGAGAGAGAGCAGGGAGGAATTCCATAGCCGTAAGAAGAAATTTTGTCTTTACGGACTGTTATCATATGGAAGCAATGTGGCTAGTTTTTCCTCTCTTTCACACACGTTAGAGGGGGAGGAGAGACTATCATTGGTTCCCCCCCAGAGAGAGAGAGAGAGAGGGAGAGAGAGAGAGAGAGAGAGAGAGGCGGTCACAACTTGTACGAAGAGAGAATCGTGTCCCTCGCATGGGTTATCTTACTGTGCAAGGACGTCTGTCTTTCCTCTTTCATAGATGCTAGAGAGAGGAATAGGAGAATATCAGCAGCTTCCCTCGACATATTTGATGCAGACAGCGCTGTCAATTATATAAATTTGGGTTTCTGAAGCAGATGAGTCGCTCTCATGTTCAATTCGATTAGTTTATCCTCTCCTTGTTTTGATTGCAGGCGAGGGGAAGATGTCTCCCAGTGACTACTCTCTTACGTGGTATGGGGAGGCTAATACTCAGGTGGCAACTCTATCCCTTCCCCCTCCCTGTTTCTCCCTCCTTTCTCTCTCTCTCTCTCTCTCTCTCTCTAGAATACTCTGCTCCGTACGTAAGTAAATGATGCTCTCTCTCTCTCTCTTCTTGTACGTGAGCCAATTGTTGATTCCCTGCATTTTTCTTGCTGTCTCTGAATCAGTCCTGTTGTCTGTATAACCAGCTCTCTCTCTCTCTCTCTCTCTCTCTCTCTCTCTCTCTCCACATGTCTATTTGTATAACTAGCCTTCCCTCTCTTCTTTCTCTCGACTTGCGCACGTATTTCTTTAACCAACTCTCTCTCTTTGTGTCTGTCTCTCTCTAGAACACAGTCTCCGTGAACGACTTTTATAACCAGATTCCGTCGCACAGAGACACTGACCCTCAATGCGCCTGGGTCTTTTGACTAACCAGGCTCTCCCCCTTCTGTTTCTCCATTTGTTTTACTTCAAAACCAGGCTCATCCTTTCTCTCTCATCACTCTCTTCCTCTCTATTTCACAATGTGCCTGTGTTTTTGGACTAACCAGGCTCTTGTCTCCGTTTCATTTACGTCAGAAACCAGGCTCATCCTCTCTCTCATCCGTCTCTTCCTCATTTCCAGGGGGGGAGGGAGGGAGAGAGAGAGAGAGAGAGAGAGAGCCTACCCTGAGCTAATGATTTCTACCTTGTTTTTTTTACTAGGACAACGCCGATGGAGGAATGGAGAAACCATGGCCTGTCCTCCGGCAGCTCAGCTCCTGGTGGATTCACCTCCGGCCTTCCCGGCGGCGGCTCCTCGAGTCCCCGCCGCAGCCTCTACAGCGGCGGCGGCGGCGCCTCCTCTCTCCGGCGGGCGGTGGCTCCGAGGTCCTCGTCATGTTGAGCAGGGACTACTCCCACAGACCCCGCAGCCGACCTCCTGTCAATAATCGCCAGGCCCTTAACCACAGAGAAGTTCATCGTCCTTAGCCATCGTCTTCTTCATCACACCTCCGTCAGTTAGCTTAGGATCTGAACCTTCTTCTCTTAGATCCTCTCCCTCACTCTCTCCTCTCTCTTCATATATTAAGGTCGGCTGTTCTTCTCCTCAGAGAAACATACTACATGCTATGTTCTTCACACGTTAGGATGTGAGACTGCTTCTCTTGGATCCTCTCTCTCTCTCTCTCTCTCTCTCTCTCGCTATATATATATATATATCTGTGTGGCTCTCTCTCCCTCTGGATCTCTGTATGTCGGCCGGGCCCAGCCTTCAAACAGGTCCAGCCCGCTGCCCATCTTCTTGGTTTCCTTCTGGACCATGCCACTCTCTCTGTTTCTCTCTCCCTGTCTCTCTTCCCCTCTCTATCTCTCTCTCTCGGGGTTGGTACACAAAGACAGGCAACTCGGAGTAAAAGTGCAATAATGAGTGAACATTATTTCCAAAGGTACAAGGGCAGTGTAATAGATATTGGGCCAGCCGAGGTCCAGTACCACTAAATATTGGGCTGGGAAACGAAATAGGGCCAACAAACGCATAAGGCCCAGCTCAATTTACATTAGACCAAGATGAATCATTCCCGTTTCAGACAATATCAAGAGGAATCCGACTGTTTGACCGTTGAATGGGGTTAATTGATTCTGGTGGGGGTCAAACCGGGCTTCAAGTGATCCCAAGTCAACAATGACGTGATGCGTTTCCAGCGGGCGTGTAAAACGCCACGCACGGGGGAACGAACGTTTGGCTGAAGATGAAAAACGTGTTAGTGGGTCCCACTATTTTGCTCGCAATTTCCTCTTTCGCACTTTGTTTGGGAAGGACTGGTTTCTCATCCCCCACCTCCTCCTACACGGCGTCTTCCTGTCACGTTGGCCGATCGCGAGGACAGCTTTCTTCCTCAGCTCTTGCTGCCCCTGTCCCCGGGTCTGGTCCTTCCTCTCCTACTTGGAGAAAGCTGAGGAGTGGGGAAGATAAGATCTCCAAAAGATGCTGGAGTACAAGGATCTTCTCACTGGCAAGTCTCTCTCTCTCTCTCTCTATCTATCATACTAACTCTCGATTTTTTTTCTTTGGCTTCTGGGTGCTTTACCCAGGTAGATGTGGGAGGAGTCTTGTTATGCCTAGGGATCTATATCTTAAGCATCACTTTTAGGCTGGATATTTGGTGTTGCCATGGATCGGAGGGACTGGGAGGCTATCATGTCCGCATTGCCCGGAAATGAGATCTGATACCGATGTCTAACATCGTTGCAGATTGAGGGGATTTTATGTTTTCCTCTTTGGAGGCATTTTGGCGTGGTTAAGTACAGTCATCCCTACATGGATCTAATGATGACTGATGGTGCTTACGACGAATAGTTTGCTGCGGTGCCGTTGATTTTGATCTTCATTTCTTACAGTTTGCTGGTTATGACCAAAAATCCGGTCAGGATCATAATGATTTTTGGTGTTTATAGAAAATAATAATGGATGTACTTTCTCTTCGGGATGTGGCATCTCCATGGGACATTGAGGTGGAGTCCATGCCTATGCTCTTTTTAATGTACTCTGTCGATAAGGTATGTCGAGTTATGCTGAAAACTTGGCTTTCGGATTTGGGCCTGAATTATTTGACAACACTGAGCGACCGTTTGGTGGTATAACTTGTGAAGACGAGAATCAATTTGTCAAAGGGGCAATCGTTACGAATTTAGATCTGGAACGTGACAACAAATGAAGGGATTTGGATTCAGTCTCCTGTGACACCGAGAAGTTGGGTTGTTCTTTGTGAATTGAACGTCTGGCATAGGACTTTCAATGTGCCATTTGATGGACAACCCACTTGGGTGTGGTTGAAGCTTCTGTATGAAGTTTACCTTGGTCATGTTTAAACCTCTGCTGAATTTGGTTTTTCATTGGATAAACCTACATCATAATGGACTGGAGTCTATCCATGTGTTAATGATGACTTTTCTTTCGTTTTTATTTTTTTTCGGGGGGGGGGGGGGTGGGGTGGGTGAGTGGGTGAGGGATTTGGGATGTATCTCTAACGTATGAGAAGAATTTATTATACAAGAAAGTACACGAAATAGAAAAGTAGCACACCATCCGTCAAATGCAGAAAGTTTACTCCATAGTGCAATACATCACCGCTTTGAAGTACAAAACATATGTCAAGCAACATGGGTTCATGCGTATCATGTATCATTGTAGGGGGACTGACCAGGTCTTGAGTTGGTTGAGTCATCCCTAAGTTTTGCCATATGCAAAAATCTTCAAACAGACGCTTCTATGTGCATCTCTCACTGTAAAGAGTGAAATATGATAAAAAGCAATAGAATTTTCGCGGTTCCACCAATCAAAATGAAAGTTAACCTAATAAGATCTGAAATGGATAATCGATACGTTGGTTACCAAATTTTCTGAAGCCTTATCGCTGCAAATTCTTCCTGGTTATTCCGAAAGATTTTGGAGGTGACAAATAAATATCTACAATGCAAAGGAGATCTTTTGTTCTCGATTCAAGTAACCCTTCAATCGCTAAAAATACTTTGAACCGGGTTGAGTCATAATATTGATGCTCACAGGAAGTTTCTCTAGTCTCCATTGCTTTTGGCTGATTTATTGCAATGTGTTCCGGCCATTCTGGATCCTCAATGCCTGACATGTGCTTGGATCAACTCAACCAATAACTGTGTAGATGATGATTTGGGAAGTCCAAAAATGAAACGAATTATATGGGATGGTTGGGTCAGCAAGCCATAATATCAGCAGACAAACACATTCGTTCTTGAGAAGGATTTTTTTAGAGCCTTATGTTTTGGACTTCTTTTTCGCTGTCATTCATTTTGGACTTCATTAAGCCGGTTGACTTAGCATATGTTTTTGGTAAAGCCTCCTGTGAACTTATTTGAGAATAGTCATGACATATAGAGACTTCCTTTATAACACAAGGGTCCAATGTACAAAACGGACTCATTCTGCAGTAACACGCTAGTATGCTTGGTGGAGATGGCTTAACCTTGAACGAGGTGGTGAAAATTTATTTCATATATTTCTTTGTTATGCCTCTCCTCTGCGGGATTTTTCTTCTATTTCTAGAAAGATATGCAAGCTTTGCCGCTTTCCTATTCTTGTTTAAGCATAGTTGTTGTCAGATCTTATGATTGGCATTACTCACCGAACAATAAGCTAATGAGATTGTACTATTTTTTCTCTCACTTTCTAACGAATTACCCATCTTTTTTACGGTGTTTTTAGGAAAGGTTTTCACCAGTTGTATTTTTAAATGTTTTTTTTTATAAGATTTACATCAAGAACTTCGTTATAATTTGAAATTGGTTCAGCATGCTGATGGTGGTGAATATTGATGTATATGGTTGAAGTTCCATTGCTCCCTAGTTGTCCAATATGTATGAGGTTTCTTGTCTTACACAAACTATATGCATGTATAACGTGAATTCTATATTCTTCTTTTTCATTAAAATATATTTCATTTCTTTGAAATGTTTCCAGTTAAGTGGGTGTTGTCTTGCGTCGTTGTGCTTAGGTAGCTAATAGTCGACACTACTTTGACGTCTTCATCATCATTTGAAGGTTTTGATTTGGTTAATGGTTGATGACACCTTAACTAACACATACCATCATGTGAAAATTCAAGAGAGACATTGTATTCACTGCCTTACTAGAACAGGAGGTAGCCATATTGTATCAAAAAATATTTAAAAAATGGCGGAGTTGCCAACATTGTTCAGGCTAAAGATAGTTGGGTCTTGTGAAACTTCTGCAAAATGATATAATGAAATGATTTGGATTTCTTGGTCAACCACTATTGCTCTATTAAAACATTGGATATATGAGAACTTGAGATGTTAAACACTGACTATGGAGCTCATCTGTACTGCAGAGTACAGAACTATTTCTGGTGTTGCTGGACCACTTGTCATCCTTGAAAAAGTGAAGGTATATCTACTTTCCTTCTTTCCTGTTTTCATTCCTTGTTGTTATTCCTTTGCGTGATTGACTTCTGATTTCGCTACTGGACAAATTTAGGGTCCTAAATATCAGGAAATCGTCAACATACGGCTTGGAGATGGCACAACCCGTCGTGGCCAAGTCTTAGAGGTTGATGGAGAAAAGGCTGTCGTGCAGGTTACTTTTACCTTTTTTTCTTTGGTGCTGTGATTTCCGCACTTCACTGAAATGAAAAGGCAGTGCACAATGCAATCGCAACACAACCCCTCCCCACCTCCTTCACCCATCTGCTGGTGGTTAGGCCTGAGGGTCATATCACGACAATGAGAAAGAGATACACAGAACACAATATTTTCCATTCTATTACATGATGATGTCTGTTTCGAAAAATAATTTGGAGTTATTCATGATCATACCCGAGAGGATCAGTCCGATCCTTTTAACGATTTTTTAGAATCATGAGGTTTCCAAGGTTGGATGTTGTTCCACAATCAATCATGTACTTAACAGCAACTTTGATGGTCTTGACTACCTCAAAAAAATACTTGGAATAGTCTCTTGTTCCCGTTCATCAATTTTCCCAAACCGTGATGAATAGAAATTCTACTGTTGCATTCCTGTGAATTGTTGTATTTTATTAGAACTCTGAACTTTGGACATACGAATCTAATAACGTGTTTATAGTTCAAGCTGGAAAATGGCATGAAGGCTTGTGGCTGATTTTTTATTGTTTCTATTAGGTTTTTGAAGGTACATCCGGTATTGATAACAAGTATACGACTGTACAGTTCACTGGAGAGGTATTACTCGTGCTTTCGTATCCCATTTTGTTTCGATGAAATGCTATGCCGTTTGCCCAAGATTTTGCTTTTGGACAAGTTTCTCGGTCAGCATTTGTTATAATTTTCTGCAAATTTAATATGCTTGGCATACTTTGCTGTCTGGGTTACATGACTAGTGATAATATCTTATACCTCTTTGTCACCATGACATGAGCTACTGGAAGAATCATATTCCATCTTTCTTTTTCTGTTCACAGGCACAATAAATGAGCAACGACCACTAGATCAGCTCTTTAATTCTTATGACCTTAGGCCTAAAAAAAACTGCATATGGATTTAATATGCTTCTTGAACTTTTGACTCTATCATATGCATCCATCTTTGTGTGCACTTTTCCACAAGAAATTCTGAACTTTGTACAATTGTAGTTTATCCGCACTTAAAAATTTGTCAATATTTAAGTCTTTTACTATCTACTATCCTTGACAATTTCTCTAGATGTTTCTGCAGTGAAACTTCCTGTTCGCTGAATCGACTGATTTATGACTTAATTGACCTAAAATTGACTATTTGTGGAAATGCAGAAGATGCAGAAGATGCAGAGAGATCTGGTGAATGTGGAAACTGATTGTAGAGATGCAGTAGTTGAACCCTTTTGATGTCTTTGTGCTAACTTAAAGGATGAAGAAAATAGTCCTCTTTTTTAGGCAGTTGGTGTCCACAACCACATTACTGGTTATTTGGACCCAGGAACCGGCATCCAAAAAATATTCATTGGGGGATATATGTCCACAAGGGTACGACTGTGTTTATTTCGCTAGTTACAATTATATCCCTATTAAGAATATGATAGGGGCGCTTGGATCTAGTTATAAGCTCTGACATTACAACAATAGATCTGTTAAATGTGCTGGGGTGGTAAGACAGTAAATATATGTATAGGCTAAACCCTAGAAGTTTAGGCACTGTATATTTATGGTCTCCGCACATACCCTTCCAATGGACTGAACGATGCAAAATCACCTCATTTCAACCTTCTTCTTCCTCCAAAATTTTAATGAACAAATTCTTTTTGAGAAGGGCAGCTTTTACGTTGTGAATCCTTCTTGGGCAAAGGCCGTTCTTTGTTAGGGTACTATGCGTCACTAAATTGAAGCCAATTTCTCTCTGTTGGCATGCCTGATCTTTGCAGGTTTTGAAAACTCCTGTCTCAGTTGATATGCTTGGAAGAATATTCAATGGATCTGGCAAACCTATCGATAATGGCCCCCCTATATTGCCGGAGGCATACCTGGATATATCTGGTGAGTTTTTCATGGTCACGATGAGTTTGGCCTTTTTTCTGTGTTGTCTATTATAAAATGAATGGGGAGGTATTTTCTTCAATTTATATAATTACGGATCTTCCGTATCTACTTAGGGCAATACATGTGGCACATATTTCCAATATACAATATATATGCAGATGAGTACATTTACGTTTGAAGTTTTCCTAAAAATTCTAATACTTCTATTACCAGGGAGTTCTATCAACCCCAGTGAGAGAACTTATCCTGAAGAGATGATTCAGACAGGGATATCTACTATCGATGTGATGAATTCTATAGCCCGTGGACAAAAAATTCCTCTCTTCTCTGCTGCTGGGCTTCCTCATAATGAAATAGCAGCTCAGATTTGTCGCCAGGCTGGTCTTGTTAAACGGTTGGAGAAGTCTGATAATCTTTTGGAGGTTAGACAAATCTATTCCAATGCTTCTGTATAGTGAATAATATGAGATTCTATACTAATAGTTTTTTCTGGTAATCCAACCCTTTTCTACGTTAATCTCCAATTTGTTATTCAATAGCTTTTGGAAACTAATGTACATGATAAATTTTAAAACTTATTTTTTATGAATTTTCAACAAATTTGCTGAAATGAGAAAACTCTTTTTCTTTGCTTATCTTTACTTCAGTCTAATAACTGAAAGTTCCTTTGTACATACAACACTTGTTAAAGGGTCATCAGATTATTATGCATCAATGACATGCCATCGGAATTACTTATTAGCAGTTCTAAAAGATTATGAGTACCCACTTTGGATGTTCACAGTCCATGTTGACATCCACAGAGTTACTTGTACTGTACTTGTACCAAATAAATTTCAAGGTTTGTTGGACTCGAAATAGGTATGCGTTGGTGCTTCTGAAACCGATGTATATTGGTCTACAGAGACATCTTTGTCCAAAGTAGATGATAGTCTAGGGATCCTTTGTGAAGAATATTTTGGGCTGTGCTATGTGTAACAATACTTGATTGGACATGTTGTAAATGTTGTGCTTTCATGCCATCCTTGCCATCTATCAACTTATTTTTGTATATGTACGTTTTGATGATTAGAAAAGAAATCTTCCAGTAGATTAATAAACTTTATGTCCTTGTGATGGTTTCATGGAATTCATGAATTTTTAACTCCAACAACCAGGTTATGAAGCCATAAACTAATTACTGTGAAGTGTGATGGTACTCTAGCTTTGTCCTAGGTTGTCTATCGAAATACTATTGGGTCCTGGCTTAATCAATCATGTTAACATCGTTTTTGAGTATTTTAGCAAATCTTGGTATACTGCTGTAGTTTTGATCATCCGCGTGTGCCTCATCTTTGATCAAGTTGACCAATCTCCATTTGCTTTCTTTGGTGATTCAAAGACAATTTTCTTCCTAAACTACTTTTTGAAGTGGAAGATGCTTGTTCAATTCAAAAGCTCCTGGAAAAATCAGTATGTTTCTTTTGATTTAAAATTATAAATAGTATTACATGCTTGTGTAGGATGGAGAAGAGGACAACTTTGCCATTGTGTTCGCTGCTATGGGAGTAAACATGGAAACAGCACAGTTTTTCAAGCGTGATTTTGAGGAAAATGGTTCCATGGAGAGAGTGACACTTTTTCTAAACCTGGTACTGTCTATCATATCTTGTCTCGATCAGTATTTCTACGTATGTTGCCTTTGCATGTGACGCGATTTTATAATCTTATCATTGATGTCTTATGTTCTGTGTTTGTTAGTTGCTTAATTTGGATTGAAAGTGATTTTTTCGGCAGGCAAATGATCCTACAATTGAGCGCATTATCACGCCACGCATTGCCCTCACAACAGCAGAATATTTAGCATATGAATGTGGAAAGCATGTCCTCGTCATTCTAACTGACATGAGTTCCTATGCTGATGCACTTCGTGAGGTAAAGAATTTATTATCTTCAATGCAGTAGCTTTTAAAACCTTGAATTGCTTCCGTCAATCATCTAGGAAGCTATGCATTTGCCATAGTCGTGGAAATGGTATTAGTAAGAAAGATATGCTTAGAGCTGCCCCAGTGGGATATTTTCAATCCTTTGAATAATAGTCAGCAGTCCACCTGTTCATAATGCAGTTTAAAATTAAGTGACCTGCTTCCCCCGATCTTAATAATACGATTATTTATGAAAGTGATTTTATACCGTTGGCCGACCAAGAATGATTATATCATTTACCAATTGATCCCTGTTGGACATTGAAACTGTACAAAACAATGACAATATGAGACTAGGAGCAGCTATAGTCGTCATTTAAAGTCTCTCTTTCTCTTCATACTACTCTCTTAGGAGGTTGAACTTCCCCCATAATCTCTATTTCCGTCTCTAAAACAAAAAACTTCCCCTCTTTGCTGCCTCTGGCATTCCTCTCTGCTTGTTTCACTCAATACTCTGTCTTTCTTCTATTTTCTGCATTTACTGTTCCTCTCTGTCTAGGATCCTGGCTGTCCTCCATGTAGGGCATCTTTTGCGTCTTCATATCAGGTAGCATCTTAAAACTTCGTCATGGCCTTGTGCCATACATCATCTAAATGACTCAGATCACTGGTAAAGGGCTTTTTGGGGATTGGCCATTCATTATACAGGTTCTAAATATTCTATATTATTATGTTCTTCAAACTACCCTAAGGGCCCAGAGAAGAGGAGTGTCAGGGCATCCAGCCAATTGAACATATTACTGATTTCTTTTACTGAATTGGGAGGAGATTATTTTAACATATTCGTCTACTTCATGGTATTATTGATTTTTATTTTGCTGAATCAAGGAAAGATACTTCAATATATTTGTTTTCATGATGGAAATTCTATGGACAGGTATCCGCAGCTCGAGAAGAGGTACCAGGTAGGCGTGGTTATCCAGGGTACATGTACACTGACTTGGCGACTATCTATGAGCGTGCTGGACGTATAGAAGGAAGGAAGGGCTCCATCACCCAGATCCCGATCTTGACTATGCCTAATGATGGTAATGCACCTCAAATGAAACTATCATATTCCATCACCATGATATAACTTCATTCTCTGACCTGCTCCAAACTTGAGTTCAGATCTACTTATGCCATTAGTTTTTCCATTTCCCTACTGGTCATATTTCTTGAGATTTATTACCTGATCATTTCCAATGTCGGGTTTTATGAGATTGCAATTGAGTCCTTTTTTTCTATTAATGTTACAGATATCACACACCCTACCCCAGATCTTACAGGGTACATTACCGAGGGTCAAATATACATTGACAGGCAGCTCCACAATCGACAGGTAATCATCTCACAGCTAGCCATGAAACTTTCTGTTCGTTACATCTCTAACTTGATTTCAATGGAAATAAGGAATTTCAGTCATTCAAATGAAAAATCATAAACCGCAAAAATCGTCAGTATGACAGTGAACACAGCCCCCATCTTTGTGGAGACATCAGCATGCCATGCCTTAATAAATTTGCATATTTCATATATATATATATATATCCGGACTATTTTTAGTGAAATCGCATGTGGGATATTCACGACAGCATAGTTTTCAATTGGGTCGTTTATTTATTATTCTTTGGTTGTGCTAGTAATCTTTTAAACTGATTTGAAATAAATCTGTGGAATGTTGGCGACAGATATACCCACCGATTAATGTTCTCCCATCCTTGTCACGGTTGATGAAGGTGAGTTAGCTCTGTTGTGCTTTGTTCTTGGCCAGTTTGGTGATGTTAAACAAGTCGGATGATGATTATGGTATAATTGTAGAGTGCCATCGGTGACGGGATGACTCGACGTGACCATGCTGATGTATCCAACCAGGTCTGCTGCTCGATCCACAGAATGAACCTCTGCTCCTGAGAAAAGAAAAAGAACTTGTCCGTGATTATCTTTGGTTGTTACTGATTCCATCTGTCCTTTCAGTTGTATGCTAATTATGCTATTGGAAAGGACGTCCAGGCAATGAAAGCTGTTGTTGGAGAAGAAGCGCTCTCCTCCGAGGACCTGGTCTCTTTCTCTCTTTTTCCCTATACCAACCCATGAATTTATCTATCTATTAATCTCTCTTGTAATTTATGTATCTTTCTTCATCTCTCCTTCCATCTATTTGTTCATCTTGTCTCTTCTTAGCTTTGCCCATTTCTCTCTGCCTACTCCCTCTGTTACTGTCTCTTTAAAGCTATATGCCTCTCTATCTCGATCTTTCCCTCTCTCTCTCTCTCGCTTGGCGATCTCATCTTTTTGCCACTAATGGCCGCCATCCATCTTCATTGAACCTATGCTCATCTCTCTCTATCTACTCCCTCTGTCGCTGTCTGTTTACAGCTATATGCTTCTCTATCTCTATCTTGGCCTCTCTCTCTCCTTAACTCTCTCTCGCCCATCTCATATTTTTGCCACTAATGGGCGCCGCCCATCTTCATTGAACCTATGCAGCTCTACCTGGAGTTCCTAGACAAGTTTGAAAGGAAGTTTGTCTCTCAGGGGGCCTACGACACCCGCAACATCTTCCAGTCCCTCGACCTGGCCTGGTCACTGCTTCGGATCTTCCCCCGCGAGCTCCTCCACCGGATCCCCGCCAAGACACTCGACCACTTCTACAGCCGAGAAGCCACCGCTGCCCACTGAACCCCAGCTCTCACCCATCACCCCTTTCAACATCCACTCCCCACTGCCCAGCTGGTCCCCTTTTCAAATGGGTTTTCGTGCCTGCATGAAGAATAATTGTGGGTGTCCTGCTAAGGAAACGCCGTTATTTCCCTGGTAAGAAAATGACTTGTATTCTTTGACTTTAGTGGGGATTTCTTTGCAAAAGTCAGCTCTATCTGTGCTTGTTTTCTCACTAGGAAATGGACTGTATTCTTTGACATTAATAATATTTTTATTCTAGGAAGCTGGTATAATCCATGTCCCCTTGGTGGGTCACTGGACAGTTTTCTAGAAAGTCAATGCCATGCATTATTTGGTTGTAGTTTGAATTTCTTTCTTAGTAAGGTGTTGTAAAACTTTATTCGAAATATGTACTTGAAGGGTATTCTGGTCTTGTGAGTACATAGCTTTTGTAATATGTCTGTTTTTTTGTCTTTTCCGTCTTGCTATAATTTTGGGGGGGTGTGAAAGACTCTTGCCTCTGTTTGTATCTCTGTGGGTATTTATAGTTATCTGCAATGCGAATTCAAAGAGATCATCAACTGTTGTGCGTCAGAATTGACTAACATTGTACACGAGAGTCTCCTACTGCTGTACCCAGTGATCATTTATCACTAAACATGAGAGCATCTATATCTTGCAGTGTTTAGAGACATTCATCACTGAACCCTAGATTATATAACATCTATTACATCAAGGTGTGTATCCAATGTGTGGTTCATCTTTCTTATGATTTGCAAATTGTTTTGGTGTGATCCAACATCTTGCAGCTTGGTGAAATTCACTAGGCAGGAATAATTGTGATACAAGAGGGGACATATGAATACTTCTTCACCTATAGTTTACAGACAAATATATATAATGAGAGGTGAATCTATATCTTCTGGTTTGAATTCACAAATCATGCCCACAAAGCTAATGTAGCAAAATTTTATCACATGGGTTGTGATTGGTAAATTATACATTGGAGCCTGAAACAAAATTGAATATATGTCTGGTCTTGCTAAATGATCAAATATTGCATATTCATAATTGAAGGTTTGGTTTTGTGAAAATATTTTAATCATGTCATGAATTTTGAATTTCGTCAATACTAAACAAATGATTTTATGCAAATATCTAATTAGTGATATGTGGAGTATGTTAGAAGATGTATATGGCCATTGACAAGAAATTGTTTGATGTTATCAATTAACCTATATTATTCACTAATTTAGGCAAGGTTCAATGTCAATCATAAATTAATTAGTGGCTATATGGAATGGGCTGGACTCTTTTTGGATGAGGGACTAGTCATATATAAGAATTAAAAAATGGCATATGGGACATTTTCAAGAAAGATTTTTCTAGCTCCTTGCAAGCTTAAACAATGAGTTTGAAGTACTCAGAGGTTAAATTTAAACCTACCTCTCATTTCCTCAAACAAGTTTATTATAAAGTGTTGAATGAATAAAGGAAAAGGCTAATAATGAATAACAATCTCAAGTTTATGAACATAGAGTAAGAGAACACTCTGTTTTAAGTAGCCATAGTAGTAAAATAGAGTGGTTAAAGGCCAAAGGGAAAGTAAAGGAAAATAGAAAATGTACTAATTGTAGAAAATTGTTGGGAGCTACATCTTGAAAAGAAGCCTTCTAAATTCAAGTCTAAGGAGAAGAGAAACATGACTTGATAGGATTCTTTGAGTTAAGCTTTTTATAATTCCTTATCTATGGGTTTTCTTATTCTAATATTGTGAGACTCTAATTATTCTTTATAACAAATACAAATAAATACTCAATTACTATCAATCAACCACATCAATTAAGTACATCTTGAAAAGAAGCCTTGTAAATTCAAGTCTAAGGAGAAGAGAAATATGACCCCTAAAATTAAACTAATGGCTCCTATGACTTAGAGAATTCTTTGAGTTAAGCTTTTTATAATTCCTTATTTATGGGTTTTCTTATTCTAATATTGTGAGACTTTAATTTATTTTTTACAACAAATGCAAATAAATACCCAACTACTGACAATCAACCACATCAATTAAGTGCAACTTCCCACCCATCACACAACTCATTGGTCATATACTTTGCAACATCTGATCACATGAATGCTACTTTAATTCACTTTATTTTATATAATCTTTCATTAGGTAGAGAAAAAGTGAAATCAATAGATAATAGTTAAGTTATCATCATGAACAAAGGCCCTATTAAGCTAAATGATCACTTAATACTAATTCTGACACTTCATATTCCCTTCATTCAAATGAATTCAATTGTCTAAGTTTCATCGTAAAACATGAAAAAATATTCCATAGCCTTCTATCCTGGCTATTATATTTTTTAAGATTTAGAAACAAATCAAATGGTTGAGAGTGGTCATGAAGTATCTCCTTAAAAAGAGATAATATTATAGTCTTAGCACACCTAAAAAATACAACAAACCTTTGAAAATATCAATGTAACATTATGAACTGTCTTCTTCTTCAAGTTTTTGAAAATTATGTTTTCTTCAATGTTTTATTTAGTGTATATTTGAACACTTCAATATCAAACTTATATATATATATATATATATATATTGTTGTATTCATTTTTTTCCTTTTGTTATCAAAATTATCTCTTAGTTGAAAATTATGTATCTTTTGATGTTTGGGGTGCATCCTCCATTATCTCAATGGATGAATATATATGCTTATTTATTTTCATTAATGATTTTACTCTTTCAACATTGATATATTTGATGAAATTTAGAAAATAAATTCATAGAATTGTCCAAATGTCCTAAAAAAAAAAAAAACTTGACAAATGTGTAAAAATATTTTTCTATGAAAATGTCAAAAAATACTTTGAATGAGATCTAAATATTTTTATTAATGATAAATGTATCCCCCATGAGTTATTTTATGCCTATACTCCACACAAACTAGCATAATAGAAAGAAAAAATAGATATCTCTTGGAGATTGCTGGCACATCAATTTGATATTCTAAAGACATTCTAGAAAAAAACCATGCTCACTGCTGTAACTTTAATAAATGGAATGCCATTAACCACCATTAAGTCTCAAACTCCTTATGTATTATTATTCCCTTACGATACCATTATTTCATCTTTCACTCAAAATATTTGACATTTACTTTATGCATATTCATGAAGAACTTAACACTAATAAATTTGATCATATATTAATTAGATGTATTTGTCTTAGGTATTCACTTGATCAAAAATGATATAAATACCTTGATCCCTAATTATGATGACATGTCTTGGAAGAGGTTACCTTTGCTAAGTTAGAGTCTCTTTCCCACAAGTCTCTAACTTAAGAGGAGAGTACTAGTAATCTTTATTGGAACATGACATATTACTCATACTTTTATATTCATATAATTTTATCTGTGTTTTAGTTTTTTTTATATATATTAGATCTAATTTGATATAAGTGAAGCCCATTTAACAAGATGTGACCAAATTATTTGGGTCACTTTTAAATCTATTTACACTTAAAGATTAATCAATTTATTTTTCATTGTTCCATTCTTTCCCCTTTACACTTGAGCAGAATGGCTATGTTTGGTCATTAACAATCTAGGGCTTTGACGAGACTAAATCGTATGGTCGTTGAATGCACACGATTCAGTGTCAAAAAAAAAAGTCATAATCTTACCAATTTATGATTAATCAAAGTAATTAATTAGTATAATGGTAATTAAGGGTCGAATCCACGGAGAATTAGGGAAATTTGAGAGATATCTTTGAAATTCGGTCAAATCAGACAATGAAATTAGGTTAGAAATTAGGCAATTTAGTATATTAAGAAAGATAACTCAATTTCGAATCCACGGAATCAAAAATCAGGTGATTTGGATGAGAATTCGAAGAGTAATTGAAGTTTGAAGTTAAGAGAAATTTTCGTATCGCGAAATGATTAAAAATAGAAATTAAAACTAAATTAAACTTAATCTACAATACTTAAAGTAAAATTAACACTAAATTATGAAAGATTAAGATGAAAACAAACAATCTAACCCAAATTAGCCTTCGAAATGATCCAATTAATCGCCGGATGTAAGGCTTTTCATTCTGAATTTTCGAAGACGAAAGAGGAGTTCAAGACTTGATTTCTTCCAATTCTTTCAATAAAACATTGAAATTAAACATCCAACAGAAGCGGAAATGAGTTGCGAACACAATGAAAAAGATGGAGCGCGAATTGGAGCTCTAAACAAAGAGAATTTGAAGATTGATCGCGGGCCGTTCTTCCATCGCGAAGAACGGATTTTATAAAATTCGGAAATGATCGTGGCCGTCCGATCTGATGGAGTTGATCGCGATGGACGATCGCGATGAGATGACTCTTCACGAATTGTCGCGACGATTCGACGATCGTCCGATCGTGATTGTGCGGTTAAGATGTGATTGGATGTCCATCTGATGTGAATAATCCGGACCGTTATAACTCTCGATCAGACGGTCGCGATTTATTCACTTAAGTGAGTATTTAGGCACGTGGTTGATCTCTGATCGCGTGGACCTCGATTCCACGTGATCTACGCACGTTATTTGTCGCGATGTCGATCGGATGCACGAGATCACGCCAAGCGTCATGCACATAAGAAAACTAAGGGACTTTAGTCCCACACGGGAAAAACAAAGGAGTATATTCGGGTATATAAGATATGACGATTAAGAGGGATTAATACTTTGTCTTCCGATAATCGGAAGACCTATATACTTTATTAAATAAATATATAGTAAATATAAATACGCCACGTGTCACATCAGCGCCACGCAGGCGCCCGCGTGCTGTCCATGTGGCAGAGCCACGTGGCCCCGAGTACCACGTCGCATCCACGTGTACACGCGCGACATATAACCCCTTTTTGTGATTTTTTTAATTAATTTAAAACATTTAAAAATCGAAAATAAATATAAATAAATTCAGAAAATTTCCAGAAAATTCTATAAAATTGTAAAAATCATAACTTTCAA